CAGGTGATAGGGAGCCAGTAAGTGTGAGTTAGCTGCACTACTCTCTTCCACCCCATTGCATTGTCTATGTTAAAGAGAATCTATGTAATTTTTAAAAAGTGTTATTGCCTCCATGCCCCAAGGAAAGGTATTTTGCAGCGGTGTTGGCAGATAGGGATTTGAGAGGGAAGTGAGTGATATATGCTAGGCATGGACTCTGCTACCAACAATAAACATGAAGAATAACCATACATCTGTATTCAACATAATTATTACTTTAGTAAACAGGCCTGTCAGTTATATGACAGTTGAAATGCTTTAACCTTGTTCAAGTTTTAGAGTTTTTCCTTTTTTCAGGGAGAAACAAATAAAAGGCAATAGCTGGAGGGCCAACTGTACATTCATGTAACCTATTTTGCCACAGACTGGAGCCAGACTGCATCCCTAGATGATCACAAAAGCTAAGCAAATACCAGTCCAGAATGAGAGAACTTTCATTAACAGCACTGATGTTGCAGAAAGAGGTGCTGGTGATCACTATGTGTCCCTCTTTCATCTGAGTGAGTACTGAACCAATGCTCCAGCATCACCCTAGAGGGCATAATGCTGGTGGAAATGTCTTTTGAATAAGATGTGAGAGAGATCCTGGGCATGTGAGATTATTAAACAATTTGAAGCACTTAAGTGCAGGCTGTGTTAATGCCAGGGTACTAAACTAAATATTTGCATTCCATCTAACATTGGGCCAAACTTTCATTCAGAGAAGGAAATCTGCACCCCTCCTAAACTACCAAAGCATTGCTCTAGCAAAGAATGTGGGGGAAACGATTGTCATGCTGTCACAATGATACTTAATTATTTGTACAAAACATGCAACAGTATAAAGTAGAATTATAAATAAACTAAGGGAAGAACACATTTAAACTTTATTAATAGGCAAATTGTATCCCGCTACAAAACAGTCTCGGAGGTCTAAAAATCAGAGAACTTTTTAAGACAAAAGGTACTGCAGCCAAAGTGGGGTCATTCTATATTAGACCTCATTCTGACAGATAAAGATGAATTGATCACTCAATTAAAAACTGATGGTTGGCTGGATGCAAGTGATCATGACCATTTTGTTTATGTGCAAACATAATATGATCCCAACCAGTAATATACTGAGTGCTTTAAAAAGGCCAGTTTCTCAAAACTGCAAGTAATTGTGCAAAATTGAGTGGGAGGAAAAATTTAAAAGGCAAAGCAGGAGCTGTCAAGGTATTGGAGGATGGTCCTAAGGAATAGCTAGAAAGGACTGAAAAACTTTAGGCCTAGCAGACATGTAAGAATTAATGCTGTGACCTGATTTCCAATTAAAGAAAGGAAAAGGGGTCACAAAAAGGGGCTGCAGAGTTCTGGGGGCTGTCTGAAAGCACAACCAAAGGAGGACTAGTATGGGAAGGTCAGCTGGGTCTGAGGAACTAGATGTGGTAAGGGTTTCAAGGAACAGTAAGTCTCACAAACAGATCCTGAGGTAGATGGCTTGAGGGGGAGAGAAAGCAGTTGTTGCATCTTCTGACTGACCCTACAGACCTTCTGATGTGTTCTCTCCTCTCCATGTAGTTTCTGGTTCTGTCAGACTGCATAATGCTACATGGACCCGAACACAGGATCCTGAAAGGGTTGCTGCCGGAAGAGCTCGTGCAGGCTGAAAGGGCAACTAGAGGAACTGGCTTTGTGTGGCAACACATCAGGCCTAGTTGTGGAACCAATACACACAGGCTCTAACCGTTGTCAGCTTGCCAAATGCCATGTTAGTGAACTCATGCTTCAAACCACCCAGACGGTGCTTCTGGGAAGGATCACTGCAACACAGGCTGTTCCTGGGGAAGAGTGAAGCTAAAGAAGTCATTGTCCCAAGCAATATGATTCTTCTACAGGCTCGAGGAAGACTTGGAGATATATGTAAAGGCTTGTATATGTAAAGGAAATTTTTACTGCTATGAGCTAAAGTGTGAATTTAAACTGATAGCTATACCAGTATAATTCCCTGAGTGGATGCTCTTATTCTGGTAAGAGTGGTATTTTTTTGTTTTGATTTTAAGTTTAGCTTATGTCACCTCATAAGGAGTTTACACTACACCAAAAAAGCCATTCTTTTGAATAAGTCTCCATAGGGATAGTTATACTAGTATATTGGTTTAACTATACTGGTATAACTGCTAAAAGGGCCATGGTTGGTGGCTGGAGAGATTAATTTGCATATTCCTGCTTCCAGAAGCAAGAGAGCAGAGCTATACAGCCATATCTCTCTGGACTAAAAGAGGACCACCCAAAATCAAAGTCATATCAAAAGTCATACCAGAGTAACTACAGCCCAATGATAAATACACACCCAGCCATCTTTACTAGAAAATGGTAAAAGTACTTGAAACTGAATTACATTTAATCAAAAGAATACACCTTCTTTTGTTTTGGTTGGTGTGGAATGGGGTAAAGGTCCCTAAAAGTCAACAAGAGCATTCTCTTAATTGACAAAACAGCTGCAACTGAGGGATGGATAATCTTAGAGAAAGATGGCCAATAAAATAAGTTATCTGCCAAAAAGGTCAGACTACACAATTATGATGGTCCCTTCTGGCCTTAAAGTCTAAGAGTTCCACCTTTGTTACATGAAAACAAAGGTAAAGAACTACTGAAAGAAAATACTTTGATTTTGAAGCTGGAGAAAGTGCTTAGAGGAGTTGATATAAAGAAAGATAGAAAAAATAGTTTTAGACAAATAAGTTAAGATAAAGCATAAATAGCCTTACACTATGTGTGCATACGTGTGTGTGTATGTATGTTTTAAATGACAAACCTATATATCAGTATATCCGTAACTCCAAAATTACTACAGAAAGTATGCCACTTTCCCACAAGGTATTGTAGTTGTCAGAGTGACACTGATGACCCAAGATTTTTTTAAACATGCCTGGAACGAGACAGAATGCACATGTGAAGGTCAGTGAAAGCTGTTACTGATGACACTTCTAGAAAATTTGGTCAGATGACAGAAAATAAGTTGGGATTCACAAGTTTACTTGTCGAGATGGATAGTTACATTGACTCCAGCTACCATACAGCAGTCAATCTGGCACTGACTCTTCAGTGATAAGACTGCTTGTTTCCTTTACAACATAATTCTATAAAATATTGTGTCTCTCCATAAAATTCAGTCTTCATTTATCACCAATGTTATCCTGAAATTTCCTTTGGCAAAAAAAATGACAAATCATTCAAAAAGAGCTCACTGATCTGATCACAAGATGATCACAACCATATTACAGAAGAGAGGTCAACTTTAATATAATTCAGAAACACGGTACAGGTAAAAAGCTTGTATTTTCTTTTAATTATATTTCCCCTTTAGGTTGTGAAGCAAAGGTCTACTTTTGCAGTCCTTATACAGGTAAAACTCACTGAAGTCAAAGTTTTGCATCAGTAAGGACTGCAGTAGAAGACTAAAAATGTTAAAACAGAGTAATATAATCTGGTTAGAGGAGACATGTTTTTAATGTGTCAGTTGGGCTATGTAACTGATGAAACAGTTTTCTGGAACCAATCCTGCAAGATGTTGAGTGACTCTCGAATATTATTAACTTCAATGCAACTTGAGGGTGCTCATCACCTTCTAACAGGCTCTCATTGCAGCAGGGATTTGTTAGTTTAACAAAAAAAATCCCCAACCTTTTGTTGTAATCCCAACAATCCAATCCCCAGACTGAATTAATTAGTAGTTACTCTCAGGCCTTGTAATTCAAAAAGGGTTGTAGATGTGCATGTAAATATAGATAATTTTGTAAACATATGCACTAACAGTCAGCTAGGAAGGCAGGTTTGTGCTCAGTCGGGTGGCTGTGTTTGGAAAAGATTTTTATCCACCTTCTCTTTTATTGTAAATACCCTGGAGATCAGAAAATTCCGAGACACTAACCAATTATCTTCCAGGTATTCCCTAAAAGGAGCGTGAACTATGCATCTTAATTTATTCTTGATCCTCTTTTAAACATGCATAAGTTAACAGTTCCATGGAAGAGCACTGTACTATGGGAAATACTGTATTGTATATCTGGACACAGATGCATATACTGAACACACACATCCATGCAAAGTATACACATTATGTGTGTCTGTGTATATAAAGTGAATATAAATATGCATACATGCACATACATTCACCAAGTTAGGTACTTTTTTCTCATTTTAAATAGACATGCTAGATTAACATTGTCAGCTTTTGATGTTTTGAAGACTACTGAAAACTCACATTTCTTGTATTTGTGTAAAGGAAATAGTGCTGTGAAAATAGTGAGGGCTCTCAATGGTCAGGTATCTCACAGGATACTCAAATTTGGCAGCCCTGTCATGCTAAATCTAGCCGGGCTGCAAGGTGGAAAGGATTGCTTACAGTTCCTGCATCTGGCCACCAGGAGCTACTATATCCTCAGGTTTCATGTGGCCTCTCTGCCTCTCTTCTCCTTCAGCAGACCCCAGGTCTGCCTGGAGGCCAGCACCAGGGAGGAGGTAGATATGGTAGGAAGGTGAATGGAGCAAGGTGGGGAAGAAAAAAAGGGCTAAAAAGGGACAGGGCAGAACTAGAGAAGCTAGTGGGAGAAGGAGGGAGACTGCCTCAAGCTCCTGCACTACCCTCAACAACTCCTTTCACAGCTCTCTGCACTATCCATAACCACCCTCCCACCTTTCCCCTGGCTTTCCACCCCATCATAGGCACCCTCCAAGCTATACCACCAAAACAAAAAACCTCTCTTCCAGATTTTTCCACAGCACCAAACCCCAACCCCTCACATTCCCATTCCTTTTCTGCTTAAAACTAGACCTGCACAGGAGAGAGATTTAAATTTAAACCAGTGTGAATGTGAAATGAAAAAGTAAAACCTTTTGGATTATCAAACATGCTGCAAACATTGTAGTAATCCCTCGCACACAATGAATTTAACACAGATGTGCGGTTTTCAAATGAGATTCAACTCAAACATGCATATGGAGAGTAAAGTTATTTTATTAAATCATGCACATCACGTGTGTTAGTGCAAATAGTTTAATCTGTACTCGAGAAATTCTATTGTACTTTTTATACCTTTACAAAATAGATTTAAAACAATTATTTACTTTAAAAAATGTAATTCTGAAGTAAAGCATTTCAGAACAATATTTGCAATAATCTATATACAAGAGGTACCGAGTACCACTGGCATATGAGTGTTTTGTGATTGGGTGGCTTCCTGCAACTGAAAAAGATGAAATGTTAACTAGATGACCCAATATTATATTCTAAAAGTCACTTGTGGGCTTATTCTTCCATAAACCTAATAATCCTCCCATTAGCAAATCCCAAATATTTTAAGATAGAACCTTTAATTAAAGGACAATGACCCTCAAACCTCACAAGGCAAATTATATGCTAAAATTCTATTTAAATATTCAACTACATCTGTTGATTGCCATTATATATTTTAAAGCCAATTAAATCTTCGCTGAGATTATTTTCCTATTCTTAGATTTCCATTAGATGAATTCATTTTACTTTGCAATCTTTTAGTATATTATATAGGACCTTAATAAAACTTTTAACTGAACTGTTGAGTTGCACAAGACAACTAGAGCCAACACTTAATTCATTGTTTAACTACAGTGGTTACCCAATCAAAAAGTCGATAACTAACAACAGTTGCCACCCTTCAACTAGGAAATAAACTTTTTAATGGGGACCACTGTATGAAGGTATATTATGCATAGTGTGTCATGTAACATTGATGCAAAAGTTTCTAATTACCAAAAGTAAACTCTCTCAGCTTATTAACTTGATGCATACATGACCAGTCAGATGACTAACTTGGCAATAGCTTGCTTATCTTGGATTTTTTTCAGTTACCCATAGATGCATTGTAGCACTCCCATATTGAAGTTTTCAGTAAAAACTTACCTAAATAGACAAATATTATTTCTCCAGTTCAGTTTTGAAAGTATTAAATGACTGAAAAAATAAGTTGCTAAAATGTGATATGTGTGAAAATATTCAGACTTTAAAGAATGTCTCTTTAAATATATGAATTTAATAAATTACATTCGAACTAAAGGTAATATAAATTGGATCACTGCACTATGTCCATCAAATGACCAAGATTTTGCTCCCAGAAATACCTTAGTTCACTCAAGAACACACACAAGCACACACTCCCACACGCGCGCACACACAATATCCTAGGCAGGTGTTTGCCATCCAATGTCTTATCTATCTCTTTAAGGCTGGAAATGAATTGTATTTATTCCCAAAATTATTAATAGAACAATCTTTACTGAAGCAAAATATTTGTTTCCTTCAAAAGGCCTGGAAAGAGAAGTTATTTTAAGTCTTGTTCCCACTAGCTCAGTGACTTACAGCAAGTAAGAATGGAACATTAATGTAAAAAAATATTTCAAACTGAAAGGCACTGAGCATACTGTCTCTGTTTCCAAGTATCTGTAAGGTTATTTGGCATGGGTATCCAAATCAGAAATGTGTTTTTCTTTTAAATCTGGCAATCAGATTCTAAAGTAAAATATCCACAAACCTACCCATTATAAATAATTTGGTACCAAGAAGCCTACTTTAGGCCACCATAATAGTATTTAGAATCCCAACATACTAATTTAAAAATTACATGAAATTGTAAGCAAAAATATTGCTCACAGTAGAATGAAGTCATAATTTTATTCCCTCTTTATAGACAGATACATTTTATACAGTTTAAAGCAAATGACCCTACTACTGTTCTCGCGCAGAGCTTTGTTGTATTAAGAGGTAAAAAGGAAGAGAATTAATCTGTTTTTCCCCAGTATGTGAGTGATGACAGCTTCTAAAGGGAGGACGGTGAATGGATTCAACAACAGTTCTCATGGAGAAGCTCTGGTTAGGCCTGGGTACAGCACCACAGCTGTTACAGCAACCAAAGCTGCCATCAGAGGCATCCAAGGCCATTGTCTCTGTGTGGAGAAAAAAAAAAATCAATATCATATTTGTTCTAGTTTACACTACTCAGTTTACCCCTTGGTTCCGATAAGTCCTGAGCACCTGTTGATAAACATCACTAATATGTTTCCCAGGAACCTTTACCGTTGGGAAATCCTGACACCAAGGGGACAAACCACATTTGGCCTACCACAAGGAACTCCAAGTGTCATCACAATGGCATGTCACAATGAGTCTCTTTAGTCCTACTGTATTTCCAACTTCGTTACAATACACACCTAGGATAATATCTCCTCTTAAACCTTTGAGGGATTAAGATGCTCTAATATTGTTTGCGCAAAAGTATTGCTAGGCCTATGCTATGCAATAACAGCATCCAACTTTTTTGCTTTGTGTGTTTAAGCCAGCTCTGAGATATTCGTGCTAAGTGGATACTATCAAGATAACTTTTATTATTTTATGTCAAGGGTAACAAGTATTTTACACAGGACATATTGGGAGACATTGTAAATGTAGTGCAAGCTTAGAGTTAAGAATGCAAACCCACCACCTATCTCTTATTCCCACCTTGTCCTTTTTCCACGTTTTTCACAGCAGTAGTGAGAAAAGTGAAAAAAAGCGTTCAAAGTCAGAGAGGACATTCTAAATCCACAAATAAGAAATAAAAGGACCAAATTTCAATTTAAACAGACAAACTCTTCATTTTCCATGTTTGATTAAGTAATTAGTTTTCTTTCAGGCCCTATCACTGCAGTATTTCACAAAATATGCCCCATTTTGCTAAAGACAAACTGAGACCAAGTTAGAAGAGAGACATTCAAAATTCGTTAGGTTAGAATTAATTCATAGTTAGAAATATCACAAAGAAACCACACAGATGTTAAGTGATTAGTTGATTGTTCAGCTTGACAGCATCACCACTACGGCATATTAAATGAAGGGTTTGCTTCAGGTAAATAAATATCCGTGAGCATTTCACCATGCACTATTTTACAAAAATGGCACAAACAGGCGACAGGGACAAACATACATTGACTGAACAGTAGTGCTTGTACCTTTCTCTACCACAATGGGCCGTAACACCAATACAGGAAAGCCAGGATTAGGCCGATGAATACGGCTGGGACGGGTTGTAATATGGAAGGCTAAAGAAGGGAAGGGATATTAAAAATCATTTTTTGCTATAAAATCAATAAGGTAAAGATGATTTAGATGGGGGAAAATAAGTCAGAGTGAGTTTTGTTTTAATCGAAATGTATTAAAGACATCTAAGACGATACAGCATGATCTAATTCGGTATACAAAGTTAGTACACCACTCTACTCAAATGAACATGGATATTTAAAAATAAGATGAAGTAAGCAGAAAAATGTTCTAAGGAAGCCCTTTGTCACCACTTAGAATTTAGGATTTCAGATCCAAATGAGCCTTAGACTGATTTGTCAAACTATCACATTAGTGTCTTCCTTTTTAAAAGGGGAAAAAAAAAAAAAAGATGGGAGACTGAGCAAGGGTTTTCCTTTACACAATGAAACCTCATTCAGGCATCCCTATGCAGTGGACTCTGCATATTCAGAAGGTCCAAGCAGCACTACAGATTCTTCATCCATTTCTTCACATTCAGCAATTTTCAGCCTCCTGCCCACAAGAAAAAATTCTCTTCCTATGAATAACTTACAATTATATCACAATGGAAACCCTGTAGTCAAGACACTTCTATGAGACTGCAACATTATTCAACATTGGCAATGAAGTGTACCACAATGATGGAGTACATATCCATCAGGGGACCCTGGGAGATGAAAATCTCCACCAGGTCATCAGCTTCTGATAAGTCCAACTTTTAGCAATTTGGGCTAAGTCTTGATCTCTCACGTTGTGACAATGTTGTGTTTCTAGACAAATTTCAGGCCCTCGACATAACACATACATTGTCGTCTCAATGTTTTAATTGCACAGAAATTTGTTCAATTAGTTTTAATAGACACTAACACACCTCTTTTCTTTGAGCTTTGGCTGGATAACCTCTATCCTGTGTCATGCATTGGTTAATTCAATTTAAAAGGAGTGACTGATATAGGTGATGAGAATTAACTCATTAACTAAGTTTATTTTTTAAACTATCCTTAGAAGACACCTGATTTTTCTGTTTCTCTGGCTATATATGTGTGTAGGCATACCTACTCAGGAGTAAGTTCAGATCATGCTAGATGTCTTTTTAGTGCTCTTTTGTGCTAAGCCATGTTGAGTTTGTATAGTCAGCTAAATATGAGAAACTCATGTTTACAGACTTCATGGAATAAGTTTCTAATAGATTTTTTTAAAGTAATACAGGCATTTCATAGCGTAACTTCAAATAAAGGTCAACATATATGAAATTTAGAAGGTGTTCTGCCCTGTGCAATACATGCCTTGAATTTATGCTAATTTAAATTTGTTTTAATCAAAGCAATATCCAATGGGCAAGTTATGTGTAATTATAATCAAGGCATTTTCATGCAGTATCATTCTTGTAGTTTGTGCTGAAAATCCAAGTGACATCTTCCCACAAGAAGCATGGTGGTAGAAATAATCAATGCAGTGTCAAAAAAGTGCCAAAAGGATTTCAAATTGATCAAAGCACTTAACATGCTCAGAATCATTCACATGGATAAATCCATCACTTCAAGTCTCAGGAAATCATCAATAAACTACAAACATGCAAATACATGTAACTCCATAGGTCTATGCATTTAGAACATAACATTGCTTTTTAAAATTAATTCTTCACCCCGTCAAAAGAAAGAGGAACACAAAAATCCTGTGGATTTCCAATATAAGTTTGCAAATGGAGTAAAGGAATTCTCTCCTCTAGCATTTATAGCACATAGAATGGTCTACTGCATTTTATTTTAGCTGTATGCTGTATGCACCCATACAACATGCATGACATACATTAAAGGCAGCCACCACCTTAAATGTACTTGCCCACAAAAGACAAGACAAACTTTTTATTTTCTCCCCACACCACCCTGAAATATAATGAAAGTTTCCTCATTGCTATCCTCCTGTCAAACCAATGCTTGACTAAAAACATGCCCCTTACACTATGATTGAAGATCTGTAAACTCAGGTTTTGGCAGGCCAAAAAGGGAGGAAGTTCCACAGTTGGTGTCCTTTCTTCCAAAAAATCTTAGCCAAGAGTGAGGTGAAAGATGATGGCTTCAGCCACAAGAAGAGATTAGTAGTACCTGGAAAAAACTTCCAGGCCCTTGGAAGCTTCAGGATATTTTGAGTCACCTAGCAAGATGATTCTTGAGAATGCCCAAGCTTAACTAAATTTTCAAAGTTTTAAAAATGTCACCCCATGAGTGTTGAATTGAGACTCCTCTTAGGAATTCCTCCATACACTCTTGGCTGTTGCTCATTTTATTCTGACCTCCTCCAGCCTCCCCATTCTCGTTTCCCCTCAGTCCTTCCTCCCAGTTTTTCACTGACATACTTAGTTTGCTTCCTGAGGTCCAGGTTCTTAAAAGGTTAAGTGTAAGGAATCTAGTACTTACCACCAGCCACTCAGAGGATGTCTACACTGCATTATAAACTCATGTTTGAGCCCAACCCCCCCTACCATCCACACAAAATCTGACTCAAGTCAGCAAGCACTCAGGACTCGAATTCTAGGACCCAATCGGGTGGTGAGTCTGAGCCCAAGTCCTCCTGGGACTTGGGTCCCAGCCCTGTCAGTTTGCAGTCTGGACGCAGATCAAGCTATAGATCCAAGTCAGAAGGTCTGCATAGTGCAACATGGGTGTGTTAACATGGTTGTGAGACCTGGGTCCAGCAATTGTAAACCAAAGTTTTGAATGCAGTGTGGATGCTCAAGCATGGGCTTGGAAACATCTAGTCCACAAACGTGGGTGCCAAAGACCTGGGTTTACAATGCGGTGCAGACATACCTCTAATGTATTTCCTGCTGACACAGGCCCTTTTTCCTGTTCCCTCTCACTCACAGTGCTTAATGCCAGAAGGGACCACTAGAGCGTGGTCTGTCATTAAAAATTTGGGGAAGGATTCCAAGCAGGAAAGAAACTGGTGTGAGATTACCAAGAACAGCACATACAGCAAAAAGAAGAGCGTGAATGTGGCCTCCCCTTCTCTTTCCTCCTCTCCCAATTCTGCTGCATGTTAAGAAGTCTACAGGGGTTATATTAGTTCTAACAGTGTCAGTGGCATTCAGAGGTCGCTGTGCTTTGTAGGCACCAAAAGTTGTCTCTGGCAGTACACTCCATCCTGTGATATATTTAAAAATTAAATTACTACAGAAAAGACCATTCTAGTTACTGAGGCTGGAAAGCATAGTGCATTTGAGCTATACTTCCCAGCCTAAGTTCCCAGTTAAGCTGCGCGGCTCTGCAGCAGCCTATTTAGCTCTGCGCAGGCGCTCAAGGAACCAGCCCGGGGACCTGCCATGGCTGGGGCAGGGGTGCCCTTTCCCTGACCCCCACCTAGCCTGGCCCCCAACCTGCTGTGCCTGGACCTGCTGGCGAGGCGTGGCCAGAGTGGCCTGGGCCCAGCCACGGTTGGGGTGGGGCAGGATGGCCAGGGCTGGTGCCAGGCACAGCTGGAGAAGCCCATACCCACTGGGCCAGCATGGCTGGAGCGGCATGGGGCCAACTGCGGCCAGCCCTCTCCCTGCCTGGACCCAGCTGCAGCAGCCCACCCCGAGCCCAGACCTGCTGGGGCCAGGGGAGAAGCACCTATCCTGCAGCCGCAGCCCCAGAGCTGCTGCACCGGGGAGAGGTGCCCCTCACCACCATTCCAGGTGTTGCTATGGGGAGAGAGAGCTGGGGGGAGTCCTCTCTCCCCACTGTAGCCCCTGAGCACCCTCCTGCACCACAAACCCCTTATCCCCAGCCCCAACCCAGAGTCCACACCCCCAGCCAGAACCCTCACACCTTGCACCACAACCCGATGCCCGAGCCCTGAGCCCCTTATCCCTGGCCCGACCCCTGAACCTGCACCCCCAGCTGGAACCCTCACACCCCTGTGCCCCAGCCCTGAGCCCCTCATCCCTTGCCCCAGCCCTGAGCCTGCACCTTCAGCCAGGGCCCTCCCACCCTGTACCCCAACCCTCTGCCCCAGCCCTGAGCCCCCTCCTACACTCCAAACCCTTGGCCCCACCCCCACCACATGAATTTTATTATGTTCACCAATATGAAGGTGATGTGTCACACACCACCTTCATATTGGTGCACATAATAAAATTCATTCCACACATGGGTGAGAAATATTAGAGGGAACACTGTTCTCAACGTGTGCAGTACTAGCCCATCACGGCCCTTTGTCCTTAAGAGGCAAGACCAGGAGACAGTCAGAGGATAACATTTACTGAACGGACCATCACACAGAAGGAAAATATCCTGGGAAAGATCTGTTTTTCCTGTTATTTTTACTAAAATTGTATCCAGGTCTTTTGACTTCTGTACAGAAGATTTTCAGAGAGGATTTTTTGCATTTTTTTGTGAAGTGAAAACGTTTTACCTGGCTCTGTTTGCTAGTCATTAGTCCATATTTTTAAAGAGAGCAGAAGCACAGGGACATGTGTAAAACAGTGTATGCAGTTATGCACCTAATTTATGTGCACTATTACTGCAATTGTGTATTCAATCTGCATATTTGCACATGGAAATACACAGGAATCTAAATGGTTACTTGCATGTACAAAGACAGTAGGGCAGCACAGATTAGGTATGCATTTGCAGGTGGATTTTTGTACACATCCCTTTTGAAAATCTGGTCTTTACTGTGTAACACTCAGATGTTGTCACAATCAACACAAGACTTGCCATCACAGAGGCCCACACATAATTTGTACAGACTCACATTGTTTCCTTTTTCTTGTAGCAGCTTCAGGTTGTCTTTACATTGTTTGAGCTCATCTGTGATTGATTGCTTTTCTTGCTCAGTCATCTCAAACTTCAACTTCAGCTCTGAGAGTACAGTCTGTGTCTTTTCATACTAAAGGCAAAGAAAAAATCATCTACAGACTCATCTTAAATTGGACATTAGATGTTAAGTTCTGTTAAAGTAAGTCAATGAAGCTTCAGAAAAACTCTTCCTTTATCAACCACGTTTCAAGATAATTTGGTCTGAACTAGCAGTTCTATATAAAAACAGCAGATGAGAGATCTGTTTGGAGGATAATTAAAACCATCTTATATCCCAAAGAAAAACTACAACAAAGAACCTTCTTCCATTCCTACTGAAACAGTCTTCTAAGTTTCCTTTTTACTATGATTTCTCCCCCTTGTGTTGAAGGCTTAGAACTAGCTGCATGTATGCATTTGCTTTTTGGTAGCAAAGAGACTCATAACATCCTACTGCAGCTATAACTAAAGGAGAACAAAGTTTTATTTATATAACGGCTTATCTTGCATGATACCAACATCTTTACTAATGCCATATGTTATATTCATAAATTACGTCAGCTACGACTAGAATGCAGCCTTCTTCTTGGATAGAAGGCAGCAACTAAAAGTGCATACTACCGCACTTTGTTTTAAAAAAGTAAGTAAGGACCACCATTATCCAAATGAAACTGCATAGGGAATTTAAGAAGGCAGAATATAACACCACAAATCAAAATTTAGCCTAGAAATTGAGGCTACACTCCCCTAACACTAGTATAAAGTGATATGCAAACTTTAATGACAACTTCAGTAACTCTTTTACATTTCATTCAAAAAATAGCACATCCAACCACAGTATGCCCCCTAAGGACATACAGGGCATGAGTTCAGAACGGACTCAAAGTAGTATTTCTCCTACTCAATCTACTTCCTACCACACTCAGAGTTTTCCTTTGTAGGTTTCCCATACATTTGCTAACCAGATCAGACCCAGCTTTGTTTGTGATATAATCAACAGTGATGCTTCATTAGAATGATTTAAGTTGCCTAGGACATTCTAAGATAGTCCACTAATTCTGGAGTTCATCATTTACACAAACAAAAATATTTTCATATCGGGGGGGGAGGGGAGAATTATGCTGTTCTCAAGATGGATGAATTCACTATAGCATGTCATGTGAAACTACAGTGTGCTGGTGGCGAACTCCACTGACAGCCACACCTGAATATATTCAACTTATGTGCCACACCAAACACAATGTGACGGTGTCCCTCATTAATCAAGAGGGACAATAAATAGTAAGAACAGGTGTTCGCATGGCACTGTTGTAGCCAGTGTTGCAAGATATTTACGTGCCAGATTCACTAAAGATGCATATGTCCCTTCATGCTTCAACCCCCATTCTAGAGAGCATGTGTTCATGCCGATGACTGCTCTGCTTGATAACGATCCAAAGCTGTGCGGAACGACGCACATTCATTTTCATCATCTGAGTCAGATGCCACCAGCAGAAAGTTGATTTTCTTTTTTGGTGGTTCAGGTTCTTTGGTTTCTGCATCTGAATACTGCTCTTTTAACCTTTCTGAAACCATGTTCCACACCTCCTCCCTCTCAGATTTTGGAAGACACTTCAGATTCTTAAACCTTGGATCCAGTGCTGTAGCTATCTTTAGAAAACTCACATTGTACCATTTTTGTATTTTGCCAAATCTGCAGTGAAAGTGTTCTTAAAATGAACAATATGTGCTGGGTCATCATACAAGACTGCTATAACATGAAGTATATGGCAGAATGCGGGTAAAACAGAGCAGGAGACATGTAATTCTCCCCCCAAGGAGTTCAGTCACAAATGTAATGAATGCATTTTTTTTAAATGAGCATCACCAGCACGGAAGCATGTCCTTTGGAATGGTGGCTGAAGCATGAAGGGGCATATGAATGTTTAGCATATCTGGCATGTAAATACCTTGCAATGCCAGCTACAAAAGTGCCATGCGAACGCCTGTTCTCACTTTCAGGTGACATTGTAAATAAGAAGCGGGCAGCATTATCTCCTGTAAATGTAAATGAATTTGTTTGTCTGAGCGACTGGCTGCACAAGAAGTAGGACTGAGTGGACTTGTAGGCTCTAAAGGTTTACATTGTTTTGTTTTTGAGTGCAGTTATGTAACATCACAAATGTAGATTTGTAAGTTGCACTTTCACAATAAAGAGATTGCACTACAATACTTGTATAAGGTGAATTGAAAAATACTATTTTTTGTTTATCATTTTTACAGTGCAAGTATTTGTAATAAAAATATAAAGTGAGCCCTGTACACTTTGTATTCTGTGTTGTAATTGAAATCAATACATTTGAAAATGTAGAAAAACATACTGAATACATTTGAATTGGTATTCTATTGTTTCACAAGTGTGATTAAAAGCGCTTAGACAATGTGTCAAACATTCCTCTGTCAAGGGAAGCTTCTTCCTATCATTCAAGGTCTATAGATATTCAAATTATTTTATAGGCTACAAGGTAACCTTCACAACAGATCATTGGAGGGCTAGAAACCATTGCTTTAAGCATCAAAGCTAAAAGTTCTATATCCATAAAAGAGCTAAAAGTAGCAGCTCCTTTATGGATATAGAACTTCTGTAGTTATAATGTTATATGTTAACATTAATTTACATTTTTTTCTGAAACATGAAAATGGTATATAACATCATGGTGATGAATTTATGACAAAGCAAGGAAAAGGATTACAAAAAGGATAATGAAAAATCCACCAGTGGCTGGATAAAGCTTTTCTAATTGTGTTCATGAGAAAAGGAACTAACTATTGCAGCTTTTTTCCCCCATAGAGTGTGTGCTTTAGCAGCCTCATTTGAAGGGTTCTAACTTTATCATATGCACTTCTTAATCACCTTCAAAAGTCCTGAGGATCCAAGCGAGGCTCTATTAAATAGGAAGGACACTCATCTTTGCAGAGGATGTGAATTCCTAGTGCTTAGGAAAAATGGGTGCGTCTAATATAATACACAAATTGTCTCAGAACAGTTACTACCTGTTTATAAAGGTTACTGGGAATTTAATGCTGTGGTCAAGAAGATGACTGACTATCTGCCATCTGAATGGTAGTCGTAAGGGAAAGCTGCCCATGAACAGCTTAACAAACAGAGTAAAAGCAAGTATTTAGAAAGTTGCCAAACACACATCTTATTTGAGCTTCCCTTTAAGGTTCACATATTTCCTCATTTGTGCATCAAGTCCCACTGACACAGAACCACTAATAACAATTTTCAGAAGTTTTGAGGTCATAGCTATTTTCACTGTATTTCCATCTAGCTAGCATAAATATCAGTTGCTGGTCATAGGATCCAATCATAACAGGAATTAATGTCTTTCCTTTTACCTCTTTCTGAACATCCTTTGCTTGATTCTCAGCTTCACTGAGTAGAGTTTTTAGACTAGCTGCATCGCGTTGATGCTGTTCCTTCAAAGATCCCACTTGATTTTCAAGTTCCTTTCGGGTCATTTCAAGAACACTTAGATCACCGGTTAGCGCTAAACTCTGTCTCTGAGAACTGCAAAACAATATTCAATTCATGCCTCACATTTTAAAGTAAAACATTTACATAATTTATAAAGCACTTTTTATCCCTAAGAACTTTACAAACCATATGCATACCATACAGCACTACCAAATTGCAGCTACCCCTGGGATGGAGAGCAGCATCAGCACACCATATAACAAAGGAACTGGGGAACGTCGGTGCCGCAGGTCTCTATCAGAGTCTGACTGTGTTGCCGTTCTTACTGCTGAAGCTGGGGCGCTGCGTAGCGAAGCGCTCGGTGCCAGGTCTTGGCGCACCACTGGAGGCTGAGAGCCAACTCCATGGGGAGCTGTCCTAAGCGAAAGTCCTGCTCCTTCTTAGTCCGGGTATGAAAACGCTTGCAGATCCTGCAGTTCTCTGCTTGGTGAGACTGCCCCAGACGCTTCAGGCAAGAGTCTTAGGGGTCGGCCCTTGACATAGGCTTGGAGCAGGAGCCTTAGGGCTTAAAGCCCAGAGCCTTGGGCATGAGCCCATGCAAAAGACAGGGAGGAGGGAAACCCCTTCCAACCCCACTAATAAGAACAACTATACTATAACTATAACACTATACTATAACTATCAACTATTAAACTATGTAGGAAAAACGCTAGGGAGAGTGGAGAGTAGCAAAGCCAAGCTCCACAGTTCCAACAACCGTCATGGGCGGTAAGAAGGAAGTAAGGGGGCGCTGGGTCGGCTGGGGTATATCCAGCGCCATGAAGGCGCCACTCCAGGGGGCTCCCCAGCTGACCCACCGGATGTTGCTAGGGTAAAAATTCTCCGACGGCCGTGCATGCGGCGTGCGCACACCTAATTGAAACTGATATGAGCAAGCACTTTAAGAATAATAATATTTTTGGATTATTATTTATACACAGAAAATAATTACAAATACTTTTAGTAGAAACTAACTCAGAAGAACAGTGCATCTCAATGAGATAGTTACAGTATGCATAATGTACATATATCTACTTCAATTCTAGCTTATCAGTAACAAATTAATAAATATCTTGAATATTCTAAAATAGAAAATATAATGGTCTTCATGCAAATCTAATTATTTCATAAAGTTTTGTGCTTCATTAATGTAAAAATCTGTACGTTAATAATTAAATACTAAGTATTTAAGTTAAGCAATTGTAATTTGTGACTATAAAATATAAGCAATAGAAATATGAACCACTCTCTTAGAAACCACTGGCTTTCTTCTAAGAATAGAAACAGATCATCTGTGTCCCCACATCTGAGCATGAACATTTTCTGTGAAGAAACACAAGTGCAAAAGTGATCACATATTTACGTGCACAGACCACTGCGACTACTTTTAGAAAATTAGCCTGTGCTACATTTTTACCTAGTCAGGATGGAGTAAGATCCTGTGGGGAAAAAGATTGGTGCACATCATCAGTGAGAATATACCACTAGAGAGGCCTGAACTGGCAACAGAGGGTTGCTGGGAATATAACAGGTCTAGATATTGTTATATGGGAAACTATAATGGGGAGGTGTGGTGGTGGTGGTGGTGGTAGACTGGATACAGTAGAAACGTGGGGTAGGAGAGAAGAGGGGAAATGAAGTGTCAGGAGTTAGAGAAAATGGGAGCAGAAATAGAATGAAGGGAGATTCATGTATAAGATTTGGCTTCAGTTTGCCTAAAACAATAACTCGTCCCTTCTTGGAATGCTCCACTGCAGGGAACTTCCATTGGTAACTATAACTAGAACCTATGGCACTGAGAACATTAAAAGAAAAGGGTAGGTACGTGGTAAAAATTCAAGTCTAAAAGAAGAAAAGGTTACTCACTTTGTGCAATAACTGTGGCTCTTTGAGAGGTCTCTCTCTATGGGTGCTCTACTTCAGATGTGCATGTGCCTCTTGAGCCCCTGATCAGAGATTTTACATTAATGATGTCAGTTTGGCCCATGCATGCGCCCTGTACCTCCTCATGTCAGACACCAAGGCTATATGCGGGTGCACATGCAACCCACCTTCAGGTTTCTTCTCCACCAGAACATCCCTAGAGAACAGTCCAAAGCAGAGGGGAAGGAGGGTTAATAGTGGAGCACCCAAGGGACATACATCTCAAAGAACCACAGTTACTGCATAAAGTGAGTAACCTCTTCTTAGACTAGTGTCCAGGTGCTCCACTTCAGGTGACTTCCGAGCAGTCTCAGATACTCTCAGATACTAGCACAGTCTTAAGAAATGCCACAGATGTTGCTTGTGATCTGTCAAACGTGCTATCACCCTTTGGGTTGGGGGGGGGGGAGGGAGAATGAATGCCTGCAGCATCATAAGTGATAATGCATTCAGATATCCCTCTTGATAGTCTCTGAGCAGAGATTGTGGACCTTTTGGATCTATCTGCATAGCAGATGAAGAGCCTAAGTGACTTTTGAAATTGTTTGGTCCTATTGAAGTAGAAAGCTAATGCCCTAAAAATACAGGACATGGAAACAGGATTCCTACACAGAGCTATGTGGTGTCAGAAAAAACACTGGATGATGAATGGATTGGTTAAACTGGAACTCCAATAGAACATTAGGTCTTTGAATACCATAAAGGAGGGGGAGATCTGCCATCAAGGCTTCCCTCTCCCCAATTCTGCAGGTCGACATGATGGCTACTAAAAAGGCCATCTTCTTAGTTAAATGGAGCAGAGAACAGGTTGCCATAGGTTCAAATGGAGGTCTCAAGGTAACTAAGGACCAAGTTTAGGTTCCAGGCTTGGTGGGGACTTTTATCTGGGGTAGAGATTCCCCAAACTCTCAATAAACCTAGATGATACCAGGTGAGCAAAAAATGGAGAATTCTTCTCCTGGAGGATGAAAGGCTGATATTGCAGCCAAATGGGCCTTAATCAGACTAACTTTCTTCAGATTCAGCAGGTAATCCAGGATGACAAAGTGGCACAAATTCAGGAGGAGGCAGCAACACCACCACCAATGGAAAAATCTCTTCTATTTCTGCAGATAAGAAGTTTGGGTTGACCTCTTTCTACTATTCATTAACACCTGTTGTACTTCCACAAAGTGAGAGGATTCTAACTCCATGAACCATCAAGAAACTATACCCTGAGGTGGAGAACTCCTACAATGGTGTGAACCACACGACCCTTATCCTGTAAGAGGAAATGAGATGTGGTTGCATCTAACCACCATTCAAGCCCAAAGGTGGAGCAGGTAAGGGTAGCAAACTTGTCTCGACCAGACTGGCACTATAAGGGTAACTCTGGTCCTGTCTGATTTTGTTAATCACCCTTCATATCAACAGTGTTGGGGAAAATGCATACAACCGACCTTTCTTCCAAGACAGAAGAAAACTTCTCCCCTCTCAAGTAGAAAAAAGGGCACCTCTTGTTCCTGCAGGTGGTGAAGAGATCCACCTTTGGCAGTCTCCATCTTTGCAATATGCTGTGGAGAACTTGAGAGTCTAACTCCCATTCATAGTCCTATGAGGACATAGGCTGTAGTGTTCTGGATATCTGGGAGGGTGGACCACTGAAATTTGGATTTGATGACCTATACACGAGTCGCATAATTTCATGGCTTTAATGCACAAGTGCTCCTTGCTGCTTGTTGACATAAAACATGCAGGATAAGTTGTCAGTCATGACCCTGATTGATATGTCCCTAATGAGGAGTGTGAAATGAAGGCGGTGTTCCTCAGAGCCAGGATTGATCTGGAGACTGGTTTCCTAAATTGTCTATCTGCCCAGAGTCATGAGGGCATTGAAGTGGGCTCTTCGTCCCAACTGTGAACAGTGGCAGGTGTCTGACGCACGTTGTTGGCTGGATCTCAGAGCATCTCGTTAATGGGTACCACCACACTGGAGGATGTTGCTGACTGCAGGATATCCAACAGTTTGTGCTGTGAGTCCCCTGACTTCTTCAAATGGAATTTGAAGAGCATCCACTACCCCCTTATGAGGTCTTGAAATTGCCAAAAATGGTTGGCCAGGAATGGTGGTATAGGCATAACTGCCTCACTCGGAGACAAGGATAAAATAGGTATTGGAGGGGTGGCCTCTATCTGCCCTGGCCTCCTGCTTCTCAAATGTCTCCTCCTGTGTGTGGCAGAAGGAGGGCAGGGGAAGGGGAGCTGGTTGGGGAGGAGTGGGCTGTACAGCTCTAATACCATAGGAGATAGTACCAGTAGTCTGTGAACTGCTGCTGATAAGCAGCCCAGGGGTCCCAGTCTGGTCCCTTCCCCCGCTCCCCAGGAGTGGGGGTGGCATGCAGGGTTGGTTCCACCACCTTAATGATGAGTGCAATCTTTCCTGTGATGGTCAAAGAATGGGTTCCTGAAGAACCCTGAACGGAAACAGAAGAGACCACCTGGAAGTCTCCTTCATCCTCCTCACTATTATCCAATGGAGGGGCACCGGCAGAAAATGGTGGAAAGTTATGCCGTAGTGGAGGACGGTGGTCCAGAGATCAGGGTCTTGGTACTGAGAGGTGCTCAATTCCCATGAGAAACAGGGACTCTGGTTCATCCATTACGGAAAGGTCCTTTGTGTATCTAAACTTCTGAGGTATTGAGTAGGGGTTCGGTAGCAATGCAGTAGCAGAGGACAATATCACACTGATGGTGGGTGTACCAATGTAGATGCCAATGATGCCTTGGTGCCATTGCTTGCTTGGTACCAAGAGTGCTGAATGCATAGGTATCAACGGTGGGGCTGTGCTTGATGGTGCCAGTCCAGAGTGCCCATGCTTGCCCTCCTCATCCCTGGTACAGGGTACCAAGGATGTCCCTCTCCTTTGAGCTCCAGGACTTTCCAGGCCCACCGGTATTGAGGGAGGAGTCCCTTGACTGAATGGTATCGAGTCGAGAGGTCTAAGCTTTGGAGGCTGTAGATGTCACAAGGGACCTGGGGTTTTTTTGAGCTGGTTCCTTAGGATGAGAGTTCATATTTCTCTTTTTTGGAAGGCTTCCCTCAAGCCTCCAAAGCCTTCCACTTCTTCGGGGAAGCCTGCGCCGAGGTTGAAGGGACACTGGATCTGTTCAGAGCAGATTTATGGGTGGGGGAGGAGTCTCCTGACCCAACTCAGAAACTGGTCAAAGGGAGCATTCCATCATCAGCAATCTGAATTTAATCTCCCTCTTCTTCCTTGCCCTGGACTTGAGGGCCAAAGCAGAAGTTGCTCTTCTGGGAGATGTGAGACTGCCCAAAGCAATGGACTCACTTAGAGGGGCAGTTGCTCACAGGTATAGCCTCTTGGCAGGAGAGGCAGTGTTTGAAACCCACTGAGCCACATATGCACTGGTAGGAAAAATAAGTCTCTCAGAGAAGAAAGAGAGGAGTAAAAAATCTCTTACACTTTTTCTTTAACTATAATTATTACTAACAACTAACTAATCTTAACAAACATCTCTAGAAAAACAGAACAGCTGAGACATGCTCAAAGTGGACATGCTAAGGCTCAGTCTCAGGCTGAGGTGGTTGAGAAGGAACTGAAGGTGGTTCACCCACACACCCCTGTACAGCCTTGGTGTCCAGTATGAGGAAGCACAATGCACATGGGCAGGTCAAACAGACGCTGCTAATGGACCGTTTCCAAACAAGGACTCAAGAGGTGCATGGGCACCTGAAGCAGGGCACCGATGTGGATACTACTTGAAGAAAAACAGGTTATTGTCTCAGTACTATACTCTAGATGAACAATCAAGACACAAGATTCCAAAAGTGAAGACAAAAGGGATAATGGAGGAAGAGGGGATAAAACGGACAAATTACTACTGTGTAAGTTGGATGTCTTAGGCATTCTTTAGCAGTAGGGTAAAAGGACTCAAGAATGAAGGAACAAAAAGATCAAAACATATTCTAAATAATCCTGTCACACACACTTTATTATTATTTCATTGTGAAGTATATACTTGTTGTAAGAATGGGAGATTTACCTTTATTAATTGCCATAACATGGTAAATGAAATACATCTTACAACATAGTATCGCTTCAGTGAAGTCTACCATAACTAAGGCTAAGATTTTGTCATGGATATTTTTAGTAAAAGTCACAGACAAGTCACGGGCAATGAAGAAAAATTAATGGAATCCCGTGACCTGTCCCTGACTTTTACTAAAAATATCCATGATAAAATGGGAAGGGACTGGGCAGCTGTGGGGCGGCTGGGAGCCCAGGGACCCCCACCACCCATGGAGGCTGAGAGCTCCCGGGTCCACCTGCCCTCTTCCCAGCAGCAAGGAGCTGCAGGAATCCCTCTACCGCCGCCAGAGTGGGGAGCTGAGGGGGTTCCCCTGCCTGCCCCAGTGGTGGTTGGGGAAGTCTCCATCCCCCACAGCAGCCAGGAGCTGCGGGGTACCGCCCCTGCCTGGGAGCTTGGGGGCCCGCTGCCTCAGGTGGTGGGGGTACTTCACAGCTCTCTGCTGCTGCAAGAGGTGGCAGGACCCTGCAGCTCCCAGCTGTTGGGGCTGAAGTCACGGAGGTCTTTGAAAGTCATGGATTCCGTGACTTCTGTAACCTCTGTGACAAAATTGTAGCCTTAACCATGAACATCAGTGATGTGACAGAACAGAACACGGGTCGGCAACCTTTGGCACCCGGCCCATCAGGGTAAAGCCGCTGGCAGGCCGGGCCCATTTGTTTATCTAGAGTGTCCACAGGCACGGAGCCCTGCAGTTCCCACTGGCTGCGGTTTGCCGTTCCCGGCCAACAGGAGCTGTGGGAAGCAGTGGCTAGCTAGTCCCTCGGCCCAAGCCGCTTCCTGCAGCTCCCATTGGCTGGGAGCGGCAAACCGTGGCCAGTGAGAGTTGCAGGGCTCTGTGCCTGCGGACACTCCAGATAAACAAACCGGCCTGGCCAGCCAGTGGCTCTACTCTGATAGGCCAGGTGCCAAAGGTTGCCGACCCCTGGAATAGAGGATCCTGTAATCCTATCTCAATGTTATTTGCAAGCTCCAAATGTTAAGCATTTTCTAATCCAAGTTTTTACACATTTTTTTTTCTTTTGGGCAGTAAAGGAAGACAACTTTTACTAAGTTTAACTGACATCAGAATGCATATTCCCAAGTCCCTATTAAAGTGGCAAAATTTAATTTAAAATAGGATGTGTCATCTGAAGCATATTCTATGTTCATTAGTAATATACAAATATTTAAAGAATGGAGCACAAAATGTGTAAACGTAACTAATTGTAAACGTGAACTGTTCTTTGACCAAAATGATCTGTAAATCAAAAGTTAATAAAATGCATAATATACACTCCAGTTCTCTTGTGTACATGCTATTTAAAAAACAAAACAAAAAACATAATTGGCCCCTAATTTTTGAAGTCCTTTTTAGCTGTTATAGAAACCTTTTGAGCTAAGACCATTTGTAACTGTTGCCGGCACCCAGTGCCGAAAGGCAAAACAACAGCAGGGGTTTGTTACACAGTGTGCGTCACTCAATAATCACAACGGGGTGGAGAAGTAGAAAAGTTTATTTGCAGCTGCAAACAAGGTACAGGGAGAACAGAATCTCAAATCCTGCACACCAGAGCAGGTCATTACACACACTTTTATATTCCTTAATGCTACTGCACTACACATCAGCCAATTAAAACTTTGCACAAATACTCTGCCTTCCTTATATGGGTTACAACAATGTTTATTTCCTGCAACCTCTAACAAGCATTCCTAGCAACTTAAACAACCAGCACATTCTGTCTGGCCTTATAGCTGTCTCTCTCCTATTATCTTTAACTTGGCGTCAGCAAACCTTACAGTATAAGGCATTATCTGAGGCTGCAACATTGTTTTAAGAGCAAAAGAGCTTACTCAAACCAGCCAGGCCTGAATTCTATTAAGGGTGGTTGAGAAGAAGTCCTTGGCCTTCAGCAGGGAGATTTCCTCGACCCTTATGGCCTTCCATCCCCTCAACTTAACTAGTGGCCATACCCTGGGATCTCCAACATAACCTTTAGAGTCAGTAGCTCTTACCTATGAAGCTCCTTCTCTTGTCGCTGAAGTTCAGATGCAAGCAAAGTATTCTCATTCTTTAAGGAGAGGCATACAGCTTCTAGATCACTCCACTCCCTTCTCAACTTTTCAAGTTCACCTGTAAACAATGTAAAGTTACTCTGAGTAAAATAGTCACAGAAATAATGTTTCATGTGCCCTGAAAAAGTAACAAGGAAAAATCTGAGAGGACTTGTAAAAACTAACTTGTCAAGTTGATTATGTTATACAATGTTTTTGTGGCACAGAACTAGTATATATCGTATATCAAACTATAAGCCAACATTATTAATAGTTTGAGACACTTCAACACTTAGATTAAAATCATAGAAAATTAGGGTTGGAAGAGACCTCAGGAGGTCATCTAGTCCAATCCCCTGCTCAAAGCAGGACCAGCCCCAACTAAATCATCCCAGCCAGGGCTTTGTCAAGCCTAGCCTTAAAGACCTCTAAGGATGGAGGTTCCACCACCTCCCTAGGTAACCCATTCCAGTGCTTCACCACCCTCCCAGTGAAATAGTGTTTCCTAATATGCAACCTAGACCTCCTGTATTGCAACTTGAGACCATTGCTCCTTATTCTGTTATCTGCCACGACTGAGAACAGCCTAGCTCCATCCTCTTTGGAACCCCGCCCTTCAGTTGAAGGCTGCTCTCAAATCCCCCCTCTCTTTTCTTCTGCAGACTAAACAAACCCAGTTCCCTCAGCCTCTCCTCATAAGTCATGTGCCCCAGCCCCCTAATCATTTTCATTGCCCTCCACTGGACTCTCTTCAATTTGTCCACATCCTTTCTGGGGGGCCCAAAACTGGACGCAATTCTCCAGATGTTACCTAACCAGTGCCAAATAGAGGGGAATAATCACTTCCCTCGATCTGCTGGCAATGCTCCTACTAATGCAGTCCAATATGCCGTTAGCCTTCTTGGCAACAAGGGTGCACTGTTGACTCATATCCAGCTTCTCATTCACTGTAATTCCCAGGTCCTTTTCTGCAGAACTGCCGCTTAGCCACTATTTCTTAGTGCTGCTATTTCTTATAAAAATTCAAGACAGTTACCAAAAAAAGTCTTTAGATGTCTATTACTAGAATTTGAAAACAGAAAAAGTTATGGAAAAGTTTATTTGAAGCATCTGCTTTTCCAGCCACTGACATCTAACTACAAAATTATTAGCACAAGTAGAGTTCAGGAGAATCAGAAGTTACTAGTTGCCATACATGTCAGAGCCACGTAACAAAGCATTCAAAGCAAACATTAGAAGCTTGAAATCACATCTGTGAAAATCAGCAACCAATGCAACTAGTAGAGAAAGAGTCTTGGGGATGCAGTGACAAGAGACTGGATTAGGCAAAGCTCTCTTAAGGTATGTCTATACTGCAATTAGGCACCCATGGCTGGCCCATGCCGGCTGACTTGGGCTTTGGAGCTGTTGAATTGCAGTGCAGACTTTCTGGTTGAGGCTGCAGCCTGAGCTCTGGGACCCTCCCACCTCACAGGGCCGTAGAATCCAGGCTCCAGCCCAAGCCTGGACATCTACACTGCAATTAAACAACCTCGCAGCTCGAGCCGGAGTCAGCTGGCATGGGCCAGTCATAGGTTTTTAACTGCAGTGTAGACATACCTCAGAGACCTTCACAAAGAGTAATTAATGCAGAATTCTAAATCTTGGGTATGTCCCAACTTCCATCTACATACCACTGAAGAAATTTCAGTACAAGTATAATTTATACTGCTCTTACTGTATACTGTAATCTGTATCCTGAGCTCCTTGAACTTCTTAATGCAGATGTCAGTATGGAAAGTTTGTATCACTCTTTCCTCTAACATAGGTTCAAGATACACACCAGAATTGGGGCTGACACTGTAAGATGCTACTGGAGTGCAGTACTGTAGGGTGCAGTTCCATTCATCATCTATATAGTTTTTGTATTGGTGCCCATCATTGTAGTATCTGAGCACATCGCAGGTTAGCAGATTGGCACAACAAGATCCCTAGTGAACTTCTGGAGTCTATGGCTCTTCCTTGGAAAAAATAAGATCCTCTTGTAGTGAGAGAGATTGGTTGGGAGAAGTAGTTGTGTCACTCTTGTTATTGTGGTAAAGTTTTTGTGAAAGAGGTAGATCTTGAATTGTGACCTAAATGTGCCAGACTCCAGATTAGTTCTCTCTCTCTTGGGAATTTGTTCCCTAGCTGGATTCCCTCCTCTGAGAAATGCCTTGTTGCCTGCTCTCACGTGATCATGGTTTGCAACCTGTATTGCCCAATATGAGTGCAATAGTCTTGACAGCTGATAGACTGCACTGAAAGGATCAATTCCTTGAACTGGCAGCAGAAGTGAACTGGAAGCCAGTGGATCCTCCAGGCCTCTTAGCCAAATGTCTAGAAGATTATAGCTACAGAGGTTTGCTGAACACTTTGCAACTCCTGTAGTAATGTATATTCCTATAATATGTGGACTTTGCCATGCTTTTCAGCTAGTGCCACAATACTCTTATTTCAATGAAAAGCATAGCTACGTTTATAACGAATATCTTATAGGAACAATTAGACAAAATTTAAATTCCCATTTAAGTGACAGAAAGCAGTGTAGAATTATTATGTAGTGTATTCATGTGAAGTTTCGAGTTAAATTTCAAATTTGTTTACACTATGGATTTTGATAGTAAAGAAAATACACAATAATAATGACCTGAGTAATTTAATTCTAAATATCTGCCACTCAGACATCAAAGTGATTGTGACAGTTCCCATCAGGATGGGTCATGACTTTCTTACCTTGTAAACGAGTAGCTTCCTCTCTCTGCTGATCCTCACACTGCTGACATCGCAGCTGGAAACTGGCTTGAAGACTGACAATTTCTTTTTCGTATTCGGAGGCTTCTTTCCGCCAGCGTTCAAGTTCAGCCCGCACCTCCTGCAGCTCTTCTTGCAAAGCAGCAATATCAGTTTCTCGTTCTGATGCAGCCTTTTCTGCCCCTTGCTGAAGGAGCAAAATCTCATCTTGAGCACATAACAATTCATTTCGAGCGCTTGAAATTTCATTCTCCTTTTCCTCACGAAGATTCTCAATATCTTCCTGCAACCTATGCAGCTGGGCTGGAAAATAACGTATGCAAGTATAGATTTTTCTAAGGTTTATTTATTACATTTGAAGAAAACCTACAGGGAAAAAACTCCTCCCTTAACTATACTCTAAGTAGATTAATGATGACATCTCTAGCAACTCAGTTCCAGATTTAACTTCATAGTTGGGATTAAATTTTGGATGGGAATGGTTTCTCCGGTCCAGGATGGATTTTCTGGTCAAAGTAAGAATAAGTAAGAGAGAGCCCTTCTCCAACACCAGAATAGCCAATATCCCAGTGGCTAGGGTACTCACCGGTGATCTGGGAGATCTGGGTTCAAGTCCCTGCTCTACCATTGTCTACATCCCTAACTATCAAGCTATTCGTTATTCTAGGGTGGGTCTCTCCCCATCTCTCCTGTTGGAGCTGTTCCACTCTAAAAATATTCAGTGGAGTAGGGACTCAAACAGGGTCTTCCACATCCCAGGTGAATGCCCCGACCACCAGGCTATTGGCTATTCTGGGATCTCTCTGGTTTCCATGAAAACCTTTTTGATAAATTTAGCATAACTTTTTAATTTTTATTCCCCCATCAAACCTGGCAAAGGACCAATAAATATTCCTTCAGTAAGGAATATTTTTTCTTGAAAAATTTTGAATTTTAGTGTAGTCTCAGTTATTAATGAATAAAAAGGTCTCAGAATCCTTTGGGCTGGGGTCAAACATGAGAAGATTCATATCCAGAGAATATTTTTTTAGAAAGCTATTAGCATTTGAAAAATATGGTCATGCTGTAAGGTAATCTTCATTGTAACAATAGCTGCCAGGCAGTGTTAGAATGGTTTCTGAAACACTGCGTGTAATTTGGAGAGCTATTAAAATGAAGTTTCCATGACACCTTTTTTTATTTAGGCAACAGACAAAAGCCATTGCCTCATCTGATCTGAGCCCTTTCATTATACAAGGACTAATTACATGGGCCCTCACAGTCTCCCTACTCTTCCCATCCACGGATGGAGGGAGCACTACTCTTGGGGAGGTAGGGATTCAGCTGCTTCTGTGGCACTACCCCTTCCCATCCCCCACTCTTCTCCAGACATCACAGATGTGGGTCAAGGAAGAGTGGTGCGCCAGAGGTGCGATGAGTCTGACCACTGTCCACTTTCCTAACCCCATGCAGATCTTCTAGAAAATATACTAGAACATCTTCCAGGACAGGGGTGGCCAACCTGTGGCTCCGGAGCCACATGCGGCTCTTCAGAAGTTAATATGCGGCTCCTTGTATAGGCACCAACTCCGGGGCTGGAGCTACAGGCACCAACTTTCCAATGTGCCAGCAAATGCTCACTGGTCAACCCCAGGCTCTGCCAAAGGCCCTGCCCCCTCCCCTAAGCCTGCACTGCCCTCTCTCCTCCCCAAGAGCCTCCTGCATGCCACGAAACAGCTGATCAGGAGGTGCGGGGAGGGAGACTGAGGCACTGATCAGTGGGGCTGCTGGTGGCTGGGAGGCACTGGGAGTGGGGTGGGGGAGCTGATGGGGGGCTGCTGACATATTACTGTGGCTCTTTGGCAATGTACATTAGTAAATTCTCGCTCCTTCTCAGGATCAGGTTGGCCACCCCTGTTCCAGGAGTCCTTGGGGACAGTGAAACCAGAGAGAGTTCACTGTAAAGCATAACCGGCAAGGAGCTAAGGAGCTAGCAGAAGAAAAGAGTTAGAGCAGAGGCCCACAGCCTCCGTGTGGGTCTGCCAGGTTTGTGGGCAGGCACTGAGGGTTATTTTTTGCCAGTGGCTCCCACTCTACAAAAGAATAGCAAAGAAACAATTTGAGGGGATCCTTGTTGAGATTTCTCCTCCTCCTCCAGAATCACATTTCCCACTTTTACTACTGCTTTGGTTGGTTGAAAGACAGTTTTCGGCTAGGCTGTTAACAGAGCAGCCAGCTCAATCAGATTATTCCTCAGATTTTTCTGCAGGAGGGCATTATCCTGGGAAAGGCCTAAATATGTTTAGCCGGAAGGCACATGCGGTACTCTATACACTTTTCAGTGCGAGTGGTATATTACTGAAATTATCACCTGTAAACTCATTTGCTGTAGCTATTTTTATTCTCATTAGAAGTTGTTCTTCCTTAGCTTGGTGATGGTTGCTTCCAGATCTACAAGTTTGAATGTAAAAATGATGTAAGCATTGGATTCCATTTTGCTTTATCTGTTTTGGGCTGGAAAACTCACGGTTTGCTTATTTACCTCAGGTGGAAACAGCCAGTAATGCAATGCCATTCCTTCATAAAAGTATAGGCAGTGGTTTCACTAAAATTTTTTATTATTTCAGATTTTGAATTTGGAAGTTGCTTTGGAATGGACAGAAGAAGAACTTATTTAGGGAACTTCTACCAATAAGGGAAGAAGCTGACCAGGGCATAAAACCTAAATCACGGTAAGAATTAAGCATGCCTGTCAAGTTCAGAATGCCTGTCAAAAGACAAATGTAAGGTAGCACAGCAGGCCTTTTTGGAGAATCTAAAGGTGAAAGGGAAAGAGAAAAAATGCACACTATAGATTATTTCCTGCTAAAACCTAGAAAATACAATGAATCAGTAGTGTACGAATCACTGAGAAGCATAAATTGATACAGTTCAACTCTCAACTACACTCACGAGAAATTAGACTAAGATTCATAGATAATTATTTCCTTTTATAAAAGTTACCCGATGCCACCAAAAGTGACAGAAGTATTTTCTTTTATACCTGACGTATAAAGAGTAAAGAGAAAAATCAATTATTTCATACCTTGCAGAAACTGTATTTGCTTGGTGGACTCCTCAACCTGCAGCCGGTAGGCTTTTCTCTCTTCTTCCAGTAGTGCTATAAATGAAAGTGGAAATGTGCCTAAAGTTGTAATTAGTTCAAAATTTTAAAAAAATCTTCAGCTGTATAGTTTAATAATTTAAAAGTTAATCTCAAAGTCAAATTATTTCCCCAAAAATGGAGTTTGAAAGATTAAAATAATCAGATTTCAACAAATCAAAGCTAATGCATATGTAAGTAGTTTAATAAAAAGTTAATACTTTTAAACGATTTTTGGTAGTAGTATAATTAATCTTAGATTGTAAACAACTAATATTGCCAGTCGTTTTGTCTTGGAAATGCAACTGTACTGTGTGCGAGGGGAAAGCATATAGAAAGAAATTTGTAGAGATTTCCCAAAAGAATGTTGACTACAATGAGTTTGAACTACATTACATAGTTTTCTGCAAAAGTAAACCAACACTTTTGCTATTTGCACTGATACGATTGTAACAGGACGTATGGATGGGGAGTCTAAAAAATGATCTAGCTATCACTGAACTCATTTAACTACCTTTATTGTCCAATTAAAATAGATGAATCAAAGAATACATACAGATAAATAAATTTTGCATTTCATTAACTCACTTAAAGGTGTGGTACTGCTAAAAGGAGACTGTCACATCAATTTAGGCCCAAAATTTAGGTTTTGCATAAAAGATTACTTATAAGCTAGAGACACTGGCAGGTTAAAGATACCTTTTTCTACATATGGGCAGTAAAACAAAATATTTACTGTATTAGACAAAATTGGTTTAAGCAGCCCCTTTTAAGGTTAACTGATATATTTACTTAAGGACAATTATTCAGATTTGCACTTAAATTTGATTCTACAGGGCAGTCATTCAAATCTTTTTTTATCTCTGTCTCACCTTGAAGTTCGAAGCATTTTTGTTTACTTGTTCTAGCTAGCTCTTGGGCTTCAATCAGCTCCTTGTGCAGCTGCTGAATTTCTTGTTTAGTCTCTGTTTCTGATTGTGCACCCTGTAATTCATCTGATAAAAGAACATTTTTATTTTGAAGCATAAGTTTGCATAGCAACTTTATTTGTACTGCCACATAAAGACAGGCAATGTTTTTGGCTTCAATCATGCAACATGAGCCACAATAGTTATCACTGGGTTAGGTAGAAGTTAGCAAAAAACATTAATCTATTTAGCAGTTTGTTTTAATCTTGAGTGAAATGAAAGTAAAACAATCGTAGTTATATCCAACATGCAAAAAAAACCATAACATATACAAGGAATCCCAGTTTACATAACACTTAGTGAAATTTAAACTTTTTTTTTAAATATTGCATAGAATTGGCATATCTCAGGATTATATTCAAGAAGCCTTAATGTTGCTGATATTTCATTTTAAATGTTCTTTTTGTGCATGTAACGTAATTTATAAAGTATAAAGAACGTACACAGTTTCTTTGAAAGTCAACTTCAGAAGTTGCTAGCAGAAAGAATTCAGTATGTCATTTCAGCAATGATGAAAGTATATAAAACACAACATGATTTATAATGCCATACTTGGGCTAACATTTCTGAACTTAGGTGTCTCAAGGTAGGCACCTACATGAAAGCACCCTGATTTTACAGAAGCGCTGAGCAAGCCATTTGAAGTCAACAGGAAAAGCAGATGTTCGGCCCAACTGAAAGTCAAGCCAAGTTTTGGCCTAAAAACTTGCTTCACTGTGACATTACTTTGAAAATATTAAAAGTTCCTTTAATCTGAGATCATGTCTAAGGATGTATTTTTAGCTCAAATACTGGTAAGCATATGAATTATGCTTACATAAAATACATATGAATACATAAAACTTGTCAAATCTGTTCTTCCTCATCTCAAAGTTTTGGTATTATTTATAAAATTGCATAAATAAAAGACCTCAGGGAATAAAAAGAAATCATCTGTGCCAATGGACTAGAAATATTCATATTCGTCTGAAATAAATACAAAATACTTTTTCAACTTAAAATTACTGAATGCTCAAATAGCAGAAAAAAGAGAAACATATAAACAAACGTGTAAAAACCTTAACTAATAACAGCATATCATTCTCATTGTCTATTAATAATGGAGTACCAGTAGTATGACATGGTAGACTACAGGAGAAAGAGGCAGTTCTAGCTCCAAGGAATTTGCAATATTAAGATGTGATCTTTGAAACTCTTACACATTTAACATTTCTCACGTAAGTGTTATTCACATAAGGGTTTGTGAAATAAGGCCCTTATAGGGAAACAGACAAAGTCAAACTACACATATTAAATCAATGGAAGGTAGAAACTTCAAGGAATTCAAGTCAATTGTCTGGTTGCAGAAAAATAGGAAGAACACGACAGTCCAGCTATCAGACATGAGAAACAAAAGAAGCATGTATTACATAGCTTATGGTTAATAAACTGACAATCCCAAAATCCATACAGAACTAAAATTAATTTATATTGGGCAAAAGAAAAACCCCAATCAAGACCCAGAGATACTTTTGCTGGAGAGTCCAAACTACTACTGATAGTTCAGTATTAAGTTATACTTTTGTTATATTTTGTTTATACTTGTTTATTTATTTAGCTATATATTAGATCAAGGAAATAACTGTTCTAGTTAGTTGCTTGTCTCAAATGATCATTTTTCTTATTCTTATTCTTAGCTAGCTATTTCACCACACCACCACAAAGTACTTATCATATCACATCTCTCCAGAAAAATATCTTGTGCTTGTCTTATTCGTGCAGTAATAAACTCCATGTCTTGGACCTCTTGCAATTTCTTTAACCACATATTAATGGATTTTCCCCTTGAACGCCAAAGTAGCGTTATACATTTCCATGCTGTGGTAGTTAACATCCTGAACATGGATCTTTCTTTGTGGCTGACCACTGTTGCAGGTGTCTCCCCTAAAATATAACAAATTGGATTTTTGTCAAACTGAATATTAATATATATTTCATGTTGCTTGTGTCCACAATTTTGTGTCTTCTTATATCCTCAAAATATAGGTAAGGTGTCCATTACAACATCTCCAGCAGAGACAAGAAATGTAAGAGAATAGCTTTTTGATCATTACAAGGATATAAAAATTAAGCCCTACAATTAATTTCCACAGCAATTGCCTTGTGGATAGGGAAGTAATGATTCCAGCTTTTTTAAAAAGAAAACAAGAACACACTTTTAACGTTTAGATTTTTACAGAGTGGAATTATAAAAAAGGACAAAAAGGGAATACTGAAAAAACGGAACAAAACATTTTCTTCTATGGTCTACCAGAGTTTCTGACCACAGTTTCTCTTTATTATAGAGGTATTGTTCTCAGTCTCCCAGAGACAAATGCTTATGTAGTTGGACATTTTGTCCTGCCTAATGAGGTTGTCAACCTTTTCATTCATGTACTGAAAACAAGTTGTGTTCAAGTCAGGTATGGTGAAGAAGCAGTGCCCCACCCATAGATAGAGTAGAAATCTCAGCTAAGATCTCTGGTGGACAGCTTCTCTGCCATCAATTGAAGATTCCATTTTAACAGTAACACTGTTCCTTAGGAGCTGGAAAACTATTCAAGTTATCAGACAGGCCCACAGAGTGGGAGAAGGGAATAGCCATACTTGTGGGTTTTCTTCCTCTTCCCCACCCTCCTCGGACCAAACAAATATTTATTTATACAAAATGGAACAGCTCAAACAGGACAGATTGATTCTGAGCAGAGGGTTGAACTCAGATCTCTTTCCTGTTTGAGCTATTCCACTTTATATACATAAATATTAATTGGGTCAGAGAAAGAAAGAGAAATTGACTCTACAGCCCAGTGACTAGGGGCACTCACCTGGAACGTCGGACGCCTGGGTTCAAGTACCTGCTCCGAATCAGGTAGAACAAGAACTTCAGCCTGACTTTCCCGCATTCCAAATGACTGCCATAGTCACCAGGCTCTTCAGGGGGTCAGTTGCTCTTATTTTGACCAGAAATTCCATCAGGAACCTGAGAAACCTCTCTTGACATAGTTTCCTCGAGCCCAGTACATCTCAAAGAGTTCCAGTTTTTATGAATCAATATTTCCAACAAAGAAAATTTTATCAAAAAGTTATCAACCAGCTCTACATAGTAATCAATGATTACTCAACTGTGTGGCAATTAGTTTGTAAATGTATAATTTTGCAAATTGTTCTTCAGAACAACTTTAATCAGAATTGAAACACACAATCTACCTGCTCTTTCCCTTGCTTGTGGGAATTTTGAGTGCAATTCTAAAAGGCTGGGCTTAATGTTTTGACCATTCGAGCTTTAATTAAGGGTTTCCATTAAAATTTGTGGAATGTATATTTCCACATCTAGAATAGCACACAATATTTTCTTAAGTCTAAATGGGACTAGAGTATGATCATCCCAAAATAAATATTGTACGATTTTCCCTCTAATTGCCACACAAAGATTTGTAGAAGGAATTCATGTAAACTTATCAGTGATATGAGAGTTCTAAACAGTATTTGAAGACTGCTCAGTGGTAAACCACTTCAATCTTTAAGAGTTAATCTTTCACATGGGAAGAAAGTGAAAGGAAAAACAAAATATTTTAGAATATTTATCTAGATGTAAGTTCTTCATCAAAACAATATTTCTTGACCTCACAAATAGTTGTGACCTATAAAAGAAGTAATAAGGCCAAGATAAAAATAGGACAAACCCCCCTCCCAAAAGCAGACACTGACACAAAGTGAAGTGTGATAGGGAAAGAAAGGGCATCAAATTTTCTAGTTTATATAGACATCTCTTGGAGAGTGGCAAGGATGAGAGTTCTGAAAAGTGAGAAATAAGCAGTTTTCCCCAAAACATTCCCTTAACCATTCATGTATGAGCAAATCCAAAAGGAAGTATAAATCGCCATCATAAGTCTAGAAGGCATCCAACTTCCAAAACATCTAGAGGAAGAGGACAAATTACACTAGATTAGAAAGTCTTCAGTTGATATCAGGCAGACTAACTTGCTATTTACTCAAATCAGAAAAAGGCGCAAGGGGCAACATTAAAAATAGCTTCAAGACAAGTGCCCAATGTTATACGTATCTAAGATAATCAGAACTCCAGGGGGGACAGAAGTCAGTGCTGGCTCTATATGCCAACCCTTAAAGCTTGTGCCCTATATCAAAGTATCAATGCACTGAAAGAATAAATTAATCACTTCCTTAAATATCAAGGATTTCTTCTATTTTGTCTCCATGGACAGTATTAGAACTGCTGTGTAAAAGTTAGTATAATTTGTGCCAAGGCATGAGACATTTGTTCCCCCACCAACCTGGTTCAAGGCAAGAAGTCTGAACATGGATATTCTTCCTAAGGCTGTGAGCCATGTCACAAACATTTGAGGAATATCTTATGATGGTCTGTGAGGGACAACTTGTGGAAACATTTCCCACACAATTTAAAATTATCTTTCCAATGTCAGAATCTGCCATTAAATATATTTTAATGCCCTAGAAAGTAATTACAGGGAAAATAAAACCCAGATCAGACCAACACTTCCAAATCCGATGGCAGGCAAGAAAAAAAAAAAGGCACCAAAAGAACTCCACCTATATGGTTGCCTTTACAGAAGTGGTCTTAGTGTCCATACACAAACACAGAACCCTGGCCAGGCTCTGCCTTTTAATTGTCCCATATCCATGTGCATCCATAACAGTCAGAATCTGTGGAAGAAATTTCATGAAGACAGACATTTGCACAGCTCTCATATTTGAGGCACCTAGCTCACTTCCAGGGCCTTGAAGGACCCTATCCAATAGCGAGCCTCTCTCTGGGGAAAACTTTCAACTGAAAAAATTGTTCAACTGAAATCAAATAAATTAGATTAAAATCACAAGTTTTTGTCAAATTCCTGAAATACTGAGTATGCCAACTGTATTAAGTAACAACTGAATACATCATTTGCAATCTAAAGAAACATTAGGAAGTTGGTGATAAGAACTATCAGCGCTAGCTGCCTTGATTGTTTCCTGGTGCTGTATTTGTTGAACACAGACACCTATTTTTAATTCTTCAACTTTCGTTTGAAATTATCAACCACTGACAGACTTAGCCTGTCTTCAAAAGGCAAAGTTCAAGAAACCTCTATTAGTGGCTGATGAATACATTACCTCATCAACAAAACAGTCTGGCAAATGCACAAAAGTATTATGGATTTTTTTCTCCACACTTCGGCTTGTATAAAATAGAAACAGCATTAACAAATTTGAACAAGTTTAATGATAGAAAACACACATGGAAGCAGAATTAAATGTATCACCATCCTCTTGTTCCATGAATTACAGTAACTTCCGAAGTTGTTTTCTACATTCAAGTAAATAACTGAACAAACTGAAACACTAGTTGTCCATCTGACACTTCCCCATTTCCCTAGAAGCCCCAGGAACAGCTTCTAGTTCAAAAAAAAAAAAAAACTTTTGTATTCCAATGGCTCTACTAATGCATAGCTAAGCCAACTGAGTCCTACTCTAACAAGTAAGGTCCTCTTTAGTAGGGAGGGAAGTGAGATGTCTAATGCAGCACTCTGAAAAGTTTGTTAAATAAAATCGCTGGCTTACAGGCAGTGTGTGAAATTATTACAATAGAAGTTAATGATTTGTTGCTGAAGATATTTAAAAGATATTTCATAATAATGGACTGTAAGGAGCAATAAACAATTTCAGCATGCAAATCAATGAGGTCATAGGTGCCAACTCTGTCAGTGCTCCAGGGCTGGAGCACTGACAGGGAAAAATTGGTGGGGGGCTCTTCACCCACCAGCTGCTCCCCGCCACCCCCCTGCCCTAGCTCACCTATGCCTCCTCCCCTGAGCGCGCCATCCCCGCTTCTCCTCCCAGCGTTTGCCACCGCGAAACACCTGTTTCGCAACATAAGCTGTGGGAAAGAGGGGGGAGGAACGGGAAACCGGCGCATTCAGGGGAGGCGGTGGGGAAGAGGCGGGGCTGGGGCAGGGATTTGGGGAAGGAGTCCAGTAGGGGCAGGGAGGGGGTGGAGACTTTGGAGAAGGGGCAACAGCAGTATTATTTCTCTTGTATGGCAAGACAAAATACTAAAATATAAAAAATAAAATTACTTTCCTGCTGGAAATAATTTGGAAGTTCAGTATTGACGACTACTTGGATTTTCAACTGTGGAAACGATGTTACAGCACATATAAATAATTCACAGGTGTGAATAATTATACCTGCTTGAAGGAGTGGCCTAAGTAAAGTAACGTGACTGATTTGGGATCTCAGGTTTTAGTGCCGTTTGAGAGAACTAATGTTTGATTTTGCTGGGATCTGATTAGCCAAAACCTTCTCTTCTCACATGACATAAGCAGATATAGGGTAGCTAAAGCATTCATGAATAAATCAATAGGAACCCACTTGCATATTATAGGAAAGGGAACTAGATGGTCTTCCAGCTCTTTTCCACCATTACTTTTTTTTCCCCCACCAAAAACATGATTAAAATCATGTTGACTTCCAGAATTGCTCTTAAAAAAATAAATTGTTTTAGAATGGTAAAAGTAATACCTCTGTAATAAGGCATTTTTTGCCTACAGTACAGAATGCATATTTTACAAGACAAACTGATATTTAAATAAGTGAATTCTTTCATGGTCTGATACCCTGTTTTACAAATTTCAGCCTTGAACTCATTTACATAGTTGAATTATAATTCTTCAACCACAGGCCTTAAGACAAAAGTTAATATATTAAAAACAGAGGGATTAATGAATTACATTTCAACATTAGAAATCAGTTCCTGGTTGAAATATATATATTTGAAATGTGGGTTGAACAGGGATTTGCTATTTTACTACATGACATATTGCAAATTATTTCTTGGCTTTCTGTCTTGCATAAGAAGAACTGCAGACTAACACATTCTGAAGTATGCACACGTATTTTGTACGTCAAGGTTTGTCTACTTCAACAACACATGTTGTTAAAATTCACAACCAGTAATATTCATGTAGCTTTTCTTCGAAAGCAGCAACACATTCCACACATTGAAATTTACTACTAAAATTATTAAAGTAATTATGTTCACTTATGGAACATGACAGTATTAAATTTTATCTACTGGCAGATGAAGTCAGTGAATATCTCTACGTTCCCATTAATGGCATTAATTACAGTTACAAAACCAAACTCATTGGTATGTCCTTGACTTTTCAAACACTTGAGTTCTTAAACTGTTTCACCAGGCTCTAATCTGCCAAAATAAGCTATATAAGCTATATTTTTGTTGGTTAGCTATTTCACGGAACATTTTGTAATTGATCTGAAGTACTTCAGATATAAAAACCTCTCATCTTTTCCAGTAAAAAACTGGGAAAACATATACTGGGAAAACTGGGAAAACATATACAATTGAGGAAGAGATTTTATGTTAGCCTTTCAGGTTTCTGTATGATTTCCAGGTTTTGCGAGCAAACAAAAAGTTAGTAGTGTTCCTTTTATTTGTAACCCAACATAAGAACTGTGTCATTGCTGAACATAAAAGAAAAAAAATCTATAATTACAGAATTGAAGCAAAAGTTTACCTTTCAACATGTTAAATATAATGGTATATTAATATTTTATCACTTGTATTTAAACTATTTTTCATGTGATCAATTTGAAAAAATTAATTTGTTGAACATGGCAAGTTTGCAGTTAAATAGTAAATACATTTTTAAGTCTGACTGCAGTATGAAGGTCTCATGCAGAAGAATTTTATTTTCTAATTTAAATGTCCAAAGCTAATATATCCAACGTAGGCCGTTTTGTTTAGCAAAACCTGAAAAAATCTAACATAACATCTATGATGAACAATAAATACATTCATAATTGAAGATTTAACAGTTCTTTAAATATAAATAATACCCAAATTATAAACGAAGGAGTCTTTTTCATCACTGATGGAAACAATTTACACAGATAATAGCCATTTTAAGCATTATTGGGTAACAATGACCAGAAGAGATACACGGATTATTAACCAAGAAACAGAACACAAAGAGAAACTATTATTTTCTTGACTCGTGCTTTAAGTTATACATGAAGATTTATTTTAACAGTACTGGTGTGAACTGGGAAAAAAGATTACTCTAATTTAAAATGTCACTTATCTCTACACTAACAGTTGGCTACATTAATTTCAGATGAATGAATCAATTTCTTTTCAAACATACTTCCTTAATAAAGTAATTTAAATATTTAAACTTGAGCACTTCTCACTTAACTACAAATATTCATCTGACAGAAATATAGAGTCCTAGAATAAAACACACATGTATTATTCAGAATGTGGGTCTGTCACACAACATCTTAAAGTTAAAAAAATATGGAAATTTGTTTACCTTTTAAAAGAGATACTTTAGCAATAGGTTCATTTAGCTCTTGTTCATCCATTTGGGCATCTAAACAAAAAATTTAAATTGCTTTAAAACAGCAGGTAGACTAGAGTCAAGTTCTACAAACAGATTCTACAAACAAACTGGAGAAACCTTTATTGTCCTCTCTCTCCCCCTACCCCAAACTGGTTACAAGGTAGCAAAATACTATAACTCATGTTGTTCTTTAATTACACTTGATTTGGCTGAGCGAAATATAAAGTGTACCTTATGTTCTAGATTCTAATAGCAAACCTTAACATACTTACCAACACCAAAGCCATTTTGCAGAAATTTACACCCAAATTTACCTGTAGTGTCGTCACTGCTTTTCTCCTTGCTTGGACTAAGAGTATCTGACAAATCAGATTCTTTTGCTCTTGCTTGGTTTTCTGTAAGAGACAAAGAGAACCTCAATTAAAATGTGTGTGTGTTTCCTATGGCTTTTAGTAGAAATTCTAGATCTACTGCTAGATGCTGCTTAAAGTGCAGAACTGAAGAAAACTGTTACACTTGTGCTTTAATAAAAGCCAGGGTTTTTCTTGTGGCTTTAAAATCCCACTCCAAAATGAATTAAACAGCCGTAGGATCACATATTTAATGTTACAGTCTAACATGAGATGGTAACTGCCTCGTAGATAGCCTCAGCTTTTGTTTAAAGTTGTACTCTTGCCAGTTGGAACCCAGTGTAAAAGCTGGTTGTTTTGTTCAGTCTTTCCGGGAACAAATCAGAAAAAAACAGCAGCAACATTTCCAGAACAATACAGATATTGTATCATGATGGAAAGAAAATGATGCTGAGAACAAAACTTGATTTTGCAGTGTTTTGAATAAGTAAAACAGCAGCAATAGATGCCTACGTGCATTGTGTTGTAATATAAATTTGAAATGAACTATGAATAAAGATTAATCTTAGTAATGTGAATCATCAGTATTTTAACTAGTTTTTAAAAAATAGTTTTAAGTTTAGGTTATGTTAACAGGAAATGGTCTACATGCCTGCACAAAAGCACCTCTGAAAGGGCTTATGGATCAGCCTCCTATATTCTGTCCACTAGATAGTTACATGAAGTTTAGTGGAACCATGAAAGCAGTTTTTTGGCTAGGTCTAGAGACCTCACAAAGAGAGAAAACGGAAAGGGTAGTGGACTTCATTAACTAATTCATCCTTTTCCCATGCAACAGTCCGCTTGACTCAACAAGGCCAAAGACTCACTTTATATGCCTGTAATAGCTTAATTTTATTTCTGAACTTCAATTTAGCTCAGATGGATGCACGCAGACACAATGGTGGTGGACCGAAAGACAAGAATTATGAATCATGCCCTCATCATCAAGGCTTGAGGACACATATAATAAACTATTCCTCGCTCATTGAGCTCTGGCTTGTTTGGATAGCACTATTGTCTACCCACAAATTGGAGGACCCTTCTCCTCGGGCACAAGTGCCAGGTAATGAGGGATTTAGATAGACAGCTATTATAATGCTCCCAATATAGAGTCTTTCCTTCCATATCAGCATGAAGCACTGTCATCACAAATCCTGTCTTCACCTGCTGATATTTAATGTACATGCCAAAAGAAAAAAAAAAGCATCTGGCAGAAGAGGGAAGAAAGAATATGCAGTTATAGACAAATAAGTGCATGGGAAACCTATCGGGATTGGCATAACTTTCTTTTACATAATTTGATATCGGACATCGTGAACTTGCTATTTCTTGTCACACAATGACTCCATGGAACTGAAAAGCAAAAACAAATTCAACAGAAACTAAAGTCCTTGCTCTGGGAAACAGACAAGTAGTCAAAGGGAAAGAGACAGATAGATTAACAGAATACACTTTTTCCTTTCATACTTTCAGACAAAGTAAAAAAAGATTGTACCAGGTCATTATGTCAGAGGAATATCCAGTTGTGGGAGTCACAACAGAAAGTAAACAACAAACAAGATACCTCATTTTTTGTTAACAGACGTTAGTCAAGAAAGAAGGTGGTAGCCATCAACATACACATTCCCCGAAGAATGATGGTTCATGAGTTCTGGCAGCTATTTTTATATCCCACAATTTGGTAACACAAAGCTCTTTCCTGGGATTTTTCTTTCATTTCCATCTTTTCACACTTTCAATATTATTTATATTTAAAGAACTGTTAAATCTTCAATTATGAATGTATTTATGGTTTATCATAGATGTTATGTTAGATTTTTCAGGTTTTGCTAAACAAAATACCAAAATTACAAACTAAGGAGTCTTTTTCAACACTGATGGAAACAATTTACACAGATAATAGCCATTTTAAGTATTATTGGGTAACTTTAATACATGAGATAATAAAATAAAGTCTATTTTAAAATTTGTTGACACCAAATGTTCAGGTAGTTTTTTGGTCATCCTTGGTTAAGAAGCCTAAAACAAATATTAAAAAGAATAGGGGTATTTTCAGGAGGAGCAGTGGCAGTCTTAAGGAAGGAAATTCATTCAGCAGTCCGATTCTGATCTCAGTTACTCAGAGTTTACCACAATGTAACTGCGATCAAAATCTGGCCCAATAGCTAACTGTACAACTATTTAGTGTAAGTCACTTATTCGTCCCCTACTTTCATGAATACTAAGCTCACTTTTTCAAAATCTGCAAGTATTGCACTTTGATGAAAAACTTGCCTAATTTTTATATACCACAATTTGGTAACACAAAGCTCTTTCCTGGGATTTTTCTTTCATTTCCATTTTTTCACACTTTCAATAGTGAAAGTGAGTTACTTTAATAAATGAGATAATAAAATAAAGTCTATTTTAAAATTTGTTGACACCATACTTATTACACTATTAATAGATACTAAAAATAGCTCATCATTTTGCAAGATAATACTGGCATGCAAGTGTTAAATTACAGTTAGGCTTATTGTATGCATTCTTTTGCCAAACATGGCATGTTTTCTAGAGTTATACAAGCTCGGCAACAAGCTAAAATGGAGTTGCACAGAGAAGATGAAGTAATTCTAAAAACAAAGTTGGAATCCTGAACGACCAAAATATGTTTAAATGTAACAATATCTATGCTAATAAATGGGCAGAAATCAATACTCTGATATATTAAGAAACATTCATGAAAAAAAAGGATGAAAACGTTAATGGTTAAATGTCAGCACTTTACCACTATATCCACTGAACAAACAAAATATTAAACTGTTAATATTGTGCTCAATGTGGGGACTATCATAAATTACTAACATCTATAGCACTCCTGATTTTGGCTCTGCAACATGAGGCTCATTAATATTAAGGGACTTAAGTTGCCCAAATAAATATTTGTATTTTAGTTTTCCTTATAAAAAGATTGTGAAACAAGAAAGTGACAAACTTTAAAGGGTTGCACATTCATGTTTTATCTTTAAAAAAGCAGGTTTATAAGATTAGGGTTCATTTTAACACTGTTAGGATATTTCTAGATTATTTACAAAAACCCACACCTTTTCCCTCTTATCTGTTAACAAAGACTAACTAATATTTTCTGGTTCTGCTCAGTGAAAAAACTCAGTCTGAAATTTATTTAGTAGTGAGAGATTTTAATTTGCAAAAAATTCCTTTAAAAAAAAAAAAAAAAAACTTTGGATGAGAAATACACAGGTAAGTCAGTCAAGAACAGTCCACCAGACACCCCCATCCCTCAAAGTATAGTTTCCTTCTGGTTTCTCCCCCTAAAATACTTATATAGTGATGTATCAATGGACACTAACTATATTTACTCTCTTTGTGGACTTGTTAAAAAGTTACCTTATATTTCCAATATTTAACAAAAATATTACTAAGTTATTGGTTTAAATCAGAAACTTATTTTAAAACACACCCATTACATAAAACATGTTTCAAAATGAGTTATATAAATCAGAAATCTAACCTCTCAAAAGCTTTGTTTCTTCCACTTTGGTTAGATGTCCTTCGTCTATGAACTTGTCTGCCAAACAAAATAAATGTTACTATCCAAGTCCATATTCAGCAAACATTTCCTTGTACATGTCTATGTCGTCCACATTCCATGACCAAATTTAAAGAGGACAGTATTACTCCATACCCCTGCTTAAACAAAAATTTGATTCTGGCATGGGAAACTAAGCAGATCATCACGCAGTTAACTATAACTTTGCTATAATGCAAAGCATAATGAATACAGCAGAAATTATGTTAAGTATTTGCTTTTACTATTTAATAATATCCATTCTTAAATACTTCAGCTAATTAATGAAGGATTAATTTTACTTTGTAAAGTTATTCTAGCGGTTTTTTATATTTGACTGAAAAGTCAAACTGAGAACAATTAGCATTTACCAGCTTCTTAGAAAAACTAGATTTATGAGAAAGTGGAGTTTCTGAATTTATAGCCTCCCCAGATCTCCACTTCTAGTTCCTGTGACCAGGTGCCCACAGAGATGGCCATAAGAAGAGCCATTTTACACAAAAAGAAGAGTGGGATGATGAGCATGTATTCAAATGGGCTTGGACAGCGGGCATTTAGCACAACGTTTTGACTCCCAGGGTAACAGTCTTATTTGCGCCTCACTGCTAAGTAAGTGCCTTAGAGAACCTGTTATGGAAGACCCGAATGGGAACTGTCCTCGTTTTCCCAAAAATCAAGGAAATCTTAATACAGTGATGGGCAGTGTAAAAAAAAAAAAAGCCACAATTAATATGAGAGATTCTAATAGCAAGGTCCCTAACCAATTTATGGAATCTTCAGCTCTTCTCCCCTTTCTCATTACAGGAAGATCTGCTTGTGTGTTTGTGTTGTTCTGGTTTTTTTGGAACAGAAAAGATACAGTTTTTTGTTTTTGTTTTTCAAGTGGGAGAAATAGTTGTAGTGATTGTTCTGAATATAGTAAAAATGTTTACTCATAAAGATGGGCACCCAAGAGTTTGAGGTAATCCTGCTCCAGATACAAAGTAACAGTAAAATACCCCTCCAGTGCTGAACAGGGTAAGGAAAGACAAGAGTGGTTAGAGTTGGTTATCTTTAGTTTTCCTCTGGCTGTAAGAAGCTTTGGATTTAAATCCCTGACTGCAAAAGCAATGCTCAAGTTTGTTCTTGGTCTGTACTTCACTAAAGATTGCCTCATGAAAAAGATGGATGAGGAATCAAGTAAAATGAGTGTCTCCCATACGAAGCCGGAGTGGGGAGGTAGTTTTTTTTTCTCCAAGGCCTTTCAAGATTAAGTCCCCAGTATGACTCTGGAGAGTAAAGAGAAAGTTCGGAGGAGCTATCTACACCCTAGAACAGACTAAGATCTTAAAGCAAGGATGCAAGTAGCCAAGATATTGCCCGTTAACAAGATGGAATCTTGAGCCACATTGTTGAGTACATTCACAGTGAAGAAGTGCTTTGAGAGGTTGCTGAAGCACAGGATAGTCACCCAATTCACAACTCATTTCCTCTCCCACCAATCATTCAGACCAAGCTACAGCAGTTGTATGAAGCCATGGTGGGTGGATTGTGTGTGTGTGTTGGGGGCGGAGGCACAATGGATCTCCTGCCCAAAGCATTTTCAACCCTTCTTTCCTGGCTTTTGGGGGGGGGGGGGGCAAGAGGAAGGGAGGAGCAGGGCAAAAAAGAGAAGTATCCTTTGTCTTGCCTTGTTCCATGTTGTTACAGAACTCTACTGAGGTCAGAAAAAAAAGACTGGATTTCACATATACACCAGCCACAGTTTCTTCTAGCAAGGCAAAAAAGCACCTGAGGAAGACTGCCCGCCCCCCTGGAGAAGGAGCTGAACATAAGAATCCTGCATCCACATTAGCTACTCACCTGCCTGATTTATAGATGAGAATGTCTCCATTCTTAACAGTGGCAGCCACATCATAAAACAATTAGTTAGAATGGATGTGTGACTAGTTTAGGGCAGCAAATGTGTTGCAGATTTTGGACTCTGCACAAATCCATGCATGGTCAAAACTAAAAGCAGTCTACAATTAGTGTAAAAAAAAGAAGTTGGTCTTTTTTGACCTTGGTCTATTTTCCTGGCCAACTCAAATTGCTTCCAGCAGTGTATTTTCTACATGTTTTTTATTAAGAATTCTGATGAAAAAAAACTAATTTTTAACGTTTCCTCCACCACAGTGATTCATAGTGTGTTCATGTGTGTGGAGACAGTTTATGAGTTTAATACAGGCTTTGCAGACCACAGTTTGATTTTTGGCATAACTTCTTCAGTAAACCCAACATCACACATGAATACAGCTGATTGATTAAAAGCTGCTATTGATGTTTTCCATTTGTATACTGTACAACAGTTTAACAACAGTATGCAAGATGCCATGAAGTATCAACAAAGTTCAAAGCAAATGGAAAAGTTTGTTTTGACTTGGCCATATTTATATATGGTAATAAATACACAGGACTTGGTGATATATGTAGGAGATTTTGAGACCCTGCAAACCAACTTTGGAATGTGGCAACATAGTTTTGAGCAGGCTAGACTTAGAGTGAATATTGCAGGCTATGACAAGTGTGGGGAGCAGGACCATAAAGGACATCACAGACAGACAGCTTAGAAGTGTGAAATAATTTAAATACCTGGGATCAATGGTTGGTGCCTATGGTGCCATCCTGCGATATGCCCAGCATTTTGGTGCAAATGGAGGGAACTGACTCCAGTTCCTTGTGACAAGAAGATACCAATAATGTTAAAAATTACAGTGTAAAAAACTAATTTGATCCATCCAAATATATGGGACCGTGACTAGGCCAGCCATTAGAAAAGATTTCAGTATGCTCTCCACTACAGAAATGAAGATGTTCAGATGGAAAGACATGCCGTGATGGGAAACAAAATGAGGTTCTTAAGGGACTAATGTGGGGGTTGCTCCAATTGAAAACAAATTGAGGAAAACTAGGCTATGCTGATTTGAGCATATCCAGCAGAAACCGGAGAGCTATACTGGTATGATTGCTCTTGCAGTGGTTGTGGGTGGAAGATGACCAAGAGGGAAAGCAAAGTCTTGATACATGGACTGGGTATTAGCGGACCTTAGAGAGACCAATCTGTACAACACCCTGGAATTCAATCACGAGTTTTGGAAGAATTCTATAAAAGCTGCAACCCCAAATAGGGAAGTAGCAAGAAAGTAAGCAAAGAAAACCATAGGACCAAATTCGGCCTTCTTTACTTAAGATTAGCACCTTATTCCACAATTCTGCAGTAAGTTATTACTCAACATGAGTAAGGCTAGCAGACACTGGATTTGTTAGAGAATCTGAAGTACTCCTGTCTGTATATTTTTGAGAAACTTATTTTCGAGAGGGGCTTACAAAGTAAACTATTTGAAAAAAAAACAGATATATCCATATTTTTGGCTGAATATGTTTATGCATTTGTTAAAGTTTTTGATTACCATACCAGAACTGATATTCTCCAATGACTGCTCCTTGAGAAGCTGGCATGCTTATACAGTACAGTAGTTTATTTTAAGAATTATTTACTGAGACTGTGTACTTCAGAGGTAAAGTGCAAATAATTGTTTTAAAGTTAGATTGCATGTTTGCTTCTTTATGATGAATGAATGTGGCCTGAAGGGTTTTGGGGGGGCTTTTTAGGGTTTTCTGCTTGATTTTCTACCTTAGAATTACCCTTTGTCTTCTTAATTTATATTTTAGTATCTTTGGGACAGGGACTGTCTTATTATTATTATTTGTATTACTACAATAATCGTACCTAATCATGGACTAGGACCCCATTGTTTGAGGCACTGTGTGTTCATACAGCATATAGCACAATAGTGCACTGTAATTATTACTACTACTCTCGTAATAATAATGTTAAGTCTTCTAAGCTCAGAACAGTTTAGGTGCATCAGCTCACAATAAACATGTTGGATCTTTAACAAGAACATCTTTTATCCAAAGTGACAGTGTCTGAAGTTACATAGGAGTTAAAAAATAATTATCCCGTATGTTTGAAGTCTGACGAAAAATGCTTTCCCTTAATTGCTCACAAGTAACTCTTTAAGCTTTATCATTTTATTAATATTCAGACAAAGCATTAGAGCGTCTTCAAGGGCAGACAAAACTTTAAGCCCATTTAATATATCAGAAAGAAGCAAAAGGTCACAAGCCCAATTTTCCCCTTTGTAGGTCACCTTTAATGTGTCCCATATGTTATTTATTTATGAAAATAGAAATAACCAGTAAAATAATTAAAAGAAATTTCCACTTTTAAAAATAAAAAACTTGCTTAAAAGTTTAAGGGAACAGTTAGTTGTACATAAAATATACCCACTTTTATTTAAAAAAAAGCACAGAAGCAAAGGTTAAAATACCAATGGGAGAAAAAAAAAAAGGCAAAGCTTAAAATAGGAGGAAAATTGCACGTTGCATCACTTTCCTCTTATCTGCATACTGTTTTCACCACTTTTGGGATAATCAAGTGTCCCACATTAACAGCAATGTATCACTACAGACCTAACAAAAGACTGAAAAAGTGAAATCCTGGCCCTACTGAAATCAATGAGAGTTTTACCACTGACTTCAAAGTGACCAGGATTTCACCTTATAAATATGGTGAAGCAGTCCAGCAGTTAAGGCAAAAAGCAGTGAGAAATGAAGGGAATAGGTGAGGAGCAATTAACAAACATATCAAGCTACTGTCCTCCCAGACCATTCAAAACAGGGTTTCACAAAACTTTTCATAGTGTGGCCCAAATCTTAAGGCTGGGATTTTCAAACAAGCCCAAGGAAACTAGGTAACTAATTTCCATTGTATTGAATGGGGATTTTGCTGTAAATTCCATTAGGCTCCTCAGCAAATTCAGGCCTTAGTGTCTTCTGAACTATATGCCACCACTCCTGCCCCCAATTTGCGATGGCACCAACTACCTTCACTCCCATTACTGATCACATAACATCCCTGTCGCGACGACAGTAGCTGGTTACATAGATTACAATATCTATGAACACAGTAAGTATTTTGTTCTCTTTAAGAGTTAATCACAGTCTTCTGATGCTCTTCATTTCATCTTCTGTTTTTCTTTCTCCCTACTTGTGCTTTGCTACCACATAATTCCCCTTTCTTCCTATCTCTGCAGACATCGTTCCCTCCTCCTCTGTGCCCTTAGAAATGCTGCTCAGCCACCACAACATCCTCTTCTCTTCTGGACACACTGTATAGCTGTCTCATTCCTTTCTCCCCTGCTGGTGCCTGGCATATCCAGTCTTACTGGTTCCTCTACTTCTCTTTTGTAGCAGCAAACACTAGCAGAGGAAGCTAGACTGACAGCTCCTTTTCAGGCATTTTTACAGATCTCCAGTCTCTCCCTGTGGAAAGAAAAACCTGGACAACTGTAAAAACTCCTGGAAACAAACAGAAAAGTCAGTATAATGTGGCTAGCTCTGTGGACTAGCTGTAATCATAGCCCAGTTGCTTTCTCTGGTGATTTTAGCATGAGTGATAATATTTGGTGTGTATTTTAAAGTCCCAGCTCCCAGAGTCTTGTGAATACAGGAGGATCACAGCCTTCATTTTTAATTAAAATCCATTTCTAGCCTTCATTGTTGCAAGGAAAAGCTTGAAAGCGTGACAAGTGTAGCCTAAATGTTCAAAACCCAAAATGTATCTGTTTTCAGGCTCATGATTTTTGTGGCCTTGACTCATGATTTCTGAACAGTTAGGGTTGGCATTCTGATAGTCCAGATTACAGTTTGGGAACTGCTCATTTAGAATTTCCAATTTCTTTTCTTATCTGCTTAGAAGGAAATATAAATTTACTCTTTCAAAAAGTTTGTTTATTTATATTTACATATTATTCCTCATTCAGTGGCTCCATTTTTTTTTAAAGCAAGAATGAAATATTAATATTTGATCAGGTTCTTGAAGTTTGGTGTTTTCACCTATCAAATTCTCCCCACTTCTTTCAATACGTTTTATCTTCTATTTTCTTATCTCTCTTACTTCAAAGGCATGTTGAAATCTTTTAGTTAAATCAAGATGATCACTTTTGTATCCTTATAGTGATAGAAGTGCTCATCCGCTTTAGTTTGCAGACCTCATGCTAAAAGGTCAACTAATATACAATTTTAATTAGCTAAAAGAGCAAACAATGCATACATCATACCACTGAAAATGAAGTTCACTTCATCAATTAGGCCAGCAAGCTTACTTTTACTATGCCTTCTGTTGGAAAGAGGAGCCTTAAGTAATCTCCAGAAAGCTTAAAACTACTGAAGATAATTTTCTTTTTAAGTCTCCACTTGAGAAATTTTGGATCAGTCCCTAAAGTTTTGGAAGATACAGCCCATGCCACTTTTAATGGAATTAACCTGTATTTAATTTTATGTATTTTGGTTTATTGATAATTTTTCTTAGGTCTTCTGAAATGGGCATTAAGAGTATTCTGATATAAATTAAATGTATAATATTGTATTCCTCACCTTAAAAAGCAGAAACCCACCAATAAATTCATACTATGCGATGTTCATTACATTTTGGCAGTGAATCTAAGAAACACAACAGCGGTCAACATGCATAACTACAAAAATCAATTGTCAAAGAAAAGTATTGCCTCACGTCTGTTTATGCATACTTCTCTCTGCTCTATTAATTCATAAATTTAACTTAAATGTTTAAAGTTACACCTAACAAATGTTGTAAAAACCTTCCTAGCACAACAGTACTGTGTGTGTGGGGAAGCAGTGTTCTTTCTGGCGTCTCCATGCTATTAAAAAGAGTTCTATTTTCCAGCTATGCTTTCACAGCGCTTTCAGGGTTCTCCCCAGCTCGTGCTCCTGTCCCAGCTCACAGAACAAGCTAAGTAGAAACAGAGTTTTTCCTTAAAGATTTGCTCCATGCAGACATGACTGTTTCTCTACTAATTATCCTGAAAACCATTCGCTCTGAAAAGCAAGTTTTTCACCTCAAGCACAAAAATTATCTGCCTTCCTACAAGATCAGTAGTAAGCACTTATGCTCCATTTCTTTACATTTTTTGGAAAATCTTATATTTCCACATGAAAATACTAGTCTCTTTTATAGTTTCGTTCCTGCAGTCACACTTGACCTAGCGCAAGCTGCATTATAAAACCTTAAAATTATCAGAAATTACATATATAATGCTAAATAGAGAAGAGACAACAGGCACCATTACCTCATCCCTATCTGTCTGCTGCAGCCTGCAATGTTTATTTTAATTGGCAATGTTAGTCAGGCTTCCAGCTTCTCTTATTTTCCATGAATGTTACAAAATTAGGTCAATCTTACACACATACGGCAACATGGTAGCACTCATGCTCTCTCGCTGATAGAAAGTAATAATAGATTAAAGTGTTAAACACAGATCATGTGCTCAGCACTTTACAAAAGCAACAAAGATATCTCCTACTCGTAAAGAGTCAACTTCGTTGGAGTTCATAACGCCGTAATTCTATACTTACAGCGCATTTCCACTACTGCAGAAATATTAAGCAGTACTGATAAATGTATTTTTCATTTTTGATATTTTGGTTTTTTGTTTTAAAGTCAATGTGATGAATGCTCTGTACTCACTCTGGCACTCTATGAACTGATGAATAAAAGTGCAGTCCCCTCCACTCTTTGAAAGAAAGTGCTCTAGTAAAGAAAGAAACACTTCAGTTTACATCTCCTCATCATCTTAGAACTGATTTAACTATAAAATCTGAAATATACATTAAAATATTTGTAAATTAGGCGTTATTCTCAGATTTCAATATGATGAATCAACCTAATATACAAGCAGACAAGACATATTCTGTTGAAATAGTTAAGAATTATTTTTTGGAGATTAGAAATTTTACAGATTGTTTTTTAGACCTAGTTGCATAAAATATTGGGAAAGTATACTTAACATATTCAATTAAAAGTATGTTCAATTTTTAAAGTGTAAACTTTAATACTAAATTTTATGGAAGTTATTAATGAAAATGAATGAAAAATATGTACTTCAAGAAATATTATACTATTTCTAAAAGTCTTTATTTAACAAATTTAGTAACTGATTCATTTTACAAAAATTCCTACATTTAGCACCAACTAGAACACCTGTTTCAGTTTAGCTGTCATAAATCACACACACACACACACACCTACCTGACTCTACTTCCACTGGCAAATCTATAGTTACACCAAAGATTTAACTCAGTGTTCACCAACAGACTTAAATTAAAAATAAATTTAGAATATATAAGATGATGCAATCCTTGACACCTTCTTATGCTGCAGTTTACTGAAATATCAAACCCCCCAGCACTGAGAGACAAGCAGTTCCTACCATTAGTATATTATTAGTTTTGAACAAAAAAAGATTAAATCCTTGCACTAAGGGGGGAAAAAACATTTTTACATATTTTATTCTTAATTTGAATATTTTTATACTTATTTTAAAGAGTCTTCTTGGAGCTGAAGTGATTTTTTTCTTTGCTCTTTAATTGTAATCCCTCCTAAAATTTGAAAATACATACATACATACACACACACACACACACACACACACACACACAGAGTTTTGTTTTTTTACATTGGCAAAGGTAATTTTTCCTTGGGTTCTTTTGGTTGGAGTCTCATCACAATAAAACACAATGAGATTTCTTGGAAACACAATGGTCTTGTGTGTAACATCCTGTAGTGGGTTCAATTCCCAGCTCTGCCAAAGACTTCCTCTGTAATCATGGTCAAATCACAGTCCTTGCGAGGCTCAGTTCTCCATACATAAAATGGGGATAACAATACTTCCTTTTTCATACACAGTCTTTACTCTTTAGATTGTAAGCTCTTTGGGTCAGGCACGGTCTGTCTTTTATTACATATTAATAACACCTCGTGGAACGAGGGCCTGCCCTCTGCTGGGGCCTCTATTATTCTTTGTATTACAGAAAAAGGAATGGAAATATGGGGGCATAGTGAATACAGGGCAGAAGTAGGTGACAGGAGATGGGGGGAAGCATGACGGAGAATGTGAGTGGGGCAGCTGCCTATTTTTTCTAGATAGATAGAAGGAAAGGAGGAGAGCTTACTGCACAAGGTGTGAGTAACTGGAGTTCTTTGAAATGTGTCCCCCTATGGGTGCTCCACTTCAGGTGTGCTCATACCCCTTGCACCTTTAATCAGAGATTTGTGGTATTAGTGCCTATTTGGCCTGTGCATGCACCTTGTGCCCCACTCCAAAGTTATATAGGGCTGTGTGGGCAAACTACCCACAGTTCCTTCTCTACCATGAGGCCCCCAGAGGAAACTCCAAAGCAGAGGGGAAGGGGGACAGATAATGGATCACCCATAGGAACACACATCTCGAAGATCTCCAGTTACTGCATAATCTGAGATAACCCCTCCTTCTTCCAGTAGTGTCCCTTTGGGCACTCCACTTCAGGTGACTACCAAGCAGTACCTCCAGCTGGAGGAGGGGGTTTCGGCACTAAGTCCACGACTGAAGACAATATAACCTTTTTACTAGCAGTATCTGATTTAGAAAACTGGTATGTATGGAAATCCATGTGGCAGCCTTACAAATATCCAGAATAGAAACATTCCTGAGCAATGCCGTAGATGTAGATAGAGATCTTATGGAATGGGCCAACACCCTAGGAAGAGTCCATATGTCTGTAAATTTATAGCAAATGTGATACAGACAGAAATCCACTTAGAGAGTCTCCGGGTGGAAACCTCCAAACCTTTGGAGCTAACTGCAACAGATATGAACAGTCTGGGTGACTTCCTAAATTACTTAGTTCTGTCCACATAAAAGGCTAATGCCCTCCTAAGCATTGAAGTGTGTAAAATGACATCCTCTCTAGAATTTGCGAAATAACCAGAAGGTGGATAACTTGGTTCAGGTAAAACTCAGATGACACCTTGGGTAAAAATTTTGGGCATGGATGTAATGAAACTTTGTCCTTGAAAAATACTGTAAAATGGAGGCTCTGCTGTTAGAGCCCCTATTTCTCCAACCCTATGCAGAGGTGACGGTCTCCAGAAAGGCTGTCATAGGAGATAAATTAACAAGGGAAGACGTAGTCATTGGCTCAAAGGGGGGAGAGCCCATAAAGGATCTAAGTACTAAATCAAATTCCCAAATAAGAGTAGGTTACTTAACATGGGGAAAAAAAGATTCCCCAATCCTCTCAGAAACCTTACAGTTGTAGGATGGGAAGACTGAGAATACCTCAACCACTGCATGGAAGGCTGATATAGCCACCAAGTGGACCCTGATAGAGCTCATGGATAATCCTATCTTTTTTAGCTCTAGGAGGTAATCAAGGTATGATTGAGAGGGAATAATCAACAGGTGGAACACTTCTCTGGATACACCTCAGGCTGATACTTACCTCTACAAGAGAAAAAGTATCTCATGGAATCTTTCCTACTCTTCAGTAATACCTGTTGTACCTCCCTATTGACTAGTCCCATGAATCATCAAGGAGCCAAGCTTTGAGATACAGTATCTTCAGGTTGGGATGAAGAGTGAGGCTGGCATCCTAGGAAAGGAGATGAGGAGCGGGCAGAAGGCTAATTGCCTGACCGATGGCTAGGTGAATTGGATAAAGATACCATATCTGTCTGGGCCACACTGGGTCTATTAATACAATTCTGGCTTTGTCATGCTTTATCTTGTTTCTTACATTCAGAATCAGGGGCATGGGGGGAAAAACATATAGAAGACTTCTTGTTCATGGAACAAGGATGGCAGCTCCCAAAGAGAAAGGACCCAATCCCCTTTCTTGAGAAAAATGTTTGCATTTCTTGTTGGTCACAATGGCAAAGATCTATTTTTGGAACCCACTAAGTCAGAAAAATTTGACTGAAAATCAGAGGTTCCAACTCCCATTCATTGTCCTGTGAGAAATGCCTGCTGAGGTAGTCTTAACCTGTTCTGTTTCAGTAAGTTGCTGAAATAAGAATGCAATTGGCTATATACCAGTTCCAAAGCTTTAATGCTTCATCACAAAGGGAAGGGGGACCTTGCCCCTTCTTGTTGGTTGATACAGAACATGCAAACTATGTTGTTCATGAGGATTTTTATTGACTTGTTCTTGATTAAAGGCAGGAAGTGGATACAAGCATTCCTGACTGCCCTCAGCTCAAGAAACCTAATGTGCAGTTGTCTCTCTTGGGTAGACTCTTTGCCTTGGGTAGTGAGGGTCCTTAAGTGTGCCCCCAGCCCAGAGATGCATCTGCCATTATGGTGATAGAGGGAGGAGGCTGAACAAACCAAATCTCTGGTCAGACATTATCCGGGTTCGTCCACCAATTGAAAGTCTCTTACCTGATGAGGGACTGACACGAACCTGTTTAAGCTGTGTTCGTTCAGAGTAAAAAACAGTCCTGAACCAACCCTGGAAACACAGAAGGCAGAGCCTGGGAAGTGGCATCACAAAGGAAACCTGCCATGTATCTGAGTATTTGAAGACAACTTATTGATGTCTGTGGGCTGATATGAATCTTTGAGATGAGATTTACCAATGTCGAGAATCTGTTGGGGTGAGGGTGGAGGTGGGGAGTTAAACCCTGGCTGATACAGTGTCTAAGGAGGCTCCTATGTACTTTTTTTCCCCCTACGTTTCTTTTTTAATACCAGGCTCAAAAGGGGATTTCTTGATGTTGAACTGCAACGCTAGTTTGCAGAACAGGGATCTCATTATCTTTGTGGTATTGAAAACCGAGTTGTAAGACCAGCCATTGAGTAGCCATCAAGGTATGGAAAAATGATTATCCCCAGATGTCAGAGGTCAGCTGTGACCACCACCTGCACGTTTGAGCACACACTTGGGGCAGATGAAAGAACAAGTGGGAGCACTCGATACTTCAGGTGTTCTACTGAAAAGCACAGGAATAGTTTGAGACATGGGTGAACTGTGATATGAAAATAGGCATCCTGAAGGTTGAGGGCCAAAAACTAATCCCCTGATTCTAGTGATGGAATTATGTCTGAGAGAGGCACTACCCTGAATTTCTGTGACTTGACAAAGTTGTTTGTCTTAGATTCAAAATCGATCTCGATTCTCTGTTCCTCTTTGGGTCCAGAAAAGAGTGGGCGCAAAACCCTTTTCCTCTGTGCTGAATAGTTCCTTGTACAGCAGCCATTGGCAGAAGTGAATCAACTTCTTGCTTTAAGAGATGCTTGTGAGAGGGGGTCCCTAAAGAGGGATGGGGAAGGGGGCTGGATATAGGGGAGGGAGGTAAAATGGATAGCGAACCCTGATATAACCTCCAGCATGCAGTAGTCTGATCTGATTGTTTGTCCCATTTTTTTTCCGCATGGGAGAGAGCCTCCAAAGGGTTGAAAGTGAATAAAATATATATGCAGCTCGATGTTGTGGGATATTTCCAGGCTCTCGAGCAGACTATCATCTGAGCATTAGTTTTGACAATGACAGCTCAGTAGCGGGTGCAGAGGAAGCAAGTGGTCTCTTACTCTGGAACCTTGACTTTTTCCTGGGTGGTTCATATGGTCTCTGGAATTCTGAGAATGAAGTGGAGTGGGATCTTTGAGCAGTTTGGGACCTTGGATCCAGCTACAGCATTGGCTGCATCTAACGAGTTCTGTAGCGATGCTCTAGCTAACTGACCTTCGTAATAATAGCCTGAAACAGGTCATGCTGACCAGACGGCAAGCGCCCAATAAAGGTGGTGAATTTAGCATATTTGAGTGATTGTATTTCGCCATGAGAGTTTCACGGTCCTAAATTGAAGAGTGATGGATAAATAGGTCTTTCTGATGAATAGATCCAGGCACTTTTGGTCCTTATAATATGGTGCAGCTTTTGCATTATATTGTCTGCCACATTGGTTTACTGCCTCCACAGCCAGGGACTTCGATGTTGGATGGGAGAACAAAAATTCAAAGTTTTAAGCCAGCACATAATATTTCCATTTACACATTGGCAGAATTATTGTAGGGGGTTGGATGGATTTAGTAGGATCCAACAGGGCCTTCTTAAGAGGCATGGCAACTCAGGTAGAGGGAGTTCTTTGGAGAATGTCCATGAGCTTATGTTGTGACTCCCTGACCATTCACTGGTGCTCGAACCAACTTGGGGAAACAGACCCATCTTTGGTGTAGCTCCCTACTCTTGTCAAAAAGTGTCAGGATGGAAATCCTTTTGTCTGAGGTGCCAGCAAACTGTGGATGGAAATATTCAAAGCAGAGGGGAATTCCTCCTTTTCAAGAGGTGGACACGAGCACTCTCTGAAGATGTTGGAGAGTCAAGCAGCACTGGGGAAAGGTCAGACCTGAGCAACCATGCTTGTTTTGGTACTGATAACCTTTCAGTGCCGACTAACGAGGGAGACTCTGGTTCCCTCAAAACTAGACCCCTTGAGAATCTGAACTCATGGAGTACTAGGCGGGTTTGAAGAGCAGGACCCTGTTTTGTGGTCAGTACGGAGGCTCTATGCTGCTCTGGCAAGTCTACTCTGGTTTAAGTAGAGGGTACTAATGATGGTGTCTTCCCACTACCAAGGTTATCTTAGTGACCAATTTAAATGTAGACAGTACTGAATGAGTTGTGGGTACCATTCTCACAGAGGGGCAGGCTTCAACGATGCAGTGACCGGCTTGTGCGGCACTGAAGATCTCAGTACTGAGGCATGCTTGTTCTTTTTCTCTGCTGAGCCTAGAGCCCTGGACACAGGATTGTATCGAGAGTATCTGGATCCTCAGCCATACCCAGAGTGGGATGAGAGGTCTCTGCCATGGTCTTGCTCTGCAGGGACCAAGGTCTATTTTAGATTAACTCCTTCTGTGGGGAATGACTCCCTTTTCTATGGGTCTTCTCCATGGACAGATCAAGATGAACATGCCAAAGTTGATGGAGCACTCAGCAACCAAAGTCCTGGGGGGTCTCTTGATCTGGATCTGAGGCCGGATAGAAGGAGTGCTTCATCATTAAGAGACTCAGTTTTAGCTCCCAATTTTTCCTTGCTCTGTCTTTAAAAGCAGAGCAGATGGAATACTTTTGTGAGATACGGGACTCTCCCAAGCACCAGATACAATTGGAATGCCTGTCACTGATTGGGATAGCCTCCCAGCAAGAGATGCACTGCCTGAAGCCAGGAGAGCCTGGCAGAAACAGGGGCAACAGTATTCAGAAGGGGAATGTCCCCTTCCACAAAGGGGAAAGGGATTGAGAGAAAGTCCCCCTAAATTTCTAAATAAAACTAAAGAAAAAAAATAATAAAGAAGGGTAACTAAGCTAAATAGACTTAGAAAGTATGGCACATTAATGCTCCATCTCAGGCCAAGGTGGTTGACAAGGAACTGAGGGCAGCTCGCCCACACAGCCCTACATGTCCTTTTGGAGAGGGACACAAAGAAGTGCAGGGTGTATGCACGGGGCGAACACGAACGATTATGTATTTAGATTAAATTTTGAACCTCAGATGACCACGTACAAATTGGGAGTGCAAGGCTTCCCCATAGAGTTGAAAAAACCCACAGCCAACAAAAAAAACAATGATATATTTATTTATCTAAATATCATTTTAAAACCAATTTGACTCTTACATTTCAGGGCTTGGCTCATTATTTTGCAGTGCTTAGAGGTGGCGGTACAGTCACAACAATGGGGAGAGAATTTTCAAAATGAAAATACGGCTGTAAAACCACAAAAATTGGCGTATGCATTAACTGAAATGACTGAAAAATTTCTAGATTTGACAGTTCCTTTCAACGTTTTTGTTCTAAAATACATACATCTGTAATCTGGAAGTCCACAATTTAAAAAAATAAATAAAACATTTCAGCTTAGCTTTAAGCTACTCTTGTCCAAAGTAGTATATTACTTTCTGAAAAAAATCCTAACCCTCAATTTTCTTATGGTTTGGAAAGCATGAAGATTAAAAGTAGTCATGGTGCACCCAAGTGTTTTCTACAGGATACGTCACAATTTCAGTAACTGAAAACATGACATTTCAGTTTTAAACCATTCTTTCACTTACAAAAAAGTGAACTCACTTTCTTATGGAAATTTTTTTTAATCGCTTTCTAGAGATTAAAAACAACTCCACATCTGAAGAGCTTTCTTAAACAATTATTAAAATGTCACTAAGGTTAAAATTCCAAAGTTTTGAAACTCTGGACACTAAGATAGAATGCTACATCAGTAAAAAAAATAATCTACAGCCAATCTGGTGACTTGGCAGTAGGTCAGAGAAATACCATACACAAAAGACATTAGCACTAAGGAGTAAGAGACAATATGCATCATAATTAAGTGTCTGGAATTCAGGATGGAGTTAGGAGAGATAACTGGTACTTAGGGGACTTTAGCATATAACTAAAGTTAATCACACTTTCACTTTCTTTAGGTATCAATCTAAGTTTTCCCCATGTGTGTTTTACACATTCTGAGATAGCTACAAACCTCACGTAAGAAGCCTCCGTTTATATAAAAATCTAATAAAGGATCAATGTATAGTATTTTAAAGTTTGCTTCAAAATGCATATGGCACTTATAAAGGCTGCAAACATTGGTCAATCAAACTCTCTACACAAGTGTTTTCTGCTGGACAATTCACAGCATCATCAATCTCCATGGAGGCCATGCAATACAGTAAGCACGTTAACGGCAGTAAGAAATCTATTAGTGGAAAGAGAATGTCAATAAATATAAAAGAAGGAAATGGTAGAACTTCAGAACCCTGTCTGGAATAGCACTGGGGGCAAGGTTAAGCATGGTAAAGGGAGAATTCATGCTTGAAAGATGATGGAGACAAAAATATTGACAAAAATAAGTCTGCATGCTAAAAGTTATGAAATACTTAATATGCAAGCAAAATGGAACTCCCAAAATTAAGCCCTATAGAAGAACTCATTCCGCTTGGAAAAAAATACTGTATTAGCAGCAACAACCTTTTTGACTCTATAGAAGTAGAATAAACATTTTTTAAAAGCATTGGATCTGAACTACTATGTGCCAGTTTATTAAATAAGATTAGTGATCAAAAGCAATAATGCTTCCAATCAATATTTAGTGTGGCAGATAAAAGAACATCTTCAGCATTCACCAAGCGAAGTTATTTTACAAGTCCTTTATTGCAAAAATATTTTTCCATTTTAGCACCATTTACAGTACATATTTTCATGAGACACAAAAAATTTAAATTATGATTATTTATTGCAAAACTTAAGTCTTTTCCAACATTTTATAATCTCAAGCACTCTATGCCAAGTTCTAGCCTCACACATGAGCACCACACTGTATGTGGTCAAAGCCTGGGGTTGATTACTACATATGGTGTGATAATGCACACTTTTTGACAGAAGGAAAAAGCAACCCCAGTCTTAAAAATATATAGGTAATTAAACCCCCAAAAAGTAAAGTTTAAAAAAGTATATTTAACTTAAAAGGACACAGGTCATAAAAAATCATTTTAAATTCCTTTGTGGAAAAAGGAGGTTACTGTATCTGTTTTATTAACATCTCCGATAAAAACTGCATTTTAAAAATCTTATTTAGTTTTTACTATTTATGCTGTGTATATACTTATACATTTCACTCAAGGTAGACTTTGAAAACATTCACTTGCTTCTAATAGTCAGGCCTATTTACTTACCTCTTCTGACTTACTAGTTGAAGAGTATAATGTCTGGGTGGCAAGCAAGTACAAAAATGTTTACACTGATTTTTTAAAAGTAATGAAACTATTTCTGCTAATATAGTGGCAGGATCCTGACATCTTAGGCAGACTTCCTTTGAATTCAATGGGAGTCCATCTGAAGAAAGGTTAAGCTATTACTTTCTGGTTTGGCTCATTAGGTTTTGAAAAGCCTCATTACAAAACCTAGATTTGAAGTCTAACCAAAAAGACTGCCTTTTTAACAGGTGACAATCTACATATTTTTTGTTTTAAAAAAGTAACAGGAAATATTAAAAACAAAATCTTAGAGAATAAACACAATTTGTTCAAGTTTAAACAGCAACTATAAGAAAAAAGTTAGTCTTTATTTAGGATACACTACCTTTTTCTGCACTCCCATTAATTTTAGGTATGAAGTCATCAACTTGTATGCCTACGATTAAGAAAGGGTATTATTTCTGGATTCAAGCGAAGTATTTTATGTAGAGCACTGTGTAATGTAATTGGCTTTCCATACTGTCTCCTTATCCTAAGTATTGAAGCAACAATCAAACCAAATAATCTATGTTAGGACACATGATACAATTTAATGATACCTTCTTGCACGACAGATCCTGTCACATATTGATCAAATGTGTCAAAAATTACCATCAAGTAAGTAAAAAAAAATATATTTTTTTTAAAACAACATTTTCCTACACAAACATATTTGAGTTCACAAGCAAGCAATGGACAAAAGAAAAACTTGATGAATATTTTAAATAGCAGTGCCCTCTTCTGGTATTTTGTTACATTGATATTACTTTCAATTTTAACAGGTCAAATGCAACTATGATCAGTGATTAAGAGGAAACAACAGCCAAATGCATAATTTTAAATGCTTTTTTCTTACCGTCAGCAATATCTAGATCATAAGGATTGCTATAATATAATTAATGGGGTAAAAATTTAAAGATGAAATCCAGCTTTAAGCAAAGAACATTAATATCACACCTACCTAAGCTGTTGTGTTCTTTAAGAGTTTTCTCTTGCAGGTGTTCTAACCGTACTGTAAACAGAATTCCAAGAAAAAGATATTTCACAGATTAAAAGAAAAAAGATAAAATCAAAGTATTTTTTGACTAGATGACTGACCTTGTAAAGCAGTTAGCCGTTCATTGGTGAAATCATTATCTGCTTGCAAAGCTTCTATTTTTGCCTGAAGCTCTTGTTCTCGCTCTTCCATTTCATTTATTTTATGTTGCAATTCCTTTTTCTCTGCCTGACCCTTCTGTTGGATTTCCTCTTGTCTTCCTTCTGCCACCTGATCAAATGTGAGAAAAAATTAAGTTATAAGACAACGATGCACTAATTTGAATGTGAGTGAACATTCAGATGTGACTCCCTTTTTAGCCACTCTAATAAAGAAAGTTTAATACCCATCTGTAACCTTTTTCTACAAAGCCGTTTCCAGAAGTAAGTTCATGGAAACCTTATTTATTTCATATAGATACATTTTCTCCTGTATTTCCATTTCTTTAATGTAATTCCACAGCAATTTATTCCACAATTTGTCCTAAAAGCCTCTGTCCATCAAGACACACCTTGTTTGGAACCATAACAAAAGATAAAACATCCCAGAACAATTTCTACATTTTATTTTCAATAATTTTATAGTAAAACAAAAACAAACATCTCAGTTTTATGTGGACAACATAGGTGTCCAAAGAACTTTTTAGGACAGCTGAACTGCTTCAGTTTCTCATTTCACCAATCAAAATGCTTAGGTTCATGAAACAGGTCTGTATTGTCATTTACCAGCTTGAAAGAGAGCTGTGTCACTCCCTCTCTGGTGGTAAAAAAAAGTTACCTTGAGAATGTTATTACTAGTTTTTACTTAGCAATGTTAGATTGCAAGGACTAACAATTGCAGAAGGTTAGATAAAGTTCTGTTCCTACCTTCAGTTTGTCAGAGAGGTCTTTAATTTCATTTACAGCTCCATTGTACTTGTTTGCTAATTCTCTTAATTCTTCCTGAGTCCGCTCATTCATTTCTTTCAGGTGAGTACATTCATCTTCAGTGTTACTTAAACTTCGCTATAAGGAAAAAATTAGTGCATGTGAAAACCAAAAAATAGCGACAGTTTATGAATATTGAAGTTTGATACTGAAGATTTCAATTTATGACAAGAAATATGATCTAAAAACCTCTTTGCTTCAAATGGTTAATAAAGGCCAAATGGATAGATCAAATGTTGGCAAAAATATTACCTATTTAAAAACACCTTTGTAACATTCAATTTAAATAAGAATAACCACACATTAAGTGGAGAAACAAGTTGTGTGTGCAAGAAAAAATGAGAGTAGGCTCTGGAGAAAAAATGGTTACTAACCTTCCATAACTGTTCTTCGAGATGTATTGTGGATATCCATTCCACACTAGCTGCGTGCATGCCACCTGCACTGTGGCTGGAAATTTTTCCTTTACTGGCATCCATTGGGCCAGCTCTAGCGCCCTTTGGAGTTGCGCACTTATGCACTGATATAAGAGGTGCCACTGGCCCCGCACCTTCTCAATTCCTTCTTGCTGGTAACTCCAACAGAGGGGTAGGAGGGTGGGTCATAGAATGGACATGAGAAACACATCTCAAAGAACAACAGTTACGAAAGGTTAGTAACTGTTTTTTTTTCCTCTGAGTGCTTGCTTATGTCCATTCCATGCTAGGTAACCCACAAGCAGTTCCCCAGGAAGTGGGCTCGGAGTTCATGGACATGCTGACTGCAACACTGCTCTCCCAAAACTGGCATTGTCCTGGGCTTGTTGGATGATGGCGCAGCATGAACTGAAGGTATGAAGAGACAACCAGGTCATGGCTCTGCAGATGTTGTGGATTGGTACCTGTGCAAGGAATGCTGCTGACCAAGCCTGGACTTTTGTGGAATGAGCAGTCATAGTAACTAGAGGCAGGACATTTGCCTGTTCATAGCAAGCCCAAATACAGGCAGTTATCCATACATGCTTCTTTAGGTTGACACAGGTAGCCTCTCATCTTTTCCACTACTGCCATGAAGAGTTGCATGGATTTGCAGAAGGGCTTAGTACTCTCAATATAAAAAGCAAGGATCTGTCTAAAGTCCAATGTACGAGTCGTCATTCCGCATAGCTTTTGTGAGGTTTTGGGAAGGAGACAGGTAGAAAAATGACCTGGTTGTGGTGGAATTGAGACACCTTCTTTGGCAGGAAGGCCAGATGAGGGTGCAGTTGGACCTTGTCCTTGAAGAACACCATGTAAAAATGGTTCTGACATAAGGACCTTGATCTCAGAGACCCTTCTGGCCAAGGCGATCGCCAGGAAGTTGACCTTGCAGGAGAGAAGTAGTAGGGAGCATGATGCTAATGATTTGAAGGGGGCCCTCCGTAAGCCTTGAAAGGACCAAGTTTAAGTCCCATGGGAGTAGATGAGAGTGCCAGACCCTGATGCTTTAGGTGGAGCAAACAGTCCAAGACAGACTAAAGAGAAGATTGGGATGGAGAGAGATCCTGTTCGAAGGCCCAGTAAATGGAACGTTTCCACTTGGCCAACTAGGTAGCCCTGGTGTAAGGCTTTATACTACCTAGCAAGACTTGTCCAACCTGTTCCAAGCAGGCCTGTTTTTCAGGGTTCAGCCATGCGGCACCCATGCAGTTAGGTGCAGAGAGGCGAGATTTGGGTGAAGCAACCGGCTGTGGTCTTGCGAAATCAAGTCCAGGCAGAGTGGCAGTGAGAGTGGAGTTGCCACTGAGAGGTCCAGAAGTATGCCGAACCAATGCTGCCATGGCCACACCAATGCTATCAGGACCACTCTTGCCTTGTCCCATTTGATATTTAGGAGAACCTTGTGAACCAAGGCAATCATTGTAAAGGAGTACAATAGGTGGCCTGCCCACGAGAGCAGGAAGGTGTCGGAGAAGGAGCCCGTACCGTGCCCAGGCAGCAAACAGAACTGATAGCATTTTCTGTTTTGCCCAGTGAACAGGTTCACATGCGGAGGCCCCCACCTTTGGAAGATGACATGGATGACCTCCGGGCAAGAAACCACTCGTGGTGAAAGGAGAAGGACCTGCTGAGGTGATCCGCCAACACGTTCTGGGCTCCCGGGAGGTGAGACACCTCAAGAGTAATTGAGTGTCTAACACAGATGTCCCATAGACCAAGGGCTTCCTGATGTAGGGCAGAGGATTGGGCCCCTCCTTGATTGTTGATATAGAACATGGCTGCTGTACTGTCTGTCAGGACTTGAACCACCTTGCTGAGAACTGGGGAATACTTGATATGCCAGGTGCAACGCCCTGAGCTCCCTGACACTTATGAGCAGGGAGAGTTTTTCCCAGTACAAGAGACCCTGAGTCCTGAGGTTATTGAAGTGGGCTCCTCAATCTAGATCTGACGCATCCAAGACTAAAAGACATCAAAGGCTGTGGAGCCACAAAGGGCACCCCCTTCATTACTGACCTTGACTTCTTTCACCAGCCCAGAGAGGTGAAGACTGGGGGAGGGATTGTAAGTACTGAGTTCAAGTGGTGTCTGTTCAGGGAGTATACTGACATTAGCCACATCTGAAGGGGCCTGAGGTGCAGCCTTGCATGTTGAACTGCCATATAAGCGACTATGTGACCCAGTAGCTTGAGGCACACTTGAGCTGTTGTGATTGGGTGGGTCAAGACTTTGGATATCAGGTTTGCCATGGTCTGGAAGCAGGCCTCTGGCAGGAAGGCCCTGGATTGGGTTGAGTTGAGCACTGCCCCAATAAATTCTCTGAACTGGGAAAGAGTTGACTTCTGCTCATTTATCAGCAGACCCAGCACTCTGAAGATGGTTCGGACTGTGCACCGATGCTATCTTGAGCCTGCGACCAACCTTTGATCAGCCAGTCATCAAGGTACAGGTAGGCCTAAAATCACCGGGAAGTAAACTTGCCAGAGCAAGAAAGGGTTGTTCCAGCAACTGTCATGGGTGGTAAGAAGGAACTGAGATGGTGCACGGCTGGCCGGGCCCCTTATACCAGCGAATACACGCATGACTCCAGAGAGAGCTAGAGACAGCCCAACAGATAGCACAAAGGGAAAAATCTCTGGCACAGTGCACGCAGCAATAGCCCGAGTTGTCGTTACATTATTTTACCAAAAATCTGAAGCAGCATCTAAGCTTAGATTCCCCTAGTAACTACATCGCCAAGAAAGGGGTGAAATGCACATTTAATAACAAAAGCAATAATTAGCAAACTTGTCAAGAGAAGTAACAAAACAAAAAATAAGCGTATTTATATGTCAAGCCTTAAGTTTATTATAGTGCCATAACATTTCATGATACTTTCCACTGTTTTCATTACTGTGCATTAACTTCTTCCTTGTTGCTTAAAATACTGTATAACAGGCAAAACGCACATCTCCAGTACTCTCCAGTATACTGTTCCTAGAATACTAATACAACAAACATATACTGGTGCAGTGCAGGTGCTAGAATAGAGTAAAGGACTAGCAGTTGGGAATATTCAAATAGTGCTACAACATTGATTATAAAAATAAACAAAATCTAAATACCTCCACTTCGGATAGTTTTCTGACCACCTCAATTTTCTCCTGAAGGACCCGCCTCAGGGACTCTTTGGCTGTTGTCTCATAGTTGTGTTTGTCTTCCTGTAATGCTACCAATTCCTTTCGTATACTATCTTCTGTTTGACTCTGTAAGTAGAAGTTTAAGATAGCAGAGCTATATCTCAAAACACTACTCTATTGTAGGTTAACGTTTTGTTGAACATACAGTAGTTCTCTCTATTAAACTACCATTAAAGATCTACTTTGCCAAGAATAGAGGAACAATTTTGACAAATGTAACAAAATCTTAAGGGCAACAATATGTTCAGTGGCTTTTTGTACGGCTGGGTATAAACTGGTAAGAGACAGGCATTTGCTAGAATGTTTAGGGCAGCAGACTCGAGAACCAGAATTCATTATTAAAGTAACAAAAATTAAAACAAAATCTACTCATTTCTATCAGTGCGCTACCAGTACAGTGTCAAGTTTAGCAGACCTAAACTTTGACATATTAGTATATGACAGAGGTCCCACTTGGAAGGTCTAATGTAGGTTCTTATCTTACAGGATTTTGTTTTTTCTCTTTTCTAAATACAATCCAGGCTGTCATAAGATAACAATGAAGAAAATAAATGGTACACAATGTACTGGCAAACTAACAGTAATCCAAAAAGAAAAGGAGTACTTGTGGCTCCTTAGTGAGCTGTAGCTCACGAAAGCTTATGCTCAAATAAATTGGTTAGTCTCTAAGGTGCCACAAGTACTCCTTTTCTTTTTGTGAATACAGACTAACACAGCTGTTACTCTGAAACCTAACAGTAATCCAGCTATCGAAAGCATGCTTGCCATTCTGTCTCTAAAATCTCAGATGTCATATTCACAAAGAGAAAAGGAGTACTAGTGGCACTTTAGAGACTAACCAATTTATCTGAGCATAAGCTTTCGTGAGCTACAGCTCACTTCATTGGATGCAAAGAATTATTCAAGTTTACATTTGAAAAATTTGCATCCAGAGCGAAGAGGCCAACGAGCACTGATTGTTGTAGGAAAAAACCCTAAAAAATTTGACTACATATTTACATGTATATGCCTAATATAACACTATTCATGGTAATAAACGCTGAAAACTAAGTTTTAGCTAGGTTGAATGTCTTTTCCTGGCATATTTTTGGCTATGCACAAGGTCCCAGAAAATGTTGAATAAGAGGTAATATGAAAACTTTTGATTACAATTACCATTTTGTATAATTTAGGTTTGTCAAAAATTGCTTAAAGAAATGTTTTAGTGTGAAACTTTGTAAACCCCATTGTTGTGGCCACACAGGAAAACAGACAAGACACAAGGGTGTGGTTTAACTAAGCCACAATTTTTATCTGGAAAATATCTGGCAATGACCTGCACTTCACAGTTTATCAGTCTTTTTTTAATTGTTCCCAACATTTTGGTAAGCCTGCCATCAGCCTTCCCCTTTCCCTACTTGGCCTCTGCCTGTTGCTGGGACCTCCACCACCTCCCATATGAGGTTTAAGGGCCGGCAAGTAAAAAGGGGCCGGTTATCTTCCCGCTGTGCCAGATGATAGGACTGCCAACCCCCTTTTACTGCTTCCTTGAGGGAAGCCTTCCCCTAAGTCCACTTCCAGCTCCAGTTTATCAAGGAACCACACTGCTCCATTGAACAAGTACCTTCACTGGACGCCTGCCACCTGTTAAATTGTGACAATTTGATTTACCTCATTATCTACCCCAGTGATGCCTTAACCTGCTCCCAGTAAAAACAAAAACCAAAAAAACCAAAACATCCACTCTGCTTTGGCCAATCTGTCAGGGAAAAATTCTTTCCCCAGCCCCAACAAAAAACAGCACATATGAAACCCAATCCTACCCTAATCTTATGCATGAATGGAGTATGCACTGCTTTTGTGGTGAGAGTCTTGGCTGGGAGGAGCAGGGTACAAATACACAACCGACATGCTGATCTGCATCCTCACCTGAGCCAGTCCCTGCTGGTTGCTCTTTGGTCCAGGAAACTGAGCCCCCCCAACACCCATTTCCTGTCTATTCCTTGAAATCCAAGGCAGTGGGGGCAATCTTAAAGGAGCCAGGACACTTTTCTCCTTACCAGCCAGCCAGCATCCCACCACACTGAAGCTTCAGTGAGCCCATTTGAAAGTTTGTGCTCCAACTGCACTGAAAGTTTGCTTTACAATAACTATTTAATTTTCAAAGCTTTCAGGAGGACACTGCCATTCAACTTTCCTAAATACTATATGATTAATCTGAAGTGAACTACCTACTTTTGAACAGGCTTGTAATTGGTTTCCCATGACTTCTAACCTTGATAGTAGTCTGTCTTCATCTATTAAAGCCTGTTGGAAAATATAATAAATTTAAACTAACAGAATAAAACAAAACGTTTATATGGTTTTTGCATTTCACAGGAAAAGTCTAGACATTAAATATCTGAAAAGGGTAAATACCACTTCCTTAAGAGACATTCACTTTAGAAACAATTAATAGTACTGGTTAGTTCTAAGATAAACATATGTGTGCACTTAGTCTATTAGCAGTAATGTCTCCTTATCAGTTAAGCGAGATAACCAACCTTCAACTTTTACTCATTTATTATAATAAATTGAAAGTTACAGTTTATACCCCACTGTATATTAAGTTCTTAGGCCTGTACATTAAAGAGAAATCTTGCAGATACCTGCCAACTAGTATCTGAAGCCTCCTGTGTGACAGCAAGCAGTCGCTGAAGGGTGGCCAACTTCTGTTCCAACATTTGTTCCCGATGTAAGGCTTCCTACGATGAAAATATAAATGCAAGCAGGTCAGTTCAAACTAACTATTGGAAAAAACAGAAGCAATGTAATGTATAACCAAATACTACTAAACTGAAAAAAGGGGGAGGCAGGGAAGATTGGAAGATTTTAACTCATATGTTCAATCATTTTAAGTTATAGCAATGCATTAGCAAATTTAAATTCATTTTTATTTATACATATTCCTGTAATTGTTTAAGTGAGCTTAGATTCTTAAAGCCATCCTTTTCATACCAGTTCCAGATGCACTGAATGTACCTGTCCTTTAGCGTAAGAATATTTTGACGAAGTCTCAATAGCAACTTATTGGTGGGTTCTCTATTTGTAAAGGCTGGGGATAAAGCCCTATTAAAAGTGATTTTGTAAGATTATGCTGGAAATAAAGGACTAGAACTTCATTTTACCTTTCAAAAGTTAGATTTTACAGAAAGTTACTATATTCTATTCTAAAGTACATGCTTTAGGAAAAAGTTACATTATATTAATCAATAACATGGATCAGCTTCCATTCCATCCTGTACATATTAGAAGAGTAATGACATCATGACACTTTGCTTCTTATAACTACAGATGAATAAAGAGAGAAACTCAATTTTTATACTGTGTAGAAGCTAGTTTAATGGTAAACAAAAATTAACTTAGTGGTGACACCAGGAAAAGACTGCTTATGTTCACATTATGCATTTGATGTAAATTTGTTTGGAGAATTGACTACAAAAAGGAACAGTTTTTCCAAGACTTTCAGTGTACCTTATGGACTAATTTTTATAAAACTGTTTTAAGATATAAATATTCTTAAATATAATTAGGCACAATGCAAAAAATTCTCTGATATATTCACTGCTCCCCATCAAAAAATAGGCCAGCAAATACTGATTTTTAAAAGGCAATATTATTACTTCTACTTGCGAGCTACTATTAACTTAGCAGTAAGTAATATTTAAATAAATACATAATAAATCTGTAATTACATCTGACAAAAATAAGAGCGTAATAATACATATATTGATGTGCATGCAACGTGTGAAGAATGACAATACATATAATGAAGTCAAGAGCAAGTTTTTCATAGAACCTGGTAGTATTTTAAATATGAAGTATTATATAGGAGATTCTAACTATCTTTTCTGTTAAATTACGTGAAAATGCCAAACTAAAAAAAAAAAGGCAGGCTATGTTTTTTCTTTCCACAGATGGAAGGATCATTTTGAGTTCACGACGGGCTTGCCTATATGGCAAGTTACTGTGCTGCAAACCAGGGCTGAATCTACAGAACACCAGCTTGCCGCACAGTAACATCCCATGTGGACACTGCTACAATCCAGGAAAAGTTCTTGAGTACAGCTTAGCATACTGCTATTTCAGAACATAGTACGCTGAGCCACAGTCCCAGACTAGGACTTTCACTTCAGCTTTTATTTAAAAGTAAGTATCTAGCCTTAGCTTATCTTTAAAATATCAACTGCCTGAAACAATAGCTCTGAGGTATGACCTGCCCCACTCATCTCTGGATGCTAACTGAAGCATGGTAACAGTTTAAATGTCAACATTAACTATTTTACTGATGAGTACTTTATAGCAGGAACAGTCAGTGGTGTGCTTATCCATCACTGTTCAATGCAATGACCGTTATTGGACTATGGCAATGGGACAGCTAATTGCTGGGTGAAAAATTAGAAAGTAAAGTTCTCCCCATCCCTGCAAATCACTCCTGCACCTGCCCACATGGTGCAAGGAAAGAGAAGCAGCATTTAATGTCATCACTAGTGACAAAACCTTCAACCACTTCCTGAAAGCCCAAACTCCCAGACTCCCTCCCACACTTTTACAGGTACCAAATGCCTCAATTTTTCATTATCCCATTTGTTAAAACTTCCTGTTCAAATCTATTTGCCCTTCTCTAAAACCCAAAATAGTACTAACTTCATTGTAGAGGTTATGTCAATATTTAAAAAAAAAAAAACAGTGGGAGAATGAAAATATCAAAATGAGGGAAGGGCAGCATAAGTATTTTAATATTAAAATAAATGTAACACCATCATGATCATTAATTTTCATAATTCACAACCTCAACTTTTTACATATAACATCTGCCTCAGAATTTTCAGCTTTCTACAGAACTTAACACTAGAGAGCTATAGAAACCTTATCACATAATTTAGATCCAGCTTGTTATTGTGCATACTACATAGGCCCTTATTTTTAACACTTACTCCTGGATTCTGTGCCACTGGAATTCTGTGCCATTACACAATGCAGAATTTTCCAGGAACTTATGTTGTGCGCGCAGAATTTCCCTCTCTCCCCCCCCTTCCCCCGTCCCCTTACAGAAACGGGCTGCAGAGCTGCTGACCACTACTAGGGGCCTCTGAACCCAGCAGAGCCCAGCTTGCAAGTAGAAGACACTGCCAGGGGATGAGGGAGTAGAAGCTGGAGGGTTCCTGGCAGCTGCAGTTCCCAGTGCACCCTGAAGGAAGGAGGCAGCATGCAGCAAACTCCCTGCAATCCCGGGACCCAGCATCAGTCTGTTTCTCCCTCCGGATTCCTGGGCTCTAGAGGGAAGAGGGTGGGAGCCTCTGGGCCAGGGGAAGCCCCCATGACAGGGCTCGGGGGTAGGGAGTGTGAGCGTCTGGGCCAGAGGGGCCCTGCAGCTGGGCTCTTGGGGGGAGGGAGGGAAGAAGAGTGTCTGGGCCATGGGGAGCCCCACGGCTGGGCTTGGGAGGGGGAGGGGGTAGAGAAGCAGGAACTGCTCCTGGGGGGAATTTGAGTGTGTCTGTATTATTACAGACATACTTGCTGACAGGTATTCTGAAATAAATTAAATTATTTTGGTAAACTGGCGTGATTATATAGTGTTATTTTGACAAATAGAATTTGCAGAATTTTAAAATTTTTTGGTGCAGAATTCCCCCAGGAGTAAACACTCTCAGAACACTTATACACTGAAATGTACAATCAGGATCATCTCTGAAATGTACAATCAGGATCATCTCTAACAGGCAACACACTCTTTAAAGTATATCTACAGAGTGTAGTTTAACCTTTTATTAAACACTGCCTCTAAGGGACAAGTTTCTGTCAGTCCTCTGAATCAATTTACAACCATATATACCATGTAAAAACAAACATTGATTCAATTATATGTATAGAGTGGGCACAGCTTTTTTACATGTACACAGTAACATGCATGCACAAAGGACCAGCTAAAATGTCCAATTGGTCATTTCCACACACAATTACAATAACTCCACACAAACTGTCCATGCACATTTTCATGTGAATAATTTTTAAAATCTGGACTTCTTATACAATGCTACACTCTTCTACTGAACAATATTATAGTGAACTTTCTAGCCACGGTTACTTTTGCTTTATTCAAAAGAAATTAAAGCAGTATGTTATGAACATTAATGGAGGTGTACAATATGTTGCCATATTGAAACTTTCATAACCTATTCTGTCCTTCATTAATTCATAAAGGATTTCTTAGTTATAGTAAATATTTGTATAATTTAAATATTTGTATAATTTGCATATGTAAAATGGAAGTCTGCTTTCAGGAGTAAAATGGGAAGTACCGTACTGTGCTTTTACCATCTAATTAGATTATAAGATCTTTGGGGGCAGGCACTGTTTTTGTTATGGATACATACAATGCCTTGCAGAATGGGTCCCCATCTCTGGGACCTCTAGGCACTATCATCATATAAATAGAGCTTCCATTATTATATGAGTAATCCTCCTACTGTACCTATTAGAACTGGTTCCCTTAAATGAACATTATGCCATCTTGAACTTGCATTTCACTAGCAAATAAAGGGCTCAATCAGGAAACAGGGCCCCACTCTGATAGGCCCTGTACATACACAACAAAAAAAGTCAGTCCCTGCTTCAAAGAGATTACAGTCTAAACAGTTCAAAATTACCATGTGTAAACTAAAAACAAAAATGGCAGAAATGTAATTGAAGGTAGAGAGAATTGTCAGAAGGGATGATTTACACGTTATTTTCAAAGAAACATTTATTTCTACAATCCCTCTTTAAAAAGGGTTATTTGGATACTATGTATGCTCTGTCTTGTGACCCATCCATAGGTCCCTCAGTAAAGGTGACCATCAGTTTCAGAGTGAATAACTTCACTTGTATATTCCCAGTCATGTCACATCCTACTCAGTAAAGTAAACATAGGTAAATATAGGTGTTCTGCAATTCAGTGACATTAAAATCTAGTTACATTTAGCAAGGCAGAAGGAGGAAAGTAGCGTAAATTATGTTAACTGAGCACCAGAAAAAAGTACTGGTTTTATAAATGGTTACCAAAACAGAAAATAAATGAATTATGTAACAGAGTCAAAAGCCTGAGCAGGCTCTCACACCAGAGTAAACAAGGAATAACTGCTGAAATCAGTTACGCCTATGTGAAATCAGTGTAAGTGAGAACAAAGCCTTGTGTGTCTTGAACAAACAAGTTTACAGTAGGCACCTTGTCCAATTCTAGTACAAGTTAGCTACTCCATTAATTAAGCTTAAGTGAAAAACTAATTTCTAAACAAATAGTTTTAAAAGTTCTCCTTCAAGCCACTAGATGGTGCAGTTTACCCTTCTCTATTCAGAGAGGCTTGGAGCCACATGTATCAGATCTTGAAGAGTACCAGAAATTTGGAGGTTTCAGAGGAACAGCCGTGTTAGTCTGTATTCGCAAAAAGAAAAGGAGTACTTGTGGCACCTTAGAGACTAACCAATTTATTTGAGCATGAGCTTTCGTGAGCTACAGCTCGCTGTAGCTCACGAAAGCTCATGCTCAAATAAATTGGTTAGTCTCTAAGGTGCCACAAGTACTCCTTTTCTTTTTAGAAATTTGGAGGTTACTTCTGGCAAGAAGAAAGCTCTAGTCTCAGATTCTCAAAGTATGCTATCTGCAAGAAAATGTATATAAATATCAGTGTGTACACATTTATAGTACACACAGATCATGCTCAATATAATCAATAAATGAAATAAATTACCAATATCTGCAATTCAACTACCTTTCTGAAAAAGTTAATTGCCAAAAGCAGGGTTATTTCCCAAGAAAGAAATCTAAATCACAAGATTTTCAGAGATCAAAGACTTATTCTGTAAAAATCTTTACATAATCTGATGGATGATCTTATAGGGGAGTGAGCAGTATGTTATCGGATGATCTTAAGTCTTGCACACATGCTCAGAGTCTAACTGGTTGACATATGTGGGGTCGGGAAGGAATTTCCCCCAGGTCAGATTGATAGAGACACCTTGCAGGTTTGAATTAGAGTAAATGGTGGAGTCTCTGTAACTTGAAGTCTTTAAATCATGATTTGAGGACTTCAGTAACTCAAGCCAGAGGTTAGGGGTCTATGACATGAGTGCATGGGTGAAATTCTGTGGCCTGCAATGTGCAGCAGGTCAGACTAAATGATCACAATGGTCCCTTCTGACCTTGAAGTGTGTAAGTCTAAAGTGTTTTATTCGTAACATGCTACTAGATTAAACCATTTCTAAACCTTTTCTATTTTTAGAGAACTGCAAGATTTACTAGGTGAAGCCTAAAACAGAATATGTAAAGATTTAGAAATAAGATTGTCTATTGCACTGCAAGCCAGGTGATATCAGTCCAAATTATAGGTCAAAGTCACTTCTGCTTACTCCTGGCACTTTCCCATCTAATCAGTTTGATACAGAAAAATCCACATTCCCTTCTAATAGAGGAATGCAACAAAGCACATATTTGCCTTTTACCTCAGAGTAGCTTTATGATTACCAGAACTATTTGGCACTAACAGCAAGAAGGTAGCAAGATGCTTTTGCATGCCTTAGAGGAACTTTGGGAAGCATTTCTAAAAATACACACAGTTCCACAAATCCAGCTATTATTATCGACCGCACAGATCACGATTCACAGTTCAGAACATAAATGTTACTTCCTAGTTCCAGAATCAAAAGGAAATATGCCATACATGCAAGCTAATCCAACATCCCTTTCCCTTCAGCTTTTCCAAAAGCTAGAATTTTCTTTAACATACCTCTTCCTCTCAGAGGAATTATAATTCTTCCTACAACCAACCAATCTACACATAACCTACATTTATTCTACATTTTGTAGAAAGGAGAACAAAAATAAAGATAAAAATCTATTTAAAAGAAAAAATGGAGGTTAAGTGATCGATAAAAAATTATTTCTTTAAAAATCCAGATATGTTAATGCATTTTAGTATTTCCCATTCATATTCTCCTATGAATTTTTTCTGGTTATACTACTAAAAAGCTTCACAGACAGCCCTTTAATAATTTTCGAGTTAAAATGATTCCAAAGAAGAATTATAAATACAAGGTTGGAACCTATTCTCAATTCTAAGAAAAGTGAGGGAGTACCAGATTTATGTTTATACAGATGCATATAGCATATGAAACCACTATCAAGTCTGCAGGGATGTGCATATATAGAATTCTATACTTATGCAAGCCAAATAATTTATCTGTAAAAATATTCATAAAAGAAATGATGATACCATATAAGGGCAATTACCATATATTTTATGCTGTTTTCAACAGAAAAGGCGGTTTATAAACACTAACAGTTAAGAATTAACTGAATCATACTTTGAACGTACACAGGTGTACACATACACATGAAAGATTTACATTCTAACCAAAGATTAACTACTTGGTTGTGTTATTTGCATAAACTATCAAATTAATGAGTAAAAAAGGAATGTCTTCATAGAAAACCAATTTTACCTGTAGATACTGAGAAAGCTGAAACAGTTCCTGAGAGTACATACTGGGAGTGTTAGCAGCAACCTATGAAATAAGAAAATATTATCAAAATCATGTTGGGTATTCTACATCAAATTCAGACAATTCAAAGTGTATCTGTAAATATTTAAGAAAGATCACTGCCTACCAGTTCTTTTTCCTCTTAGCACCTTTACTATTCTACCATTACTGTATTGTTGTTTATTGTTTGTATTACAGTACTACCTACAAGCCCCAAACAGGACTGAGGCCCAACTGCACTAGGCTCTGCACAAACAGATACTGAAAAAAATCACTGCCCTGAAGAGTTTACCATCTAAATTAAAACACACACAGACAAATGCTTGGAAGGCAACAGATGCACAGCAGTGAAACCACTTGCACAAGATCATACAGCAGGTCAGGGGTAGTGCTGGGTACTAAACCCAGGTCTCCCAACTCCTAGTCCAGCGCCCTAACCACTTGGCCATGCTACCTGTGATATATTCTATTCTAAACAAAGCATCAGTCTGCACAAGGTTCTTCCACCACACAGAAAAAGTGCAAGGCACATATCTGCAGTATGATTTTTGAAAAGTTCTATCTAAATAGTAGCTGACTGCTCTTAATATCATCTGATGTCCCCCCAGCATGGCTGAATGGTCATGGAAATAAATCAACAATGGACTGATTCAAATGAAGAGTTAAAACCAATTCAGTCAAAAATTTTGGGTGAGGCTTCATTACTACCTATGTTTTGCAACATACCAAGGACCCCAAAATTTTCCCTAGTGCTTTGTTGGATAATGACTCTTGCATAAGGAGGCTTTAGAGTCTGGCTTGGGCCAACTTAGAGAAAGACCTACAAAACAGCAGAAAGTCATTCTCCTAATCATGCTCGACTCTCTCCAGACCCACCAAGAGCAGAAAACTCATGGGAACAAGAGATGCGCCTTTGCTTCAATACCTGATCTGCCATCAGATTTGGAACGGGTGGAGCGATCTCAACTAAATTGGGGCTTTTGTTTTGTTGGGAAATATCTAATACATACTTAAAACAGGAATAATAATAATAATTAAAAAAAAAAACACTGCCAGACACAGACAAAAGAGAAAAGGAACGGGTTCATAAAGACAGTTTGTCAGGCAGAGGAATAGATATCAGATTATTTATAGCCTTGGGTCAGGGCAGGTAGGGGCTTGAGGTATACATGTGCATCCCCCAAAGGGTCAACCAACTCAATATAACAGTCAATAAATGCTGTTCTTGTCACTTCACTGTTCCTAATCTAATCTAATCATCTCTTATCCACTGAGTAAAGGGCTCCATAACCATTTTTTAAATAGTATGGGATACCACTGCCTTATTTTTTAAAAATTTACAATTGTAGAAAGAAAAGGAGTACCTGTGGCACCTTAGAGACTAAAATTTGAGCATAAGCTTTTGTGTAGCTCACGAAAGTTTATGCTCAAATAAATTTGTTGGTCTCTAAGTTGCCACAAGTACTCCTTTTCTTTTTGCAGATACAAACTAACATGGCTGCTACTCTGAAAACCTACAACTGTAGATGTCACAGTAGTTGAGGTGGGATAGAACGTTCAGTCCTCGTCAAAACTCACATTGTCTCACAATCCAAACCATAGAGCATTCTGCAGCAAAAGCCATCTTTCATGCCAGTCATTTTGCTCATGTCACTCCCCTTTTTGAACCTCTCATTGTATCTGTCCTATTTCATCAAATTCAAGCTTCTTGTTACCATCTTTGATGCTCTATAATTCTGCCAGTCTTGATTTACCTAAGCATGTAGTGCTTCATGTTATTTTGCCAACATTTCCACTCCGACCACCAGTGGAAAAAGTAGAGTATTCCCATACCATAAAAACTCAGCCTGCCATGCATATACTTGTGATACTGAACGAATGAATATCATTTAATTTTTTTAAACAGTAATATTAAACCATGTAAAGTAGTCCAATGCAAGGCACACCTATAAGTAGTTAGGTTTTTCCTATTCTTTCAACTTTTTAATTAAAGACCGAGTACAAATGACTTACCTTGTCAACAGGACTTGGTAATGGAGCATGGATGACACTGAAAAAAGAATTAAAACACCTTATAATCTGTTCCGTAACAGAATTATGCAAGTAAACATCAAGTACGGAACAGCAGTTCAAAAATCCACAGAACTATCAGTATTCCTGTAAATGTTTAACTTAGGACATTCTTCATTTTTAAGTTCATTCTTAGAGAAAAGTCACAGAAGTTAAAAATACTGTTTTTATATCTTATGCTCACTACCATTTTGTGAATCATACTTTGACGTAGATTTTTCCAATTTAGTTTTTAGTTCTAATCTAAAAATTAAACAAACAAGTGAGCCACTTTCTAAAACCTCGATCACTATTTTTATATCATATAATTAGATAAAATTTTATATGTTTTTGAAAATAAAGAAGATTTGTTAAGGTTCAAATGCAACTTACATATGGAAATGAATAACATGCACAAAAACATGCACTTACAGGCACTAGATAAATCACCCTAATATACAACTTTACTGATGAAGAAAGAAAATGTTATACAAAAAGTTGAATGAACTAATCTTGTCCAAGGAAATAGCTACTTTTGTACAATTACACATTTGAACAACAAGAGCAATTTACATAACTTCCGAATTTTAACAGTGTTGTTGTAGCCTGATTGGTCCCAGGATATTAGGGACACAAGGTGGGTGAGATAATATCTTTTATTGGATTTGCTTATGCTGGTGAAAGAGAAAAGCTTTTCAGTTGAGGCAGAGCTCTTCTTCAGGTCTGGGAAAGGTACTCAGCATCACTGCTAATACAAGGTGAAAGGGATTGTTTAGCATAAGTAATTAACACATTTCAAGGGACCATTCAAGGTGAAGTGGCCTGGTAAGGAAAGGAAGTGGGGGAGAGCAGGTGGGCAAAGGTAGTTGTTAGTGGGTTACTGATTGTTGTAATAAACCATAAATCCAGTCTCTCTATTCAATCCATGATTTTTAGTGTCTAGTAAAGTTACGAATTTCAGCTCCCAGGCATGTCCCCATCCTTAATTAATTAATAAATAAATAAATTTTAAAAAAAAAATCTTTCCTGAGCCCTCCTCTTCTGGCCTTCAAACAACTCACCCAAACTCTCAAAGCTCATCATCAGAAGCAAGCTCCCCACAGACTAGGACACACCTACTCAAAGCAGCACCAGACCCTGCCAGAACAACAGATATATCAACACCCGACAACACACCTTTCAAGATCCCTGGGTCCGATACATGTCTATCACAACATGTGGTCTACCTCATCCAGTGCACTAAATGCCCCAATAGCAACTATGTGGGCAAAACAAGATAATCACTGTGCTCTTGAATGAACTCACACAGGAAAACGATAAGACAAAGACACCACCACATCATCTACGGGTGAACACCTTTCACAAAGCATTCATTTGATATCTGACTTATCAGTCCTCATCCTCAAAGGAAACCTACACAATACTTTGAAAAGAAGAGCCTGGGAGCTTAATTCCATAACTTTGCTAGACACTAAAAATCATGGACTGACTAGAGACACTGGATTTATGGTTTATTACAATCATCTGTAACCAACTAACAAACCCCTCCCAGCTCTCCCCGCACAAGACTGGAAGGGTGAAAAAGGGCCACTTCACTTTGAATGGTCCCTTGAAATGTGTTAGCTACTTATGTTAATCAATCTGTTCTACCTCATATTTAGCAGCGCCACTCTGAGGGCAAATTTATACTTAAAATGCTGCATCAGCGCAGCTGCACCAATGCAACTGCACTGCCCCTGCAGCACTAACAAAGACACCGTAAGCTGACAGGAGAGCACTCTCCTGTCAGTGTAGTTAATCCACCTCCATGAGAGGCAGTAGCTATATTGGCTACACAGTGCTGGGGGGTGGGGGGGGAAGGGGGTAGTTCAGTATAACTAAGTCACTAAGGGGTATGGGTTTTTCACTCTCCTGTCAGTGTAGTTATAGTGATGCAAGCCTGTGGCATAGACCCAGGCTTGGTCTACAGAACAGACTTACATCAGTATAACTATGTCACTCAGGGATGTGTAAAATCCACACCCAAGTGTTGCAGTTACACTGACCAAACTCCTGGTATAGACAGCGTGATGTTGACAGGAGGGCTTCTCCTGTCAACATAGCTTCCACCTCTCTGGGAGGTAGAATACCCACTCTGACGGGAGAAGCTCTCGCATCAGCATAGGTAATGTCTTCACTCAGCGCTACAGTGGCACATCTGTGTCGCTGCAGCACTATATCCGTAGTATATACTAAACAAGCCCTTAGTTTCCCAGACCTGTAGAAGAGCTCTATGTAAACTCAAAAGCTCCTCTCTCTCACCAACAGAAGCTGGTCCAACGAAAGGTATTACCTCACCCATCTGGTCTCTCTAATTTTAACTAGTAATGACAGTTTAGATTCCCATATTCTGATACAGAAGTTGAGATTTAGAAACCAAATCACACTAAAATAGAAATAATTTCCTATACTAAGTAATGCTGACTTAATTGAATCACTTCAGAATAGCATGTTAAACCAAGTTTCAAAAAAGTACATTGTTTTCATTCATTAGAAAACAATGATTTAATAGGATGAAATTCAATTTGATGTTTAATTCACAGTATAGTAGTAAATATCCAAGAAGTACCATATAAAAAGATTTAATACGAAAGTTCAAAAACCTATGTTTTATAAAATACAAGTGTGATTTTGCACCATGATTAAATTCGGATCATGTATTTTTACTTGATACTAAAAAGTTCGCTAAAACAGAAATTTTAAAAGCATGTCTTTTGTGCATGAAAGGAATAATTTTATTTCATCACCTAATCAAATTAAAAATAAAACATGGCATCTGAAAAACAATTATAGAAGCAATTACAAGTAGAGCTGGTTGGAAATTTTCCAACAAAACAATTTCTTCAGAAAACGCTAATTCACTGTAGTGAAATGTTTTGCTGAATTACAGATTGACAAAAAAAATTTCTGAAACACAGACACGTTTCCTATTGGAAACCACCACATATCTCCAATTTGCCACAAAATTTCAGTAAATTGCAACAAAAACAAAATGTATGAATTCTGAAATCCATTAATTTTGTTTTAAAATGTTTTTCATTTATTTGTTATGGGTCTTCACATAGCTTCCATCAGTGCTGTATTCAGGGTATTTGATTTATATTACAAGAGGTGATATTTCCCATTTATGGGGAGCCAAGACCCATTATTCCTGTCACAACAACTTTACAGGACAGCAACAGGAAAACTGTCAGAAAACTGAAATCTAAGGCTGCAGCTGCCAGTTACCAACCACCACCCCTTCAAACTGCAGGTAATTTTTTTTAATTAAAGGAAAAACAGTCTGGTTCAACCCCTCTTTCACTGCCAGGGCCATTCACCAAAGTTACTACAGCCCCAGAATGGCACCTTAAATCACCTTAGCTTGGCTAAGAAGCAGAGAGAGAAAAGCTGGTTGAGAATAATATTTAGTTGGGGATTGGTCCAGCTTTGAGCAGGGGGTTGGACTAGATGACCTCCTGAGGTCCCTTCCAACCCTGATATTCTATGGTTCTATGAATAAGCAATTATGCAGTTCCACAATATATGTCCATTTATTTGTGCTTCTCCATTTTTCAAACCACTTTGCAACTCCCACATTCATACTGCAAGAATTTGAGTCCATGTAGTTTGACCACTTCACATTATTCCTGGGGGAATTCTGCAGCACTGTAGTTGGCCTTCAGTTAGTTTTGCTATGATCTTGCTCAGAAATGGGAATTTTGACACTGGGCTGTAGTTATCTTGAAATGATGTATCCAAGGTTGGTTTCTACAATTCTGGTAAAACTATTGTATCTTTGAAGGAGGAAGGAAGGATTCCTTCACTGAAGGATTCCTTTGCTATTTTGGTCAGGAGTGGCACTAGCTGTTCATAGCTCTTTTTCAAAAGCCAGAAAAGCTATGAGTTGGATTCACAAGTCATGGGTCGAGACTTCTTTACAGTTTTCACAACCTCTTGATGTGTGAATGTGCTGAACTCTGGGAATGCAGATGGGCTGTTGGTTGGTGGGTACAGGCAGAGCATAACATGCTGTTCGAGAAGTCTTCCTAAATGTGCATGCTCTTTTCTGCAAAGTAAGATGATAATTCTTTGTGCTCATTTCTGATGTAGGTTTGGATTGTAGGCACTCTGGATTGATGAAACAGTTTACCACCCCGGATAGCTCCCGTGGAAAATCAGGGTATATAAAACTGAGGTCATTGTGTGGGACCTGAGAGTCTTATTAATTCCACACCACAGGGATTCCTTTCTCTAGGGTTACAGGACTAAGAAGAAGATTTGACTGATCCCACAAAGAAGCTTCAGACTCAAGGAATTCTACTGACACTCAGACCAGCTGTGTGGGAAAGATTCTTCCCTATCCCAGGTTAACAGGACTAAGAAGAAGCAGTAAGATTTCACTACAGAAATTATATTAAAGAATAGAAAGAGAAATACAATATCTGGAAGTTGTCTTGTAATGTCTACACTCTTTCTAGTCAGATCTCAAGTAACCTTATTTTGGATTTTAATTAAGTAATGCTATATGCATATTTCTCATTTATAAGTCCACACCCATCGGCCTATGAAAGCCAATAACTCAAAATATCAACAACTGCTTAAACTTGTTCCTTTCATATCAAACAATTCTAACAGCAGGCCTGCTTAAAATAAGTGCATCCTTGCTCCTTGGAGAATTACTGAAAGAGTGATATGTATTAGACATACTAAAGAATAGATAACTGATTATTGTAAGTAATTGTACTAAGAAATCTGGGTGATTTATATTGTTCCTTGGTATAGTTGCTTGGCCCCTGTGATGTCCCATTCAGGATCGCAGAACTGTGGGCCTCTGTGTCAGCACTCTGTCTTAGCAAGAGTGAGAGCTTTGCTGCTGCTAAGCTGTGTGTCAGCTTCCTGACACACCAGTCTGTCCACCTTGCCAGCAAACTCTTCAAGACTCCACCAGTCTAAACTTGGCCTTGCAGGTAACTGTCAGTGAATCCCAGTTCCCAAGCTCCCCAGAGCCTGTAGTGTCCATTCCCTCTCCAAAAAATTATGTTGGCTGTCTCCAAATTGAGAGCATGCATCAGCGTGTTAGGGCAGGTGAAGATTCACATTTCACTTTAATACACAATACTGTACTATTCTTATTTTATTGCAAAACTAAGTTTATTAACAGAGATTTGAGTGATACTGAGCAAGAGAAAAAGAGATAGGTATACTTATAAACAAAACAAAAAATAGGGACATGCATTCTAGTGACAAAAATGTAATCTTAGCAAGTTAAAATTGCTCAGGCAAAGATTGTCTTTCTTACTGGCATATGCAGCCCTCCAGGCCAGAGGACCCAATGTTCACGGAATCAAAGGGTGTTGGTTCCCTTTGTTCCTGGAGTCACGGATAACTAAAATGCCTTTTTTCTCCCCTTATATTACCCAAAGTTCACTGTCTTTGTCTCAAGAGCCAGGAAGGATTCCTGGGGTACAGACTCTGTCCCTGCCATCTGTGCATTAAGCTGCTGCTTGTTCACTTTGTTTATTGTATATGTAAATGTACTTTCATTGTCCTCTTCCAGTAAGCCAGGTAAACCAACATGCCTTTGTCTTGGGCAGCCTGGGTTTATGCACTCCCAAACATATTTTAAAAATATATTTCCAACACACACACACACACAATTTTGTACACAATCTGTACATACATAATGCCATGATTTTCAGGACCAGTGAGACATCAGTTTACATATGCTAATTTACATAACACCTTTTAGATACATATTATGACAACACAGTGCTGGGGCAATCAGTGTGTCAGGCCTGATGCGAGTTACAGTATGGTAGGCTCTCTGCCAGTTGGCACTAAGGGGCCCCAAAAGTCACAGCCACACTTTTGATTTTTATTAATCACTTACAAACCTGCATGTGTATTTTATGTTCAGTACGTGCCTAGCACATTTGTTTTATCTAAACTTGATTGATGAACTTTTGATTGTTTATTCACCAATAAGCACAAGAGTACACAACTGTTGGTTAGGTAAGAATTACCTTGTGTACTCATCTGAGAAATACCGTCCAAGGTAAAAGACTTTGAAAGAAATTAGTGCTAAAATTCGTAAACTAATGCTCCCTGCACTCAAAAGTTATCCTAATTAAATTCCATCCTAATATTGGCTATAATACTTACCAAATTGGCAAATCTAGTTTCCAAGATTTCAGTTTTTAAACCTAAATGGCACCTCAACAAATTCATAAAAATGACTCCCATTCACACTCACAGATGCATAAAAATATAGGTCTTCATGTAAAGACACAAAAACACAATTTACAAATCCAGTTTTCCATTCTATTTATTTTTCTGAATACCACTATAAAATTAAAACCATTCAAGTTCATATAATTTAATTGGGCATTAACAAAGTTTCCAGTTATGATACAAGTTCATACCTCTATGCTTTTATCTACCTGAGCAAAGCATTCACAATAACAGTTTATAACAATTTTAACATATATATTTGTAATTTGAGCATAAACCACCACATATAAAAAGGTCCTCACCAAGAGAATGTTCTCCTCTCCCACTTGTCACCCCACTAATCTCACACTTGTGTGAGTGCTGCCTTTTAATTATATTACCAGTGCATATTAGATTATAAATGCTTTGGGGCAGGGATCTTATATGTTACGTACGACACATACCTATATAGACCTATATAAATCTACATGTGTTACATGTTATTTATTACAATAGGAATATACTTAACAAGAAACCTCATAAAATATTCTAATTTCCGTAGATATTAATAAATACTTAATTATACTTACTCTGACCGTAATCTGGCTTCCATACCATCTGGTAGAAATAGTTTTATTGCGGAGACTATACATCCATGGGTAACTGAGAAAAAATAAGAATACTGTGAGTCTTAGTAATCAGTTAATAAGATATTATTTATTTAATGGAAGTGCAAACATGGTCTAAGGAAATATGCAGCTATGTTACAATCAAGGAACTCTGAAGTGGATGAGCAACAGAAGGAAGGGAAAGTCTCTAAGCATTAACCCCTAACGTCATTGATTTGAGATCTATCATACCATTCTCACTAGAAGGGAAAACCTACAATGGAAGCGGGCTGTAAGAGACCCAGTTTGGGAATATTTTAATGAAGTTCCTCTACCTGTCGGTAAGACAGGCATGCATGCAAAATGCAAACAGTGCAACAAAGAAATGCAAGGCCTGGTTGCCCGAAAGAAACAACATCATGAGAAGTGTTCCTTCTCAGGAGGAAGCTGCGTTGAAGATGATGAAAGGAACATTTCTGAACATGCAGGACCTTCAGGTTGGTAAAAAAAATTATTTCATACTTCTTTCTTAAGGACTGCCTGTCTTCCTTCTGCACTATTCTTGAATTCTCATGTTTGAGCAAAAAATATAGTTGTTACTCTATGGATTCAGAGACTGTTGAAGTGATAATCTCACTTTTAACAGCAGTAGCTTCTTCAGCCGGTGTAGAAAAAATATTTTCTTACTTTGGACTAATTCATTCCAAATTGAGAAATTGTTTGGGACCTCAAAAAGCAGGAAAGCTCGTTTTTCTTTTCCAGATTATGAACAAACAGGAAAATGAAGGTGAAGATAACTGAGTTAGCTGCAGAAGCCAATAGTTTAAGTTTTTCATGTTGACCTGGGCTGACAGTCAATTGAAATTAAAAAAAAAAAAAAACTAAACTATTTTAGTTAAAAACAATTTTAACAAAATCAAACCTGATTTTAAACAACTTGAACGTTTAACTAAATTAAAAAATTCATATGCTTGTTTTGTTAAAATATTATATGTTTGCTGCTGAAGAAGAAAATCCAGAATACATAATGTTGTTGTTTTAGTTTAATAAAACAATTTAAATTTCTGTCTGGTGATGTTCTCCTCCTAATACAGGATGGCAAGAAAATGCTCCATATATTAATGATTAACCTGTTGAATTGGAGATAGTTCACCTCCCAATGACCTCATAAATATCTGCTTCAATTACCTTTGGTAAATGAAATAACCAATCATTCATTTTCTGATATAGCTGTAAAATTAACCTGAAACGTTTTCAAAATAAATCACTTAATAAATTTATATTGTGTACCTTCTAAAAATGAAACCTACCTCTATCTCCAAGTTGCGAAGAATATGAATTAAGGTTATAACAACCAACAAGAATACACTTTTATGTAGAAATCCATTATTAAATCGAGACTTCCTGACTAGTGATCTAAATCATGATTTAAATCCATTTGATTTAAATCAAATCCACCCTGACAAACCCAATTATACGGTCTAAATTAGCTGTTACAACTCAAGAAAGAACTTCAAGTCATCGTGGATAGTTCTCTGAAAACATCCACTCAATGTGCAGTGGCAGTCAAAAAAAGGTAATGTTTGGAATCATTAGGAAAGAAATAGATATAAGACAGAAAATATCATAATGGCACTATGTAAATCCATGGAACACCTATACCTTGAATACTGCATGTTATGGTCAGCCCATCTCAAAAGAGATATATTAGAAGTGAAAGAGGCACAGAGAAGGGCAACAAAAATGATTAATGGTATGGAACAACCTTCATACAAAAAAAGGTTAAAGAGACTCGGACTGTTCATCTTAGAAAAAAGAGAAGACAAAGGGTTATTTAGCCCTTTACGTAACACAAGAACTATGGGTCACGCAATGAAATTAATTGGCAGCAGGTTTAAAGCAAACTTAAGGAAATACTTCTTCACACAAAGCACAGTCAACCTATGGAACTCGTTGCATGGGGATGTTGTGAAGGCCAAAAGAAATAGATAAGTTCATGGAGGATAGGTCTATCAATCGCTATTAGCCAAGATGGTCGGAGACATAACCCCATGCTTTGGATGTCCCCAAACCTCTGACTGATAGAAGCCAGGACTGGAAGACAGGGAATGAATTATTCAAAATTACCCTGGTCTGTTCATTCCCTCTGAAACATCCAGCACTGGCCGCTGTCAGAAGACAGGATACTGGACTAGACAACCATTTGTCTGAGCCAGTATGGCCATTCTTATGTTCTAAACAGTAGCAGTGGGATGGTGGCAGCAGCAGAGGGCGTCAAGTCTTGAACCATCTGATTAGCCAGCTACTCTCACAGACTACCAAATGAGAAGTATACAGAAGAAGGTAGAGTCTAGTCTATAAACAAATGGTGGCACAGCATTCAAAGCACAGGAGAAATACAGAAACAGATACCCAAATACATGAAACAGCAACTTTGCTAAGTTTCAATAAAACAAGCTCACCAATCAAGGGTTTAGGTCATTATTCTGACAATCACTGAAAGTGGAAGTAAAGGGTAACTAGTGCTGCTTAACTTGTTTTGTAACTTATTTGCTAGTTCCTCAGGTGCAGAATAATGATTTTGAAATGTCTCTGTATAAAATGAAGATGTAATTGCACAATTCATGTTCAAAAAAGAAAAACAGATAGCCACATAACATTCCATTCAGTTACTCAGTGAATGAATGAATGAGCAAACTTAAAGGTGAAGCATAATACATTTTTGTGTTTTGTAGCTCAGGGCCATAGCTAGAGCGGGGCGAGTGGGGCAGCCATGCAGGGCACAGAGCCAGCAGAGGTGCAAAAATGGGGCGGTGCGCAGGATCGAGCCCTGAAGTATCACTCCACCCACCGATCGAGCCCAGTAGCATCTCCCCTACTCCCCGCCGGCACAGGATCAGGCCCAGTGGCATTGGCTGGAACCCAGGGTGCTCATCGCTGCCCTTTCCTCTTTCCCCCCTCTGCGATCGCAGGCCCAGCAACCCTGACTGGAGCATGCTCTCCCCATGTTACAGGCAGGCACAGCACTGAGTGCGCTGCTTGGCTCATACTGGACATGCTTACATGAACCAAGGATGGGAAAGCTTGAGATAGCAAATTGCAACAGGTGTCCCCTCTATCAGAATCTTCAGTGATCGCATACTGTTCTGTGAAAGTATGGACAGAAGCCCCAATCATTGCTCTATAGATTGGGGAGATAGGGGTATCCCTATGGAATATAATTGAAGTAGGAACTGATCTCATGGAGTGCGTATGGACGGAAGCAAGTTGCGCCCTTGCTAAGTAATTAATGCAACTAGACCCATTTGGATAGTCTTTGAGGAAATATCACAGAGTTTTTGGATCTTTCTGTGGATGAAAGGAAGAGTTTAGGGGATTTCCTGAAGTCCTTAGTCCTGTCCAAGTAGAATACTAATGTCCTTCTAATATCTAGCATATGCACAATTGTCTCCCAGTTGTCTCAATGTGATTTTGGGAAAAAATAGGGAGATGGATCTGTTGATTCATATGGAAAGTGCAGAAAAAGTACGGAGAAACTTGGGATATGGCCTTAGAGGAGGAGGAGTTATTATTATTTTTTATTTTTATTTATTTATTTAGTTTTAAGACAAAGGCCATGAATGATGGGGGCCGCTATTTCTCCTTTGTGCCTAGCTGAGGTGATGGCAATTACAAATGCTGTCGTCATGGACGGGAGTAAGAGAGAACAAGTTGCCCTGGACTTGGAGGGAGGTCTAGTCCAAGCCCTGAGAACTAGATTAAAGTCCCAGGCTGAAGTGGGTGGTCAAAGGCGGTAGAGAAGGAAGAGAGGGGCGTTTGCCCGTGCAGTGCTAAATAGCCTCAAGGCAGACCATGAGGGAGGGAGAGCACACGCGCAGGCTCAACCGGACACTGCTACCAAAAATCTCCGATTAGAGGTGCAGGGGCACACAGACACCTAAAGTGGAGCACCCATAGGGACACTACTCTAAGAAGAATATAAATAATCTCTATAACAGAAAGCGAGCCATCACTAAACAAAGCAACATGCAGAGAAATGGTGATGGTGAGGAACAGAGAAAATACGCACTAAGTAGGGAAAAAGTGAATAGGCCTACGTGCTCACCAATAACATAACATAACCTGACTAAGAAAGTTATGCTCTTCAATAAGGAAAAAAAAAAGTTTGGACGAACTCATCTCTGGCCTATGTCAGGGATTCTAGCTCAACACTAGGAATTTGAGGAATGAATGCTTATACTACAACCCATTAGGGGCAACATTACCTTTTTACATGTGCAATTATTTGGATGAACCAGACCAAAGTGGAATTCTTCTCTATTGGGAAAACTGGTTACTCAAACAAAATAGCCTTTACAATAAAAATGGGTTATAATGATATCTAGATATATTCAAGGGTTTTCAAAAGCACAACTACTACTCTTTGCCTGTACAATCACTACATTATCAGCATGTAATTGTTTTTCAGAAGGCGAAGATGACTAGTGTCTGTATAAGATGCTATATAAATATCAGAATGGAATTTAGTTTTAAAGGAGTGTCGCTATTTGTATATGGCATTTTTGTCTGCATTTTTCCTATTATTATTATGAATAATATTATAGTAAACTAAAAGAAATGAACAAAAGAAAGTATTGTTTCCATTTGTTTACTATGTGCATTTTAATAGCCCTTTGTGTTTTCTGTATAGTCAGTTCATTATGCTGCTGTTCAGCTGTAGCTCCTCTCATGTGCACTGGCATGATGATGTCACTCTCATTCATGCTTTGAAGGGAGCTCATGTGTACCTTCTTCCCCTGGAACTGCCTGAGGATGTTCTTTAGTAACAACAATGCAATGGGTGGGGTTCCTATGTTCAGAGTCTCCTTATTGTGGACTTCTGCATAAAGCTAGGGATGAACAGGAGACGGGAAGGCAGCAGGGGAACCCTACCCTTCCTCACTCTCCAAGTCAATAAATGGGGGCAGGGACCACATTTTGTGATATCATTGGCTGACCCAGTCTCCTCCTTACTGGAAAGTAGCATGAATATCAGCAAAAAAAAAATTATTGCATTTTAAAAGATAAAAAATTTCAGAGCACATTATATAAAGGGTATAATATAAAAATGTTTTTTAAGACCGATTTCAAAAATTCAAGTGACAGTGTTCCTTTAAAAACGTTAGCATAAACACTTAACTTGTCAATTTACAACTGCGTCTATGTATGTACTTTTCACTTGACTTAAAAATATTCCTTAAGGCCTAAGACAGGGTTAAGTTTTCAGCCCCAATTTTAAATGGGAAGTTAATCAAAATTAATGACAGACATCTGTTCTGAATGCCAATTTCTCCCCTCATATACTGGTCATTGTAAATGAATAAAAGAATGTATGCGTTACATGAACTTATTTTTAAAATTATGTATGTAACCAGTGCATAGGAAGCTTTTAAGTAACTTTCCTTCAAACAACCCATCTTTCAAACAGCTTAGGTTTACCAAAATGAAATTTGTGAAGTGACAGGATTGCAATATAGTCTAAGATGGGGTTGGCAACCTTTCAGATGTGCAGTGTCGAGTCTTCATTTATTCACTTTAAGGTTTTGCGCGCCAGTAATACATTTTAACGTTTTTTAGAACGTCTCACTCTACGGGTCTATATAATATAGAACTAAACTATTGTATGTAAAGTAAACAAGGCTTTCAAAATCTTTAAGAAGATTCATTTAAAATTAAATTAAAATGCTGATCTTACGCTGCCGGCCCGCTCAGCCCGCTGCCAGCCTGGGGTTCCGTTCACCGAGGCCAGCAGAAGGCTGAGTGGGATCTGCAGCCGGGACCCTGGCTGGCAAGGGGTTGGCAGCCAGAACCGCAGACTGGCAGCGAGCTGAGTGGGGTCGGCAGCTGGGACCCCAGACCAGCAGCAGGCTGAGCGGCTCAGCCCACTGCCACTCAGCCCACTGCCGGTCTGGGGTTCCGTCCGCCGGCTCCTGCCAGCCAGAGTCCCAGCTGCCAGCCCCACTCAGCCCGCTGCCAGTCTGGGATCCCAGCCCTGCCCACACAGAGTGGGTAACTACCTTCTCCCTGGCTCTAGCCCATTCTCTTCCTCTCTCTCTGCACTGAGCACAAGGCTGGGGGTGAAGGAGTAGGCTGGGGGTTGGGGTGTAGGGTCTGGTCTGGAGCAAGAATGAGGGAGGGAGCTCAGGGTTGGGGCAGGAGGTTTAGGTGTGGAGTGCTTACCTGGACAACTCCCATTTGGTGCAAGGGTGCAGGTGGGAATTGGGGTGTCTGTGCAGGAGCTCCCATTTGGTGCTCAGGGTGGGGGTGGGATGTGGAGGGTGCAAGAGTCAGGACATAGGGGGCTGGGTATGCGTGGGGGGGTGCTGGAGTCAGGGCTGGGGTCATGAGGGGATGCAGGGGTCAGGGCTGGGAGCAAGGGCTAGGGTCGTGGGGGTGCTCCCAGAGAAGCTCACAGCAGGGCGCTGGAGGGGATATGCCCCGATTCCACCCCCTCTTCCCCGCCTCCTCCGCGGAGCAGCGAGCATGCTGCAGCTCCGTTTCTCCCCCTCCCACACAAGGGCCATCAGCTGATCGGCAGCAGGGAGGGAGAGGAGGAGGGGCAGGAACCCAGCACTGCCGGGGAGCAGGGAGCTTGCCTGCCCTGCAGCAGCAGCCGGCAGGACCAAGCTTTTTCACCCTGCCCCCGTGGGGGGGTGGAGAAGAGAGGGCTGGGGCAGGCAGGATTTTTAATGGCATGCTGCTGCCTGCCAGAGTCCCAGCCACCGGCCCCGCTCAGCCCACGGCCGGCCTGGGTTCGACAGCGGGCTGAGTGGGGCCGGCGGCTGGGACCCGGCAGGCAGCAGCATGCCATTAAAAAAAATCGGCTTGCGTGCTGTCTTTGGCACGCATGCCATAGGTTGCCGACCCCTAGTCTAAGATACTGTGGTATTTTGAAGGAAGAACTTAAAACCATGAAAATACTTACTCTTGCCATACTTGGAACACATCTCCTTAGTGCATTCTCCAGAAGATTTTACAGAATTTGTCTTAATTGTAGATACTGACACAAGTCTCTGAGACTCACCTTTCTTTTCACAACATGAAAGTTCAAAGTGTTCTCTTCAACTAGCTCACACGGCCTTTTCATTGGACCCAGATACTCCAAACTCTAGCACCTGCTCTTTTAGTGTAAGCAGCAATTTTTTGCAAAAATAGAACATTCCCAAGTTTATTTGCAGTCGAGTGTACTCTATGGCAGTGGTCTCCAAAGTGGGGTGTGCGCGCCCCAGGGGGTGCGCAAGACCAGCCATGGGGGTGCGCGGCAGGAGGAGCGCCGCCGGCACAGCGGCAGCAGGACTCCTGGACCTTTGATTCTTTGGCGGCAGCTCGGCTCTCCCTGCTCCATCTTTGGCGGCACACCGGTGGCAGCATTTTTCTTTTTTTTGCTTCCCCAGAGCTGGCCCTGGGGGTGCGCGATTCAAAAAGTTTGGAGACCCCTGCTCCATGGCACAGTGCATTCTACATATTCCTGGAATGCACTATATATGGCATTCATTGATTGTAGATCTAATGGCATTTAAAAATAATTCCCAGGCAAGTCTGTAATGCATAAATGTTGCTTCGTTTTTTACTCACAACACTGATTCCTCATCAAAATCAAGTTTGCAGAGGACTGAAGGACACTTGATGAAATTTTAAGTTGGGTAAGTTATTAGATAAAATTATTCAATTCAGCAAAATGGTGCTTAAACGTCATTCTACTTTTTTCTTTTAATACAAAAAAAACCTAAAAATATTTAGTTCAGAAAGAAACTCAAGAGATATATATAGTAGGAACGTTTGGGATGGAAGTAAAAAGCAGAGTTCATTTGGATGACCTTTACTCCCAGCCTATTCTGAAGGTAATTTACAGCCCTATAAGACCCTTCTGATGCCTTGATGATTGATGAATTACTCCCCAATTACTTAACATATTCCTTAATTCCCTATTAAAGTTTAGTCTTCATATTTTAGTGCCCAATATAAACTGCAAGGCTAGAGCCACAGACTTACAAACATATAGGAGGAAAGAACAAAAAACACTAAACAACAGCATGAATTCATAATATCATCCTATTCACCTTATGACCTTTAAAATTTCTGCTATTCAGGGATACTACTGAGTATCCCATCTATCCTATCTCATCTGCAGTTAATCCAGTAGTTTCCCTCAACTATCAATTTATCTTAATACTCTCTTCTTCCTAATATAAGGTTTTTGAATATCATCTTTATAAAGAAAGTGAAGAATTCTAGTACAAGAGTAGAGACTAACTTTATGCCTCCACTGAGGCACTTACATTCTCTTGCCAAACTCTGTGTTGCTGAATAAATAATTCATGCAGGATTCTTTCCAAGAATTCTGATGTGTAAATCACCTAACGGGCACTCATTTTCTTAAGAAATTTCTGAGGCTATGTATTATAAGCCTATTACAAGCTCATGCATAGAACAGGGGTGGGCAAACTATGGCCCGGGGCCACATCCGGCCCATCTGGCCCTTGAGCTCCCTCCAGGAAGCAGGGTCTGGGGCTTGCCCTGTTCTGGCACTCCAGCTGGGGGCTTGCCCCACTCCATGCGTGCTGTGGCTCCACACGGCTTCCGGAAGCAATGGCATGCCCCGCCTCCGGCTCCTATACATAGTGGCAGCCAGACGGCTCGGCGCGCTGCCCCCACAGCTCCCATTGGAACCACAGCCAATGGGAGCTGCAGGGGCAGCGCCTGCTGAGGGGGCAGCGCGCCAAGCCACCTGGCTGCGCCTTCATGTAGGAGCTGGAGGGGGGACATGTCGCTGCTTCTGGGAGCAGCTTGAGGTAAGTGCTGCCTGGAGCTTGCACCCCGAACCCCTCCTGTGTCCCAACTCCCTGCCCCAGCTCTGATCCCCCTCTGAACCCCTTGGTCCAAGCCCGGAGCACCCTCCTGCACCCCTAACCCCTCATCTCCAGCCCTACCCCAGAGCCCATACCCACAGCTAGAGCCCTCATCCCCTGCACCCCAACACCCTGCCCCAGCCCAGAGCCCCCTCCTGCACCCTGAACCTCCTCATTTCTGGCCCCACCCTAGAGCCCGTACCCCAAGCCAGAGCCCTCACCCCCTCCCACACCACAACCCCCAATTTCGTGAGCATTCATGGCCCGCCATACAATTTCCATACCCAGATGTGGCCCTCGGGCCAAAAAGTTTGCCCACCCCTGACATAGAATAAGCCTAACAAAGAACAAGAAATGACAATCACTATTAGAAAAATTAGCTAAACTGTACATAAATGCAGAAGAAAGGGGCTAGGGACAGCAGGTCTACCAATTAACAGCTTTTAGTGATGTAGCTTTTATCTTAATACAGGACTCTCTCGAGTATGCATGCTTATAGGAGAGCGCGAGTTCGAGTTGGAGGATGAAGCATTTCTTTTTCATTTAACAGTCCCTCAGTTAGCAGCAGCATATCTCTAGCTTTCCATCGTCTTTTTATCCCTTTCCCTCTCAATTTCAGAGTGCTCCCAGTAGCAATAGCAGCAGGGGGAGGGGAAAAAAAAAAAAAAAAGTCAGCCAGCAAGAGCCTCATCAGTTTCAAACTATTGCTGACCATGCTATCAAGAAATACTTGATGCAAATGTCCATCTGCACCAGCACCATCCTCATCCTATTGTTTGACAATACTGTGGGATTCTCCTCTCTGGAGGGTAAAAACCTTGGTAAAAACCACACAGGAACCCCTGGATTTCCCTACAATACCACAGCCTATTTAAAACTTTTAAATTTGTTTGTTTTTCCCACTGAAGTTTTCTGTGTAATACAATGTTCCCAATAAGCATACTTGACAACTGAAGTTAAAAATAGAAACTAAAAAAAGGTGATCCGTACCCTTACCTTTCCGCGTGTTCTCTGTCACATCTACACCAAACTGGATGATGTCACCAGACAGAATCTCACATGGTGGGCTTTCCTCAGATCCTCTACTCAATCTCTGACTGTTTATGAAGGTACCATTACTACTCTTAGTGTCTTGAAGATAGAACTGTGAAGAAAGAAATTACACTGCAATAAGTTTTCTGAAAGAAGAAAGTTTGATTAAATGGAAGCTACAGACAAATTCCATTCTACTGTAGAATATCAAGTTAATACACAAGCTAGGAATAAGAAATACTTCTGTTTGCAAACTTCACATTATGTCTATACTTGAATTTTAGTGTGCTTTAACACACACTAATGTGTGTTAACGAACCCTACTGTAAATTCAAGCATAGCTGCGACACAAACAATTGTTGCTAGTTTTGTTTAAACAGGTAAGTATGACTAGCAACAAGCATTTTTGCAGTGTCTATTTTAAAATTCACGATCATGTCAGTTAACACATCTAACCCTTAAAGTGGTTCAGACATCTAACCCTTAAGAAATCAGTGTTTCTATGATACAAATAAGCCAGATTGTACAACAGGGCACTGATGGTAAAAAGAAAAGCTTGGGAAAAAATGAAGACTCAGGAAACAGATATGGGGCCAAGAAGGTGAGAGAAGCAAGTCCAAATGCAGAATGGAAATACTGCTGCAGAGGACCAGCTCTCAACTCCTCCCAAATATTTAAAAAATACTGACCTAGAGATAGGCCATATTGAGGCATCTGAGGGTGGGATTTTCAAAAGCACATAAATGACTTAGGAGTACATTTACAAGTAACTTCAAATGTTGAGTACAGCCTAGCCAAAACATTTTTTTGATTTTTTATTCTCATGATAAGCATGTTAATAAGGCCCCTTTACTTGTCGACTGTCTATTTCAGCATAAATATAAAGTCTAAGTATGAAACCTCTGAAGAGAATAAAATTCTATGTAAAATCTAAAATCTATTAACAATTAGAAAACCAAAGAAACAAGTACAAAACAAACTAACAATTTAAGATTATAAAATGGGAAGAAAACTTACTCCATAAAAATCTTATTTATATTGAAATGAAATTCTTTAAATTTTTAGTCTTACAGAGCTGTACATGAGAATGATGACAGAGTGTTATCAGATATACAATTTAACTAAAAAAAATCCTCCAATATTTACATTTATAGTAACCTTAAGTGTTACAAGGTGGTGTTTTCAAGTGGAAATGCAATTTTTAAATTGGCATCCCCCCAAAAATCAAACCCCAAGAAGGTATTACTATACCAAAAGTTTCTAGTGCAGACCTGGCTTTAGATGTATTCTTTGAATTGCAGTATTTAGTAATTAGTCTCCATGAAGAAACATTATTAGAATGCTGTGGTTTCAGGAGCAATTTCTGGTTATGTAATTTTCATATCCCTCAAATTATTTCACTACATTTATTAAACAAGTATAAAATTTGACCAGTTTGCATGACACGAGTATACTTTTCAGCTATTAATCTCAAACACGGGACTATTTTCTATAATTATGCTTTTGCAGTTTTAGGTTTTATTTTGGTCTGCTGGTATGAATGGCATCTTCACAGATTACTATTGCTCCACAAGCCTCATGAAGGCTGAAGCAGCAGACTAGGGCTTGCACAGTTCAAGCTTCTTCTATTCTTTGCCTGTTTTCCCCTGGGCACAGAGTTGCTCGTAAGTCCTAGAGTCAGGTCTTTGATTAAGGCGCAGGCTCAGTCCTACCAGTGCCTGTCCTCTATCCAGAGCCATCCCTTGGGTAGGGTGAATCAGGGCGACCGCTCTCAGCCCTGCACTTTAGGGGGCCCCATGGACTGGTGTGATTGGCCAGCACGATCGGTCCCAGAAAAGACAAATCCATCACTTCCGCCCTGGAACCTGCCCCGCTCCACACTCTGCGGGCTGGTGCGACTGGCCGGCGGATTAGTCTCTTCCGGGCCCGACCCGTCACTTCAGCCCCAGGGGCCCGCACCTACCTCGGGACGGCCCTGCCTCTATCTCATCCTCCCTTTCCTCTTGTATAAGAGTGGAGCCTTTCTGGGGTAGATCTTCAGGGTTTTGACAGATAGGCAGTCTGCTCTGGGGCTCCTCAGCCCTCTCATGCTTCTGGAAGGCTGATTCCCTTGAGACGTTATCCTTTGCAGGGCTCCCTACTTATTGATATTCACTAAAGGGAGTATCCAACACGTGTACATCTTTTGAGTCTAAGCTGTCCCAGTAGTTTACACAGAACTTCTAGCATTGTAGGATGTGAACTGGAGCTGGACAGCAGAATTCCCCTCCTACCAGAATGGGGTTTGACACTTCCTGGAGTCATCGTGTTTGAAGACTGAGAAGGCATATTTTGTTGCAAGTAGGACCAAGTGCCTTAGGCTAGGGCTACACTGGCACTTTACAGCGCTGCAACTTTCTCACACAGGGGTGTGAAAAAACACCCTCCTGAGTGCAGCAAGTTACAGCGCTGTAAAGCACAAGTGTAAACAGTGCCCCAGCTAATTAGCTAAACTAATCCCCTCAAGGAGGTGGAGTACCAGAAGCACTGGGAGAGCTCTCTCCCAGCACTGGTGTGCGACCACACTCACACTTGAAAGCACTGATGCGGGAGCGCTCCCACAGCAGCGCTTTGGAGCTTCGAGTGTAGCTGTGCCCTTTAAGCTAATGGTAACTCATATAGGTTGCAAGGAAAGCAGCACACTGAAGCATGTGACAAATCAATTTTGCTCTTAAGCCTCCAAGGCTACTGTCTTTATTTTAACAAGAGCCTGCTCAGGACCATGTCCTCGAATAGATGGAGACAAACTACCGAAAAAAAAGATAGCTAGTCCCTTATGTGAGGGAGGGAATGACATCAAAAATCTTAGTTTTCCACATCCATCTCCAGGAATTAATACCCAACCCCCAGGACTGGTATAAACACTGAACACAACTATCATCTTCTAGTTGTAGGAATTATACTACCATCAGTTTGTATGATTTTTTTGTTGTTCGATCTCTCTCATGGTTACTTAACTCTTTTAGGTTGTATAATTGAAGAATTACCTTAACAACCAGTGGAAACTTTTTCTGGATTTAAGTCACTGTATAAACTGGTACTTTTCTAGAAGTCTAGCAAGTAATTAAGAGAAGCCTTAATACTGTACAGATCTAATACTGAAAATGAATCAGAGGCTTATGTTATTACCTCTAAAAAAGCAGAGTGAAAGAACTGTACATTTAAAAAACTAACATTTTTCTTTTCAAGAACTAAATTGAAAACACTTTTTTTGGTAACCAATAATGCAGCTTTTAACTGGCTTGCTTAGCATAAGCTTGGTATGCATGATGAATCAAGGAGACTTCTGAGGAAAAGGAGCCTTTAATACTCCTAGTGGAATTCTGTACCAAAAAAATTAAAAATTCTGCACACAATATTTTAAACTTCTGCAAAATTCTGGATACTTTATTTGTGAAAATAACTCAATATAACCATGCCAGTTTCAATTATTTTGGTAATTTATTTAAAAATACCTGTCAGCAAATGTCTATAACAATACAAACAAACAAACAAACAAAAAAATTCAGGAAATGTATTTTTTTTTTTTACACCACACAAATAGATTCCTTACTAAGCACATTAATACAGGACTCTCAGTAATTCCTTTAAACTACAGTACAGAAACCTATTTCCTGCACCCCTCAGAAGTGGTGCAGAGGATTGGGGGAGTCGTGAGTAATGGAGAAGCTGAGGGAGAGGGAAGGAGCATGGAAGTGAACCTGGAGGGTTGTTGGGTGTGGGTGGGAAAAGTATGGAACAAATTTTTTTGGGGTGGGGAATGGAAAATGTTAGGACGTTGAGGGGTCTCCCCCATGCAGATCCTGGCTGACCCCTATTTGCCCCCATCCCCCAATCCATGCAGCCCCCCTCCCCCATCCCTGTGTCCCTGCAGCCCCCCCTCTCATTTAGCTCCTGGCTCAATGCTGTCACCCCACTAGCTCCTGAGCCCATGCCCCAGTTTGCCCCCCCACTAGCCTTTCTGAACCTCAATCTGTGACACCCCCCCCCCCATCCCTGCCTGTCCTGCTCTGTCCATCCTGTGCCTCTTCACGGGCCCCGCTGTGAGGAATGCATCCTCTTTGCTGGCTGTCTGCCCTCTCTTCTTGTGCCACAGCAGCCCCTGGTGGGCAAAAGATGTAAGTGCAGTGCTTCACCAGCAGAATCCATATTATGCAGAGAAAAATCTGTGTGTATGGGGGGAGGGACACCACATGTATGGGGGTGGGGGGGGATGTGAGAAAACCTGGATCTATGCAGGAAATAGCCCGACTTGATTATGTAAAGAGTTGTCACTTTGGATGGGCTAGCACCAGCAGGAGAGTGAATTTGTGTGGGGGGGTGAGGGTGAGAAAACCTGGATTTGTGCTGGAAATGGCCCACCTGTTGATCACTTTAGATAAGCTATTACCAGCAGGACAGTGGGGTGGGAGGAGGTATTGTTTCATATTCTCTGTGTGTATATAAAGTCTGCTGCAGTTTCCACAGTATACATCTGATGAAGTGAGCTGTAGCTCACGAAAGCTCATGCTCAAATAAATTGGTTAGTCTCTAAGGTGCCACAAGTACTCCTTTTCTTTTTGCGAATACAGACTAACACGGCTGTTCCTCTGAAACCTGTCACATGTATTCTGCGTACGTGCAGTGGTGCAGAATTCCACCAGGAATACCTTAACCGTACTCCTGCCAACTTGGAATGTTACAAAAAGATTGCTTGTTATCTCCACAGCTTTTGAGTTTCTTCAACTCTGTGGAAGTGCTAACTAGAAAAGAGCATAGGACACTGAAATTTGTAATGAACGAATTAAAGAAAGTAGAATTCCCAACTCTCAGTCTGGAATTCATTTCTCAAGTGATTAAACTAATGTCCAGTCAAGAAATTTCTGCCATCAGAACACACTGTAAGTTAGCAAAAATCCAAAGTGAAGAGAACATTCATGAGATATAAGAAAGCATTTTGCTCATCTGGTGATCTAACTTTGCTGTCAGTTGACATTCTGTTAGAATCTCTCTACCTGGCTCCTGAAAGGCAATTGTTCATTTCCCTTCTCTTGTTGTAGGACAGTTTTCCTCAGCTTATGATTTTAGACATTT